CTACACTTTACCACTAACCACTAGGTTATGTCATTCAATTAGATACCACTGTAATGAACCCGGCAAAATCCTGTCCTTGGTCGGTCGATAATTCTAATGGGATACAACCCAGGTGTCCATGTTTCTTTTTTGACTGGAGGTACTGGCCTTACCACAAGTCTACGCCCATCAGCCAAGTCTCTGTAAATGATAAATCTGTCAATCAGGATCTGGATGTAAAGGAAGAATGTTTTTTAAATAACGTTTAATCTCATGTGTAGTAATGATACAAAAACAAATTGAAGATGTATTTTTCCCCAACTAAAATTAAATAAGTTGAAACTACTTTACTAAGTTTCACGGGGTACAAATTCAGGCGTCACCGGTGAGTTTGCAACGTGCCGTCCCACGTGGAATCTTTATTAACGTTTCTACCAAATAATGCTTATATCAGAGTAAAACATCAATTAAAACAAAACGTAGGTTGTTGTTAGATGTTAAGCTTATTTACCTGTAAGAATTGACTTTTGATCCGTCGATATTTATAATTTGTCTTTGACGCAGACGTCTGCTTATTTCTTTCGCCGCCATATTTGTCAGGAGCGACCGAGGGGAGATAACTCTCATCCATGTGACATAATTTTTCATCTCTGTCTCAATATGTTTTAACTGTTACACTTACAAATTCCACTCACATATTTATTGCTGTATGGACCAATTCTCTAGTGACACTGGGCGGTGGGACAGCCTAGTGGACACGAAATTGTACAGAACTATGGATTGAGAAATAAAATTTTTTACATTGTCGTATTAGACTGGGATGCAGCAACTTGAACACTGCATTATCTAATCTTTGAAGGACTGTTGTAACATGTATTAGTTAATTGGCTAAAGAGTTGGTGTCGGTGATTCGATCCCTGACCGTGTCAAACCAAAATATGTTTAAAGATAGAATTTGTTTTACCAACCCTGGCGCTCGGCGGCACTCTCTCTGACATGACAAAGCAAGAACTGGTAGGCTAGTCCCTATAATGTATGGCTTGGGGGCTGAAGATGATTTTGATGCAGAAGCATGTACAATGTGAATGACCCCACCCCTAAAAATGTATGTACATTGTAGGTGCCCCCCCCTCCTCCTTTGCATATCATGTACAAATCAATGACACCCCATTCCTCTTCCCATATTTTTTAAGCATAATATTGTAAAATATTAAGTATAAAATTGCTGACAATTGCTGACCAGGCTCGCTGGCTTAGTTGATGCATGGCATCGTATCCCAATTGAATAGATCGATGCTCGTGCTGTTGACCATTGGATTGTCTGGTCCAGATTCGATTATTTTCAGACCGCCGTGGTACAGCTGGAATATTGCTGAGTGCGGCATTAAACGTCAAACGCAAAAAACCCCTTTTCTAAGAGCAGAAATCGTTCACCTAATCGTACATCTTCTATATATATTGAAACGGTGGAGTGCGGTAAAGTGTTTATATAAATATTTATACGCACATGCAGGAACGCACGCACACTCGAGTCCTGTGTGTCAGTACATAAGAGAATGTTTCATCTGACCTGTAAATGGTGGAGTCTGAGCGGTTGAGCCTGTTGATAGAACGAGCACTTGCTTACGTCAGACGGAAAGTAAACAATATAAATTGGAGCAGCACTTGCGGTGTAGGTGTTTTTACACGTCTCTTTCTTTGCATTATACTACGGAAGCGCTGAACGGACCTGATGAAATAAAATTTATCTTGAGCGCACAAGTTAGTATGTTGAGTGCACAAGTTAGTATCTTGAGCGCACAAGTTAGTATGTTGAGTGCACAAGTTAGTATGTTGAGTGCACAAGTTAATATCTTGAGCGCACAAGTTAGTATCTTGAGCGCACAAGTTAGTATGTTGAGTGCACAAGTTAGTATCTTGAGCGCACAAGTTAGTATCTTGAGCGCACAAGTTAGTATGTTGAGTGCACAAGTTAATATCTTGAGCTCACAAGTTAGTATCTTGAGCGCTCAACTTAGTATCTTGAGATACACTACTCCATAAGCAGTTCATGTCGAAGCAACGGGGGAGCGGAAACGCGAGCTGATTCATGCTTAGTTCAGTCTTGGTTCCAATACAAAGATATAACACATCTTCTTGTCGAAAATCATGGTATAGTATAGTACGCCACTTGAAGCGTATTCTGAGGTGGATGTCCCTCTTTTCGCACCAGATACCAGATTTGCTGATGTTACAGTGAGTGAGTGAGTACTGTTTACACCTTTAGCAATATTCCAGCAATTTCATCAGGGAGACACCAGAAATGGACTTCACACATTGTACCCATGTGGAGAATCGAACCCATGTCTTCGGCGTGACGGGCGGACGTTCTAACCACGAGGCTACCCCACCGCCCCGCTGATGTTACAGACTTTATTGCGGACAACTTCGACGATCTGGACAAAGACATGGTTATCGTTAGATGCACTACAACACACATACGTATACGTACGGGATTGAAACGGATGAAGTAAAACGGGAACATGGTATTTAAATAAGAAATAAAGTCGATATATGTGCTATACGTGCACATACTAATGGATCAGATAAACCAGGCTGGTTTATATGATATTGTACAGAGTTAAACTGCCATTGTACCCACGTTAGGAAACAGTTACTGATACATGCAAACCAAGACTACAGGCTAAATAGTTCCCTGAAAGCGGTCGACTTAACTTAGAATACATCTGACATCAAGTTTTACCCTCAATGTTTACATTTTTCATGGTCTTGTAATACTATATATACATAATAAAGCCGTAGCACAAAACAAGTTATCCAAGCTTCAAGCTACTGTTCATATAATACTATGTACCAATATTAGAAGTCAGTAAAACCACTATTCATCCCTGCAATAAACTCCTACTCATGTTTATGTTTTAACTCTTATTATCACATTACACATACCAGAGCCTGCTTTATGTTATAAAGCAAAAAGTGGTAAAACCAGTTACAAAGAATAGTATTGACAAGCATAAAGACGATGAACGTTTACATGATAAACATTATCAATGTTCATGATAAAATTGCATACTTTACATAGTCTCATCATAACCACCTAGTTAACTCCGACTTTGCCTCGTTTGAAATCTTCCAAAAAGGATACAAGTTTGTACATTTAGCCAGCAGTCAAGCAAACGTGCGTTCCATTAATGCCATTAGATGCTAAACAAGATATTAACTTGTGCGCTCAACATACTAACTTATCTGCTCAAGATGTTAACTTGTGAGCTCAAGAAAACTAACTCGTCCGCTCAATATATTAACTTGTGCACTCAATATATGAACTCGTGCTCTCAAGATAAATTTTATTTCATCAGGTCCCTTCAGCGCTTCCGTATTATACCTCTCTACAAACGAGTGATATAGAATGCTAACGCCGGAAGGATGAAACATTGTGTACAGGGTGATATGCTGAAACGAATTTATCTTTCATTCGTGAACCAATCAGATCTTAGTATTCAGACTTGGTGTAACATACAGATTACAAACAAAAACCATAGACTTTTATAGTAACGTTACATATATATATGTTTTTAAATCATCGAGGCTGCCAGCAGCCATTCCATGTACACATGGGTACAGTCTGGCCTTTAAATTACAATAAAATCACAAGTTCCGGCTAACTTATCCTGTCTATTTTCCGAGCAAAGGATGCTGAACACATCGACCCGTTCCGCACCAAATGTCACCAACTTGAAAATATCTGTACACACATGTAGCACAAGTTATGGTGATAGAATTGCAGGTTTCATAACATGCCAAAACATCAGCATTCTCACTCAGTGTTCCAAGAACTGTATGATAGTATTTGAGTAAAGTATTTAAATGTATGATGTGCAGTGTAATGTGGCAGGACCAACTATGGCTTTATGCTGCTTTTAGCAATACTCCACGGGAGGACTGACCGAGTTTTGGTTTTACGCCGCTTTTAGCAATATTCCATCAACATCACGGCGGGGGACACCAGAAATAGGCTTCACACATTCCACGGGAGGACACCAGAAATGGGTTTTAGACATTGTACCCACAAGGAATAGAACCCAGAAGTTAATACTATAACTGCTATAGGCCACCGCAGATATGGGAGGAAAGCCCAAAGTAATGCAAAAGTTTATTGAAAACTCTTTTCAAGGCCCAATCACAATTGTAAGACCCAGGGATTTACCTCGAGTCCTGTATTTGAGGGTCCCTGGGACTCAGGGGTCCTGGACAACAAAGACACTTAAATACTGTTATTAATACTGTTAGTGTATTGTGTAGCATGATCGTCACATTGTTACAGTAATTAAATTACAAATAATACCATAATCCATGTACTTTTTTTCAGTAGCAAACTTAGTTACAACTTATTGTCACTTGATTGGATTTTTTACAAAAAGTATTTGGACTTTTTCTGAGTTCCTGTGGACCCGCTAATAAATTTTGTTGCGTCCACTGTCAATTTTTATGAGTATAGGACAAAGGAATTCGCGTCTTGTCAATCCCTGTAGAACTTAAAGAAAAACAATGTTAGTTGAATGTGAGAAGTTATTTTTGGCTTCATCCCTGTGTTGGAAAGATTTTGCAAGTTAGTTTTGTGCATTAATTTCCCTTAAAATAACATGATGGCAAGGTTTTTTCTTTCATTTAGTGCCTTTTGGGGGCAAATTACTGGCAATAGGGCTTTTTCAAAGCTGAAACCAATTTTGAGGCAAAAGTTCAAATTTCAAGCTTTTTTCAAGCCCATGGGACCCATGCTATATAGACATAACAAATATTATGGCTTTTCAAATAAATTGAATCTTTTTCCCCAATCTGGGAATGACTGACTGACTATGGTTTTATGCTGTTTTTAGCAATGTTCCAGCAATATCAAGTCGGGGAAACCCAAACTTGGGATGAAGAAACGACACTGATGATGATAAAAGACGTGTCCATGCTTTAGGGCTTTCCTGGCTTTGAATACCTATTAATCAAGCTCTTCAACCGATCCAATTCCAGCTCCTCACATTTGTTTAACAATGTGTTAGTTTTACAAATATGTTCTCCAATGTTACCATCTGCTTAAAACAGTAATACTCAAACACAGAATCTTCATCTGCTCTCAATACTTCAACTTGTCACCAATAAGCTGCCATCCATCATTAGACAATTGCAATGTATCCATTATTAAATGAATCACTGCATATCAATGTTTTCTAAACCTCAAACATGACAAACATTTCATGAGATGTTTCTAAATTTTTTTTTAATCCCAGATTACACATCACTGTACACATCGGGACATCTTTCCTTCCTTGATCACTGAAATACAAGAAAAGAACATTTGTTAGAATCCACTATCAAACAAGAGACCAGTCAAATACCCAGGCAACAAGTACTGTATGTCTGTTCCTGGAAAACCACCACAAAATAGCCTTGAATAAACATCTGGCTCCAGTTTTCATCAATAGATCCAGTTAGAGATCCTCGAGACAGGAACTGGGGTTACCCTCCTGAGATGAGGAACTCAGCATACAGAAACCATGTACAAACTATTTGCAGTTTAATGTAGCACTCATCAATATTCAAGTTTCAGGTAAGGAACCTAATCTGCAGCAGACAAACCAGCTGCTGGTAATAGTCTCAGGCATATTCAGTGAGTGAGTGAGTTTGGTTTTACGTCGCTTTTAGCAATATTCCAGCCATATTACGGCGGGGGACACCAGAAATGGGCTTCACACATTGTACCCATGTGGGGAATCGAACCCAGGTCTTCGGCGTGACGAGCGAACGCTTTAACCATCAGGCTACCCCATGCTCCCAGGCATATTCAGATCATACTCAAAACAGAATCACTAAGTCACACATCATTCATAAGCATAAGCTGTTATACCCCTATTCTAAACAGGGGGAAAACAATCCCTGCTCCTCAAACAACATGTTGAATTTGACAATAATACCTAAAGTTAGAGCTGTCATGGATGGAACATTTACATTAACCTGCTGTATGGAGACTTACTGTACCTCATTGTTGATAAACTAATCTATTTGCTGGGTGTATTGCTTTCCTCAATAATTCATATTTTGTACGAATAGGCATGTGTGTGTTTGTTGTTCAGCAGTATTCCATCTATAGGATGGCTAGGTATGCATGAGCATATGCTCATGGACCTGTAGCTTTTCAGGGTAACAATTCTGGATCAGTTCTGAATGCATCAATTTACTATGAACTGGAACTGAATACAACTGATAATATATTCCAAAATTTATCAGTTTTACACCACTTTATGCAATATTCCAGCAATACCATGGTGGGGAACACTAGAAATGGGCTTCACACTCATGGGGAACTGAACCTGAATGCTTTAACCACTAGGCTACCCCACCGCCTCGATTACAAAATCAATATACCCCATAGAAAATATGTCTATTGCCCATCGTACCCTGTTCAAACAAGACTACCTACAACTCAGAGAAGAGCAATTACTGCCAAACAAGGATAAGTTGGACCGGTGCAGAGAACACGTTTACGAGAAGTAGGCGGTGCACTGCTATGAGCAAACCCATTTGGTTTGTGAAAGGTAGGGCAGATGTAGGCTAGTGCACATGCATTGCACGACGATGAAATTGATTCCACACGCAGCTGCACACGCCTAGCTCAAAAGACTCAAGTGGTCGGTGTAGCACTACACTTGATCGCAGACAACCTGGGGCTGCTTCGCTCACAATGGTAAGCACCAGTGGGCGGCACTCATACATGCCAATATGGGTCAATAGTCAGGTCGGTGCTCAACTTATCCTTGTTTGCCAGTATGTTAACACAAGGACCTTGACAAGATTATAAAAGAATGTAGCAGTCTTGGGTATAATCACTCTTTCAGCTACAAAGTCAATGCAGATTCTGAGATGTTACACAAAGAAGGTTATTATGCAAGCTGGTGAAAAGATGTCAAAGCAACTGGTGGTACAACATTCAAATATATCACAACAATAACTGAATATCACAATGTTTCAAGCAATAAGCTATCAAGCTATATCAACTCAAACAAATAGCAATAAGCCTTTAAGCTATACTCATGGAAACGACTAAGGGAACACATGAAAGTACAAGTGTTCCTATACTCTTTTCCAGGGTTCTTCACATGCTTTTATTGCAATGTGAGTGGAATTCTGGATATAAATAAAGGAACACCTGTACTTTCATGTGTTCCCATGAGTATGTATCAACTGTAACAAGTAGCAACTATGAGACTGGCCATAATTTGAATGAACTCAAATGCTTTCAATGAACAGCTCATGCTCCAGAGACAATTCCCCTCGAATATTTGAAATCGTATTGAAGTTAAAATCCCTTGAATGTTAGATCTTGTAATAATATACACCCCCTTTAATGCGTCTTCTAGTAAAGACAAACACTGTTGAACATTGGATCCAGTATTCAAGGAACACCACTTTGAACATAAGATCTTGTGTTAAATTACAATTAAAATCTGAAAACTTATCCAGACAAAAATACACTGCATGCAATGAAAATACTAGACAATAAACACATGCAAAACATCACTTCACTTATCGTTTACATATTTTCAGACTTATTAGGGACCGCTCATAATTTATGGCTAGGTTGTGTGTGTGTGTGTGTGTGTGTGTGTGTGTGTGTGTGTGTGTGTGTGTGTGTGTGTGTGTGTGTGTGTGAAAGAGGAGAGGAGAAGAAGAAAGAGGGAGGAGAGGAAGGGGAAAATGATTTTAAGGGGTCACCCATTTTTATTTATTTTATTGGGGGGCAGGGTAATAAATTTTGTATACACATATGGGGAGGAGCAATTTTGTACATAAAGTGTGTTTAAAATTATGCTTAGAAAATTATGGGGGGCATTGATTTTGTACATGACATGCAGGGGGGGGGGGTGGGGGTTTGGGTGTTTCACTTATTTTGTACTTAAATCTTAGGGGGGTCATTCACATTGTACATGCTTCTCCATAACATCATCATCACTCCCCCTAGCCATAAATTATGAGTAGTCCCTTAATGTGTGAAATAACATTTAATGACTGTAAAAGCTATCATTAAGGAGCCACTCTCAATTTTCGAACTTTGGTTAAATGTCTATATGAAATGTCTAGGCAAAGAAAGCATTCTAATCAAGTCAAGTCTATCGTAAATCAAACAAGTGTGCACTCATACTATCTTCACAGAGTGAGTGAGTGAGTGAGCGAAGATTGTGCAGCTATATTAGCAATACTGCAGGGACACCAGAAATGTGCTTCACACATTGCATCAATGTGGGGAACTGCACCTGGATCTTCGGCGTGACGAGCGACCTATTGGCTACCTCACTGCTCCACGGCTAGTAACCATGAGCTTAAATTCAACTAGCCTAGCCCACAGCTTGGACTTAGGTTAATGTTAACTCAGTAAATTCTGGGAGAAAACAAGCTGTAGCAGACTTGCACTTGATTAGGCTGCTGGACTAAATGGTAGCTCTAACTCTGTTAAGTGAACATGTTAGTCTGTATTAGTGAAGCTGCACAGGATGAAGATGAGCATGTTATTGTAGCAAGCATTAGTGCACTTCACATCACATCAAACAAGCATTATTTATTGGAGTGCAGAAACTGTCAAACCATGTACCTGGTGTGTGCACCATGTTTACTTCTGCAAAGCAAAATAAATTATACATAAAAATATTGCGAGTTAAATCAATACATATGGGTGAGTATAGTTTTGAACTGCTTTTAGCATTATTCCAGTCATATCATGGCCGGGGACACCAGAAATGGGCTACACATTGTGGCCATTTTGGGAATGGAACCCGGGTCTTCAGCGTGATGAGCAAACGCCAGAACCAATTGGCTACCCCACTGCCAAAATACATGTGGAAAGTAATCAAGGACTGTTCCTACTTCACAATAGATAACTGTCTTGCTCTGTAACAAACTGATCCAACACAGCTCCTACTGATCCAATCCAAAATATTAAACATATGCTATAACAGAGGAAGTACTAAACTCTCACTTGAACCATGCCACAAAATAAAATAAATAAAATTGGGCCCAAATAAATTTCTTGTACTTTGTATAAGACTTCAAAAAGTCACCTGTCCACTATGAGTAACTGACCCTAAATATATATTATAACATGAAACTAATATTTGCAAATTACAACTTGAGACAGGCCAGCTGTTGAATAAACCAGCATTAACACTCCCCACCAAATCATATACAAATGTATGTTATTAGTGAGATATGGACTCCTTACCTTCTTCTTGTCAGCTCCGATCTTGGCCTTCGCAATTCCCCGTACTTTCTTCTGTCTGTTCTTCCTCTCCTTCCTCTGCTTTCTTCCTGTTCTCTTCACTTCCACTAGGCCATGCTGTAACCACATAATTGTAGCAAATAGTTTCACATTTCAGGTTGAAAACACAGAAACAAACAATTGCTCAGGTCTCTTTATTAGAACATTTCATATAAAAAAGACGACAGCTAATAAAAAGATCAGATAAAGTAAAGGGTAACTAAAAATTTATTTAATGACACTGACAGACAGTAAACAAGCATGCCCGAACTCTGCAATTATCACATAAAGGAAATCAGTGCAATTTGTTATGGGGTGTAACACATCATTAGCCAGATCACACACTAAAACAATCAGACCATATAACCATGAGCAACATGGAGTGAGTGAGTGAGTGAGTTTAGTTTTACACAGCACTCAGCAATATTCCAGCTATATGGCGGCAGTCTGTAAATAATCGAGTCTGGACCAGACAATCCAGTGATCAACAACATGAGCATTGATCTGCGCAGTTGGGAACCGATTACGTGTCAACCAAGTCAGCGAGACTGACCACCCGATCCTGTTAGTCGCCTCTTACGACAAGCATGGGTTACTGAAGATCAATATTCTCACCCGGACCCTAACAGGTCTAAGCAACGGAAATATCTGCCGATGGTTACAATAAGAACATTGGTTTAACTCCGCTTTGAACAGTATGCCAGTTCTACCATGGTAACTTCACATGGGAGGAAAGCCTTATGTGATGATGGTCTCAGATGTTTACCACTCAGGTGAAACCACATACACGGTACAATGCTGACAACGTACATTCGGGCGAACATGGATTTGACCCCACCATTGTGTCAATTCAGCACAACAAGTTGGGGTACCACATACAGCTGGGACACTCCATGGTTGTTTATGCAGTATAAACAAGTGAAATGACAAAACTGAAGTAAACAATTCACGATTCATCAAACTTTTACTTACCCTTGCTAATCTGAATTTGGGCTCAAACTTCTTAGCATAATCGAGGGTGTCATAGATCAGGGCAAATCCTGAGGTTTTCCCACCTCCAAAGTGAGTAGTGAAACTAAAGCAGAAAATGACATCTGGGGTTGTCTTGTACATGCGGGCCAACTTCTCACGAATCTCAGTTTTCGGAACAGTAGCCCTGCCTGGATGGATTACATCCACAACCTAGAACAGATAGAATTCTACCTCAAACATCTCACCAAACAGAAATACAAACTGCACTTTCAAATAAACAAGAAATCAGTAGGAAAATCAGTACAAGCATAAGAACAAACATCCTGAAATCTAAAAGCTAATTAAAAATGTGTCCTCTGGATATGTTTTGCTGCTATAGTTTTTGCATCTAGAGGCCCCTTAATCTTTAACTTTGAGCACTTATGTTACAAGCATGAACAAAACGTAAAAAGAATAGACATAGTTTTGTGCATTGTGGGAGTAAAATAATAGTATATTTCATCACAATAGTTTCTGTTCGACAGTAGCAATGACACAATATTCATATCGATAATCATTCACAAATCTTCTCATCGCTGATATTCAAGATTTATATCAATCTCTTTAGCCAGCCCCAATGAAAACACTGAATAGTTGCAGTATTAACAAGGAACACAAATTACAATGACATTAGTAGCTTTGCAAGATCCTGGTATTATAAATATAACTTTATATGAATTTCAAACAATTCATACCATCTGCTTCCTGCTGAGCAGGCGGTTGGTCATGAACTTCCGCGTTCTGATAGTGGCCGCACCTTCGCTCTGCAAAAAGTAATTTGCAAATGTTGAAGTACATGAATACGAACGTCAGACACAGATTTTCAATGCCAGTGAGAAAGCAGTGATTGATAGCAAGCTTAATTCTGCTCAACTGTAAGTCAATCATATCACAGTATGTCAAATTGATGTAAGAGGAATGCCAGTGCTGATGCAGATGTTTATCACTATGGTGACACCTAGGAGTACGAGTTGACAACCCTAGAAACATAATGAAGCCAAACTATTCTCAGGGATGAGAATGAAGTTTTGAGAACAACTCTGAAAACTAGCCAGGGGCCAAATCGAGGCCAAATTATACGGATTTAGACGATTCACAAATATGACCCTTGGCCTAATGAAATTCCTGGAATTCCGCGGAAAATTCTCATCCCTGGATTCTACAATCATAGACGTCTGTCACATCAACAGAATAAAACTTATTGCAATCCCCAGGTGACTGGGTCGTCTGTGCCGCCAAGTGTTGGCTAGAAGTGTGACCAAGAGTACTTTTAAGGACATAAGGTACTCAAAAGTACTCTTGGTACTCATTGCTCTTGCTATGATAACCAATCATACTTTTTATCAGAGTTCAATAGTTTGCTTTAAACTCGGTTAATGTTATGGAAAATGACTAAACTGTCACATGGCGGTATGGCAATTTGAATTTGACATGGAATATTTAAATTCCAAATATATATTCCTTAAAATCCAATAAGCTTGCTAATATTTACAAAAGAGCGAAAATGTGATGGAATCTTATTAAATTAGTTAGGCTAAATGGGAAGTGTCATTTGTGTTTGCTGCACTGAATTGACGGAGAAAGCTATTAATTTTCATTTGCAGTTCACAACTTTTCATTGTGTACGATATTTTACAGTTATCACTGACCTGGTGCTCTAAAATCAGATAAAAATAAAAATAAGACCATCATAAATGTTTCACCCCGTCTATCGTACGACACGTTCTAAAATCCAAAACATTACGCTATGTCAGAGGGTGAACGGAAAATAACTGACATTATTACAGAAAACATAATGAAAAACAAATGTTCTTCATATTTTTAATAAAATACATGAGTAAGCGATAGCTGTTCATCTGCAATAACACACTGCGAAATTCCCACTACCGTTGTTGACATATTTGACACGATAAATACAACGTTTACAAAATCATTTCCAAACTTAAAGTTTTGTATATAATGCGTGAAGATGTAAACGTATGAAGTGAGTTATCTTAATAACATTGATTATCTTTATATTAAGAGATATATTTGGATTTTCAAGAGCACATCACATGTACCATTTTGAGGTCTTAATGGCCGCTAGGAAAAGACCGGAAGTAGAGAGTTATCGACGGAAGTCACACGCGAGACTTTCAAAGAGGGGAAAGATGCTTTAAACAGAAAGTAACACTTCCCAGTTGCAACAGAAAATATTCGTCGGTGGCTTAGAGTTGCATTTTATGATAGCCGTGTTCTGTTCAGTTTGAAAAGTGAGTCAAATAGTTACGGCGATCACTTTGTTTACATAGCATTGGGGGCACTTGCGAGGTTTTCCGAGAATTTACCTATCGATTAAGCAAGCGTTCGCAAGAACCGTCTTGTTTCAACTTCAAGTCAAGACATATGATCATTTAGCTTCGTCATCATTCTTGCGTTTACATACTATGCAGTTGCTTTCCTGGCCATTACAGCAGATTGCGTTGTAAGTTTGAAAGTCAGTTTACGAGTGGTCAGTGGATATATGACGATCAGTGAATGTATCACAATCAGACGTAAATTACGATCAGTGATACTGTCATTCATCAGAACCAATAAACAGAGATACCATCTATTTAGGTTGCTAACAATCACCCGTTACTGATGGACGTATATAAAACGCTCATATGATCAAGGTGAACTGTGCATACCAAGAGTGTTTTGTATATTATCAGGTGAAATGCTTGCTTTCATTTATAAATGGTTCAGAAGTAGAATATGAGGGACAAACCATGCCTTGTAATATTCCAGGAAGTATGGGGGCATTTGTCTGAGACATCATGTGCATTTTTGTTTATACCACTTCAAGACATGCGATTATACAGAAAGTGAAGCCCATTTCTGGTGTCCCCTGCCGTGACGTTGCTGGAATATTGCTAAAAGCGGCGTAAAACCAAACTCAGTCAGTCAGTTATACAGAATGCATTAGCCAGACAATTTGTATGAATCACAACACATTATATTTAGGATATTCTGTAAGTGAGTAAGGTTTTACACCGCTTATAGCAATATTCCAGCATACCATGCCAGAGGACACAAGAAATAGGCAACACATTTTGTACCTATGTGGGAAATCAAACCTGGGTGTTCAGGTTCAACACTTCAACCACTAGGCTGCACCCCCACCCCCCCACAGGACATTCACTATGTTGAGTGTGTGCAACATACTATTCCAAACATAGACCAAATCTATATCCAAACTCCTCATAGTCCCTAAAAAGAAGTGATAGATGAGTATGATTGTGAGTGATTTTTCAAATTGAATACCTCAACTTGGCCAATACTTTTCCTCCTATCATGTGGAAGATGCACACTCACTGGTGAAAATCACAAAAGGACCAATGACCCATTTCAAGGGTTATGCAGGGATTTTACAGGATGCGCATTCCTGCGTCCTATACGCATACAAATTCACAATGGACGCAACGAAATTTATTAGCACATCCACAGGGATGCAGAAAAAGTCCAAATACTGTTGTATTTGTATTTGTAATTCCAATCAAGTAACAATAAGTTATCACTGAGTTTGCTACTAGCTGAGTTATGGTATCATTTGCAATTTCATTACTATAACAATTAATGTGATGGTCATGATGCACAATACAATAACAGTATTAGTAAAAATATTTAAGTGTCTCACGGACCCCCATTTTGTTGTCCAGGACCCCTGAAAATTATAAGCATGAGTCCCAGGGACCCTCAAACACAGGACTCGAGGTAAATCTCTGGTTATGAAAGTCTGGGGATGGCATGCTAAATAGCATGCTTCAATGCATAATGTATCTATCAGTGAATTGTCTGCTCCTGAATCACTTTTTTACAGGTCATCATCATAAAGATGAAATGATGCTGAGTATGACATTTAATAAAAGCAAACACTAAAAAGTACCACACAGGCCCTTTATGAACTTGTCGCAACACAAATATATTTAGTGCTTTGCTTCTCAGAAAGGGTTTCAAGGATGCAGCTTGAACTGAATCATATGCCTGCCAGCATATTGTTTACATTTAAAGACTACCCCTATACAGCCTAAAATTCTGCAATATCCCATGATACCTCTTTAGATCAGACTGAGCCCAGGAGCTTGTGCCAACTTGCATCCTTGTGTTTATAATACTTTTTTATCTATACCCCAACAGAAGAATATATTTTGCTATTGTTTGATATATAGGGCCGTGGAGTAGCCTAGTCATTAAGGTGTTCGCTCGTCATGCCAAAGACCCGGGTTCGATTCCCCACATGGGTTCAATGTGTGAAGCCCATTTCTGGCATCCCCTGCCATGATATTGCTGGAATATTGCTAAAAGCGGCATAAAACTTAACTCACTCACTATTGTTTGATATATGAATATGCCATGGTAAATTTGAATAGATATGCTGATGCCAAGCTCTGTGATCAATGACTGGCTATCTAGTTTGTGTTTGTACAAGTTATCGTGATTTAGGTTTTGGTCAACTTTGAGGTCAACTGTTTTGGTGAATATGGTTTGATGTCACCAAGTTACAGGAGTGTTTTGCCTCTTCAATCTACAGGATGCTATTTGCTGACAATGAGTGAATCATCCACTAGGAAACTTCGACAATCGACTTTGCAGTTTAAACCAACACCAATTTCACCAAAGAAAAGGAAGATGGGTAAATATATCAATGTATATATGTCTGGTGATAAGAGTGATCTTGGCAAAATTTGATCAGCAGTATTGGAGGGCATCATTTGGTATATTTACATCAAGTGTAGCATTTTGAGCATATTCTGGCTCTCAGCATCATTCGTTTGAAAATTATAATGATACCAGCTAGAATGAACAGACTTTCATTCTACTTCGGTTTTGGACTAGTTACTTAAGTTGTGGATGCACCAAAAGTCTAAGTCCATTTTGGTCCATTTTGTATTTAAATCATTCATGCCATAGATTTATTAAGAGATACATTGAAACACACTGTCAGGTTTAAGGACAGGCCATTAGGTATTTTTAAGGGGCATAGGCAATATTAACGCTGGTGACAATATGTAATTTTTATATACAGTGAAACCTGTCTAAACCGGCACCCCACGGGAATGAAATAAAATGCCGGTTTAGACAGGGTGCCGGATAAGACAGTGACGATCATTTTCCAACATGACTGCCATTTACACTCGTCAATCTCTTTATCTCTGAAATGCCTTAGATATTTTGTAATTGTGCAACAGAGTAAAACAATGTTGAGACGGTAATCCCATCCCGGGTTTGAGCGTTTGATTCACCTTGCAACCACTTCTTCCTGATTATCTAGCGTGCCAAAAAAATTAATTAGTGTATTGGACTATGAGGGGTGGTGGTGTAGCCTAGTGGTTAAAGCGTTGGCTCGTCACGCCGAAGACCCGGGTTCGAATCCCCACATGGGTACAATGTGTGAAGCCCATTTCTGGTGTCCCCCGCCGTGATGTCGCTGGAATATTGCTAAAAGCGGCGTAAAACCAAACTCAGTCAGTCAGTATTGGACTATGGGTCCTTGATTGGACTGCTCATACCCATGCTGGTTTAGACAGTGTTAATTACAGTTAAAATTGCTTGTTGGGACCAGAAAGTCATGCCAGAATACGGAATAGACAGGTGCTGGATTAGACAATGTTTTAATGATCATAATATCATTGTAAAATGGCTGGACCAAAATTTTATGCCGGTTTTGACAATGTGCTGGATTAGACAGGTGCTGGTGTTGACAGGTTACACTGTATGTTGAAAAGTGACATCATATTCACATGCTTCTCCCAGATGGGGCAAACCAAGAAAAGGAAGAGAAGAGACAGAAGGCTGCTGATGCTGCAGATCGTAGAGCAGCAAAAAAATGCTGCAGCTTCTCCACAGGAAAGGTATGATTAATTTTACCCAATTATGAAATTATTGGTATAATAACTACACAAAGTATGGCCACTTAATGCACTGCTACTGTCATGAAATTCGAGTAAGAATTGGTTTTCTGCAAACCATGCTTGTTGACTACTGGATTGAGGTGGTGAGACTGGCTGACTTGGTTGGTGCTATTGTATCCCATATGAGTTTATTAGTGCTTATGATGTCCAACACTGGATTGTCAGGTTCAGACTTGATTTGGGGTGGTGGGGTTGCCCAGTGGTTAAAGAATTGGCTCGTCACGCCAAAGACACGGGTTCAATTCATACATGGGTACAATGTGTAACTTGTAAGGCCTCTGGTGTCCCCTGCCATGATATTGCTGGAATATTGCTTAAAGCGGCAAAAAACCATACTCGCTTGCTTGTCAGACTTGATGATATTCAAACAGATAGCTGGATTATTGATGAGTTTAGCAACAAAGAAAGTGCATTTGCAAGTTTCAGGGTTTTCATTGTTAGATTACACAGGGTTAATCAACATAAATGTTAACATGAACTCATTGACAATCAAGACAATCCCTAAGGATATAAATAGCTAGAGCAAGTTGAGAATGAACGTACTATTTTGTTTCCCTGAGATCCAAGAATTGTTTCCAGAGGAATTGGTATTCCAAGTATACATGTACATTCACTTAATCTCTATTATGAAGTCTCTATTATTCGCACATTATTAACACGAAAAAAGGAAGAACACCACTTAAGGAGTGTCAAAGCTTCTGCTGCCGTTTTATGTTTTCCAAAGAAAAATGTCATGTAACTGCAAATGCTGTTATCCCTCTATGATCACAGTATAGTGAAAATTTCATATTTAGCTCATGTTTGAACTGCAAACATGCTATGTGCCCTAAGATTCACAAATGGTTTTGTCTGTATGTATGAACTTTCTGTTGATTCTGTAGTGATGTAAAGATCCCTCAAACATCAAAGTACTTTGACAATAAGGAAGCAGAAGAATCAAAACAAAAGAAAGGTAAGCAAACTCTTCAAAGTCATTTGTGCACATTTTTCATCATTATGTATATGTTTTTACTTTTATGCAGAACTTAAGTGAGAAAATTGCAAATGAATCGTCACCATGTAATGTTTTAAATGTGTACACTGATTATGATTTGACTGTTTGCAGCAAATACCTTGTTCATAGACACAAATGTGATGCGTTGTTGCCAAGGTTTCAACATGTACAAGGAAAATATTCCAGAAAGTTTAGCAATATTAATTGAAGTTCACTGATTGGTCTTTGGCCTCGAGCTAGAGAGACCAGGTGGCCAAGTTGTTAAAGTTGTTAAATCGTATGACTGGGTTTGCAACTATGAATTTTTAAACTTATCCTATCTCACGATTTGCACTTCTCTCTCTTGCTTCGAAGCTGAGTGGAACGAATGAGAACTTTGCCTGTAGGCCTCTCTTGTCCCTACGCCCGTGTTCCCCAGGCTCCTCTCTTTATAGGACAGGTCCCTAGTCCCTGGCAAAGCGTGCAGCACGTTCCCCTGTCTACAAACGTGACTACCTCAGAGTAATCATTCTTCTTCTTGTCGCACCACTGTATGGACATATTGTGAGAGTTGTCAGTTTTCCTTAAAAGTTAACATGACAAATATATCATGGGAAGTTAACCCAAAGTAGCGTAATTTTGCGCACACTGTAACAATATTTACTTCCTCGGATCCCCACTCGTCATGTGTGGGTTGTATTGACCTGTGTTCCTGAAGCAAGCGTTGTCGGGAATGTTCTCCCTTATCAAGGACGTTTTTAGAGCATATAGACATGCTTGCTCCCGTTGGCTGGCAGACAGAGCTCGTTACACTTCAACAGTTGATCACCCGACAAAAAAACCCGCTTTCAACGACCAGTATTACCTGCTCGTCATTTGGAGATTCCTATGTCGGAAGGTGATGATTTTACTGGCGCATCATCAGATGACTACTCGTCGTTCCGCCTTATCGAACCGCTCTGTGTTGCCAGCCGACTCACACAGCCGATCTACATCATCAAATCGCAGAACCGATTCACCACACTGAATCAGTTCGCCACACCGAATGGATTCACCAGGCTGAACCATTTCGCCAAGGCGTATTGGATCTAGACGTCGACTCGCCAAGGCGTTTGGATCACGACCTCGACTCAATTCGCCATTTATAAGACTGTTTCTTATCGCTGAAACAGTTCACATCATCGGTTTGCCTCGCCATAACGGCTTTCTTCACCGAAACGATTCACCTCAGCCGGAACATTTCACCTCACCGGTTCATCTGATCGTTCTAGATCTCTCCGTCAGCTGAGATCATTTAAACGTTTCGGATTACCAAACTGGTCCAGATCACAGTCACGATCCAGATCACAACGCCGATCCAGATCACATCAACGTTCTGGCTCACTATTCTGAATCAGATCACTAAGCTGAACCGATTTACTAGCCAGACTTGTCCCATTTCACCAGGCCGAGCTGCTTCATATCGCCGAACCAGTTCACCTGGCCGTTCAAGATCACTTAATCGTCAGCATTCATCAAACTGTCGGCTTTCGTCAATAATCTGTTCCTCGGACCTTGCGTACCAATTGAGTTGATTCACCCGAATTCGGCGATTCACCACTCGTCTTATTTCCAAAACGACGCATCTTACCAGCCTATTGGTTCGCCAGAGCCTATGCAAATTGTGTCTGGGATGCCTCCCAAGCCACATAACCCACATCGAACTTCGTCTTTGTTTTCATGGTTCGGGCTATGCCAGTCGCCTTTAAGATGCAGGAATTGTTTTGGTTGATTTGACACACATAATCGCTTGGTTCACCGACCACCTACAGCTACCTAGAGGAAAATACCAGATGTTCTATTTATTACATTCAACATGAAGGATCGGGACTTGTCAACACTGGTTTTTAACATCCTCAACGAGGATCGTGAACTTGCATCTAGATACGGCCAAATTTGTCAAACTCTGCTAGTTTTCAACACGATCCTAGTTTTCAGGACATCTGTAAGGCGCTGAATTCCTCACCACGAAGTGGCAAGCTCTAAGCACGACAAACTGATTTGTTGATCCGGTTTACCTTACGGCTTGTGAGGCGTTTAAAGTTTTTAGTCACCTGACTTATCACACCTGGTTCCCTTTTTCTGCTGGTTGAACCGAGGTAGTAGCTATGTGCTTCACCATGCTGAATCGATTCACATTTAATGTCAGTAGCGCAGTCATCTAGACATATTACGCTCGGCACTTGACGGTCTGACGATTCCAGTTCTCAAGATTCCTCCGTGACCCCGATTTAATCTACCATCCAATCTTCACCCTTGATGAATGATTCGGTTCAAAGAAATTATCTTCGGCGTAGATATCAGCACTAGGACCACCAGATAGGGCATTATTAGATGAGCTTGCTAGCCAGGAATACTTTACGATGCTTCACTGAGTCTTGTTACTACAGACTACTCGTAACAGCGTGTTTGTGTATCACTGGGTGCAATCATTGCAGATGGTTCGTCATCTTCAGCACCCTGCGTTTTACATCATCAGCAAGTTTCTGGACAGATAACAGATGGGTCATTTTTTGTGTGCATGGTACCAGCAGCGATGTCTTGTCAAGTAGTCAGCATAGCGCAGCCTGGAATTTATGGGTTGTGACTAGCCCGGTTAACCGAAGACTGTGGTGTCCGGATTTTGTCGCATCGTGGGTAATGTTTGCAAATGGCAGACTACTGTTTGTTTACTGGAATATTGATGATGAGAGTGACTATGAAGTGCCCTGGCAGACTTGTCTTGGTCCCACGAGTCCGATATCAAGTCGACGCATCTCTCAAGCTGGGGCGCTCACTTTCTCCATCAAGTGGCCTAGCAGTGGTCATCAGGAGAAAGGGCCTTTCATATCAACGAATTGGAATTCAGCACTGTCATTTTCGCCGTTCGGCATTGAGCAGTTGATCTACGGTTCACTCATATACTGATTCAATCAGACATTTCGATGGTAGTTTGATACATAACACATCAGGGGTCAACGGCAGTTCTACTTCAGTTGATATTTCGAATTTATCATCTGATCGATTCACTCAACACAGTGACCAAAGCCTGACACATTCCCTCGATGAGCAATGTCATTGCCGATGCCCTGTCACGTCCCAAACACCCGTCACTCACGGAGTGGAAACAACTGCTTCTGATATTCCAATCGAAGATCTACCTGTTATCAACCAGATGTAGACCTGTTCGCCACTCGGTACAACCATCAGCTTCAGCGCAGATGATCACCAGTTGCGATTGTTGCTGCTTTGTGTACAATCTGAATAAATTCTGAATTTTATTTCTAAATTTGTGTCTTCGATTCTTCTGGGACTTCGATTTCTCCTCTCAATTTAATTTGAGACTCTGGAGAGTCGCCACCTCACTTACTGTCGTCTGCTCTGTGGAGTAATTACATCAGTGAAGTGAGTCATTCCCGAAGTGTTACACTTCGTAGCGTTCATGCTCCTAAGTACCTATACACATCTATGTGATCTTACTGTGGTAAGGAGTGGAAGTCATAAGATGATGTTGTGGTACTGAAATTGTGAGTTTTCCAATTCAATTACCCTTTCACCCTCCTCGGGATGGTGTCTGTGGGGGTTGTTTCGAAGCAGGGGCTGGCCCAATACTAGTCATTAGACTTTTATTACAGGGGGTACCTTGGAAATCGTGGTAATACGACTGATTACACTCGCTAAGCTGCGTCCTTTCAGTTTCGTGAAGGTAGTGACTGAACACCACATTGCTCGGGAGTCCCGGTCCCTGGGAGCAATTGTGCTTAGTAAGTCAATGGGTTCGAACTAACCATCGCACGTAGTGACCTTGTTAGTTATGGGCCTACCTTGTCGTTGCTCCCTACGGATGTAGAAGTGTTCGACAATCTTGCTCGCTGACCTCTACTCCACGGAGCAATCACGTCAGTGTAGTGAGTCCTTCCCGATTTCCTAGTTGCATTTGCCTAGTTGCATTTTCTTGTGTATGCGAGGGTTACTGCTGAACACCACATTGCTCAGGAGCACCCACTCCATTGGAGCGATGGCGCTTAGTAAGCCAAGGGGTTCAGGAGAACCCATCACTAGTAGAGGTACGATGCTAGTCAGATCCGGCCTCCCTTGTTCATTGCTATCTACGGTTGTCATTAGCCTATACAGTACCGTATTGTATTATTTGCAGGGATTAAGATTACCGAGCGTATTTGTCTCGTACACAAAGCCGGAAATAGCAATCAGCTGTGCACACGTTTCCCGGCGAACAAGTTCAAACATGCACAATAATATAACGGGACGAATTCTGACGCAGTCATCAGTAAAATATAATACAGAATACCATTATTTAACCCAAAGAAATATATCCTAGCATTGTGTAATTTTAGTTACAGTTTTTGCTCTATAAATTAATTAAGATTACCGTGTGTATTTGAGCCGGAAATAGCAATCAGCTGTGCACACGTTTTCCGGCGAACAAGTTCAAACATGCACAATAATATAACGGGATGAATTCTGACGCAGTCGTCAGTAAAATATAATACAGAATACTATTATTTACCCAAAGAAATATATCCTAGCATTGTGTAATTTTATTTACAGTTTTTATGTAACATATATATAATCAACACTAAGGTTATCATGGACCCTCATGAGCGTGGTAAGCACATGGAATGGGTAAAATCACTGAGGAAGCCATTTAAATTCACACATTTTTACCGATGTTACTGTAAACTAGCAGTCAATGGAAAGCGAGTGAGGTAATCAGTTCGTGATTGTTGAATGGGGTAAAATAAGCAAGCCAGTTTGTTGCTACAATAAATATGATATTTAGAGAAGCAAAATATATTATGCATTTTCTGTCAACTACACTTCGTTTCGATCCGTGAGTAGACACAATATATATGACAGTGAATTCTTTGAATAATGTGGACCAAAGTTATAATTATTGGTAACTGCCAGTTGTCTGTGGTCTGTGTTTGCCGCGATTAGGACCCCATCGCGGGGATCGACTTATGCACGAAACATGCCATTTTGACACTGATTTTAAGGATCAAGTTTGGGGGTCGTCTTATCCATGGGGTCGTCTTATAGACGGTCATATACGGTATATACTGTCAGTGCCTTTTGACTTAGGGTAATCTGCGACCCGCCATCCAACCGTGGGATAAGTGCAAATCGTGAGATAGGATAAGTTTAAAAATTTGGACATTTTAATATAAATTGTATATTTATATACTTATCCTATCTCACGCGATGGATGCCCACCCAGCCTCCCCTCTACTCAGATTACGACGGTTACGTATAACTGTCATTGGCTCCAAGAAGAGAATGATCACTCTGAGGTAGTCACATGGGTAGACAGGGGAACGTGCTGCACGCTTAGCCAGGGACTAAGGACCTGTCCTATAAAGAGAGGAGCCTGGGGAACACAGGCGTAGGGACAAGAGAGGCCTACAGGTAAAGTTCTCATTCGTTCCACTCAGCGTCGAAGCAAGAGAGAGAAGTGCAAATCGTGAGATAGGATAAGTATATAAATATACAATTTATAATAAAATTTCCAATTCACCCCATTATTCTTGGTTTGTCAGCTCCATACCTGTGGTCATGGGTTTCACAAAGGGGTTAAAGTCTATGACAGTGTTAAATCTGGCTTAGATCCCACATGAGGCTCAAATACTTTGACATAACTTAACTACTGCTCAATAGGGCACAAAACTCATTCACTGACCACATTTACAGTAGGCAGGGATGAAAATGACTGTATGCTGTTTGTTTTAGAAACCGAACCCACTGAAGAGAAAGCTAGTGAAGTAAATCCTGAAGCAGATGGGAGTTCGGTGGATCCCCCAAAGGAGAAGTCTGATGCGGATGCACCGACCCAGCAGTATGAGATGTCCCCTGGAGAACCAGGAGAGTATGTCACCGATTGTTGCTCACAGTATCAATCACTTGATTGTCTGATCCACCATCAGTTGTTTATAAGCTTCCTTCATATAGCTGAAATACTGCTGTTAAAGCAGAGAAAAAGCTTATAACCTTTCTTGTTAAGATTGTGAGTTGAATGAAAATTGGGCATTTGTTTCTCCTGGAAGTGATGTTATAAACTGGACATTTTTATAACTTTGTTTAAAATTTGTGTTTCATTGAGCATATACCTTGACTTGTTATCTACAGGTAAATTGTTATCTTTAACATTAAGGACCAAAGATGAACATCGAGAGATACTGCTTTCACCTGCGGAGGTTAAGTCAATTGATTCACAATACATGTTGCTGGTAAAGAAGTTTGGGACCATTCAGGGAATCCTGCAAGTAGGCATAGACTCAGTTAGTTGCAGGTTGCTGTGATACGGCTAGAAAATGGCTATCTGTAGCAAAAAGCAACATTTACTTCAGTTGTTCTTGACTGGTTGGATGACCAAGGAGGTGTCACTGAGGGGATGTTTCATCTTGGCAACATACATTGGTGCTTGAATGGCAGTTTTTACTTGCGTTTGCAGCTCCCAGAAAACAGAAGCTTCTGAAGACTCCCTGGATGGAGTGATGGAAATTGATATCCCAAACAAGAAACCCAGCATGTTGCAGCGAGAGAGTAGTTGGAGGGTGAGTACCTACTTCTTACTGTAGCTGGAGGATGAGTTCCTACTTGTCACTGTAGCTGGAGGGTGAGTTACTACATGTCACTGTAGCTGGAGGGTGAGTTACTACATTTCACTGTAGCTTGAGGGTGAGTTACTACATGTCACTGTAGCTGGAGGGTGAGTTACTACATTTCACTGTAGCTGGAGGGTGAGTTACTACATGTCACTGTAGCTGGAGGGTGAGTTACTACATGTCACTGTAGCTGGAGGGTGAGTTACTACATTTCACTGTAGCTGGAGGGTGAGTTACTACATGTCACTAGCTTGAGGGTGAGTTACTACATGTCACTGTAGCTGAGTTACTACATTTCACTGAGCTGGGGTGAGTTACTACATGTCACTGTAGATGGAGGGTGAGTTACTACATTTCACTGTAGCTGGAGGGTGAGTTACTACATTTCACTGTAGCTGGAGGATGAGTTCCTACTTGTCACTGTAGCTGGAAGGTGAGTTACTAGATGTCACTGTAGTTGGAGGGTGAGTTACTACATTTCGCTGTAGCTGGAGGGTTAGTTACTACATGTCACTGTAGCTGGAGGGTGAGTTACTACATTTCACTGTAGTTTGAAGGTGAGTTACTACATTTCACTGTAGCTGGAGGGTGAGTTACTACATTTCACTGTAGATGGAGGGTGAGTTACTACATTTCACTGTAGCTGGAGGGTGAGTTACTACATTTCACTGTAGCTGGAGGGTGAGTTACTACATTTCACTGTAGCTGGAGGGTGAGTTACTACATGTCACTGTAGCTGGAAGGTGAGTTACTACATGTCACTGTAGCTGGAGGGTGAGTTACTACATTTCACTGTAGCTGGAGGGTGAGTTACTACATTTCACTGTAGCTGGAGGGTGAGTTACTACATTTCACTGTAGCTGGAGGGTGAGTTACTACATTTCACTGTAGCTGGAGGGTGAGTTACTACATTTCACTGTAGCTGGAGGGTGAGTTACTACATGTCACTGTAGCTGGAAGGTGAGTTACTACATTTCACTGTAGCTGGAAGGTGAGTTACTACATTTCACTGTAGCTGGAGGGTGAGTTACTACATGTCACTGTAGCTGGAGGGTGAGTTACTACATTTCACTGTATCTTTAGGTTGAGTTGCTCCATGTCATTTACAGCTGGCCAGTGAGTTAATGGCCGTAACAGAGAGATTATCCTGATCATGTAAGACTGTTTCTCTTTTTTATTCTGCCAGCCCTTGTAAAAATGAAAATATAAAAACAAATTCTGCTTCCTAATGGCTGACACAGGGCACCAAGAGTCTTGCTGTAGCAACATCTGAAGAGAATGTGAGGGACTTTGAGGGATTAACACTCCCTATTCAATTTCCACCTGAGTTTGATTTTTGATCAGTTGATGATGAAAAGATAAGAAAAAATGTTCTATTATTCATGTTTTCCAGATAGCCATGTTACAGTGTATTATATATGATTTTTACACAGGGCATTAAGCTGACAGACCTGAAGACAACCCCAAACTGTTTAGGATTGGTGAAACCTCTGAACAGGAAAGACCATACAGTGCTTATCAAACTGCCAGTAAGTTGCCAGCTGCCATTTTCATATTTCTGATGTGCAGGATCGCTTCGGTGAAATTTGAAATTGACTCATCATACCTCGACCTCATGGAATGTTGCTCATGATATCAATCACAGGGTGGCTTATCCAGACTATATTATAGACGGGAACACCGAGGAGGCAAAGCAGGAACGTGATCTATTCAACCCTTGCTCTAGTATATAATAATGATTAGTCATCTTCTATAGCGCACAGTCTCCAAACACCAAGTGATTGCTGGCCTCGCTTAATCAGAATCCGATTCTTATTACCCCGGATAACCCAAGCTGCCTCTTAGGCACTAGAAGGAACTTTATCCAACCGGGTACCCATTTTCTGCTGGGTGAACAGAGGCAATTTTGAACAAACTCACTTGCCTGAGTTGAGACCACATGTACCACATGTGCTTCGTTGTGGGGCAGGACTGAAGTCCTAGAAACTCTCAGGAGTCAAGCTGCCAAACATGGGTCACCCATCCAAGGACTGTCCGAGCTCGACGTTGCTTAACTTCAACTGATTCGTGACCTGCGCTCTGAGCACAGGACCATAGGTCAAAAGTGGAATATGCAAGATAATTTTTTAAAGTTCAAAGTAAACAGACCCGTGAAGATCCGGGTTAGAATTGGTCTTCAGTAACCCATGCTTGTCATAAGAGGCGACTAACGGAATCGGGTGGTCACTTGGTTGACACATGTCATAGGTCAAAATTGCGTAGATCAACGCTCATGATGTTGGTCACTGGATTGTCTGGTCCAGACGAGATTATTTACAGACCACCATCATATGTTTGGAATATTGTTGAGTGAAGTGTTAAACAACAAACAGACAGACCAATGTGAACAGGTCTGATATGAGCCACACTGTAATATATCCAGGTTTCCATCAGAAATTCTTCCAGCTTTGAGAAGTCAGCACCACTGCAACTAAGTCTTTGAAATAGTCCATAAATGTGAAATGGAAAATTATATACTGATGAAAAGTAATATATTGAACCAAGGGATATTTTCTGCATGGAATTATTCCGTTTTCAGTATCAGTTCTCTGACCAAGATACGCAACCTCCGTCACCCTATCCTGCAAGCTTCATGGACAAATGGGATCAGGATCATGTGCGTATGCCTTGTTCGCCGCAGAATGAATACCCTGTTGAAACCAAGGTGAGATAATTATTCTTTCAACCCATTTGAAACCAAGATGAGATAACTCTGTGTTGCTGACTATTGCAATATTGAATCATTCTCAAAAAGGCAGAAGTGAAATAAGTTATTCCAAAAATGTTCCCAATAATTTTACTAGATATTAATCTTGTGTCCACTCCTTATCACACATAAGATTAATAATTAGTTAAATATTACATATCACTTGTTACCTTTGGTTGGAAAATTTACAGAAAAGTGTGGGTGATAAAAGCTGATGCCAAACTTGATTTAGTATCTTTTAAGGCATATTTTCAGACAGTTTATCAGTATGTTTAGACACCATGTACCCATGGAATTCCTAAATTTCTAAGTGTGGGGTTTGTAAACAAGGCAAATCTTAACAGGTCCCTGAATATCCCTGATCATTGTATGTTTATGAGTATCATTTGTCTACACAGATGCACAATGCCATTTAGAAAGTGGTCAAATGTAACATATGTTATATTTGGGATTACACTTTCTTGGTAAAGTACAGATTCTAGTACTTTTGTTGGGTTGAGTCCACACCCTCAGAGTCAGGCACCTAATCGCCAGGCACCTAATCGCCAGGCACCTAATCGCCAGGCACCTAATCGCCAGCACACAAAGAAATTGTAATCCCAATCATGTTACATTTGACCACTTTCTAAATGGCTTTGTGTAATCTTAGCTTTCGGCCGTGGGAGTCGTGCCAATTTACACTTATCAGAGGGGTACACAAAGTCCGCAGTCTAGACTATCAGTTATCCACTTCCATTTTTGTGGAGGTTGCAGTGGATGAGAGGGTTAGGCGGCTGACTGTGTGCTGGCGATTAGGTGCCTGACTGTGAGGGTGTGGGTTCGGAGCCCGGATGGGACTCAACCCAACAAATGTACTAGAATCTGTACTTTATTAGGAAATTGTAGTCCCAAATATAACATATGTTACATTTGTCTACACGTTAGCAGCAAGTCATTTGACACACATGTACGTGATGAATTACCCAAGTTTACCTTAGTATAGGCGTCGTTTAAGTGGGTTCATGCCTAACATTTTCCAAAATTCAGAAATACAGTAAATGTTTTCCTAACATTAAAAGGGTATAAAATTAATTAAGGTGTAATACATATTGTCTAATATTTTCATTGCAGACAGCGAAAACAACACTTCGTCAACGCTGGGGTCTCATTGAAGAAGCTTTGTCAGGAAAAATCAGTGGCCCTTTTGAATTGGAGGTTTGTCATATATATTTGAAGACCTGAGAAATTCCCTTCCTTTGTCTTTATTTGATAATACCCTGCTTTAGAAACCTATGAATATTGTACAAAAGTTATGAACATTATGGCATGTTATCCATATTAGAAAAAATGTGTGTATGATGTTGTTGGCTTCATGTTTAACTGGTATTTTAAGACCGCTGCCATATAGCTGGAATATTGCTGAGTGCGGCGTAAAACTAAACTCTCTCACTCACTCACTGGTATTTTAATGAACTACTGTTAACTAAAATTGTTAACAATGGCTTGTCATGTGTCAGGCAGTGAAAGAGACTAGTTTTTGAAGTGTTCACATTAATTGTCTGTGCCATGCCGACTCACTAATCTTGTGTCAGACAGTGAAAAATACTAATGGTTAAAGTTTTCGCATTAATTGTCTGTGCCATGCCGATTCACTAACCTTGTGTCCGAGTGAGTGAGAAAGACTAGTGTTTGAAGTGTTTGCTAGATTTGTCTATGTCACTCTCACTCCCTAATCTTGTGTCAGACAGTGAAAAAAACTAATGGTTAATGTGTTCGCATTAATTGTCTGTGCCATGCCGACTCACTAATCTTGTGTCAGACAGTGAAGAAACCTAATGGTTGAAGTGTTCGCATTAATTGTGTTTGTCATGCTCACTAACTTGTGTCAGATTTTATATCTTTTTAGTTTGGGTGGATATATGGATAGTAAAATTACCAATCAATGACTCCCTCCCTTGTCACTATCAGGATGTTTTGTATCTTTTCAGGATGCTATCTTAACATACAACCAGAGGTATTCCAAGAAGTGGGATTTCTCATCTTTGAAGCAGTACTTTCTAGACGTATGTATCCCAGCTTTCTCTCATCATAACCCAGATACATTAAACAGCTAATTAATGAATGTGACTCCATGGGGGAGTTGGTCCAAGCAATATGTGCTTGTTGTCTCTAAGTAAGTCCAATCGTAGTTGGTACTCCATATATTAAGACGGAATGAGAATATACGTTCATTGTTTTTTTGTTTGGACCATTATGAAAGAGAATAGAGTTGGGGCTTGAGTATGTAGTTAGGGGGTGCCTTCACAGCTGAGATGTATCTACTGTATCTACGGAACACAGAACGTTTCCACTATATCTCAGGTAAAGGGACAGAGAACCAATTGGTTTGAGTCAAGATAAGTATAAAATACTCTGAAGAAAACATTTTTGTATTTCAGTATTTGAGGAGAGAAGAGCGTAATGACTTCTTTTCCGACACTCTTCCCAAGATGATAAAGCTAGCATTACAACTGCCTTTGCTGTGCACAACTGTAAGTATCTTTTGGAAAAGTCTGGAGCAATCTATATGATCACAATGATGCTCTGGTACATCTCAACACGATAATGATGATGCTCTGGTACAACTCAACATGATCATGATGATGCTCTGGTACATCTCAACATGGTCATCATGATGCTCTGGTACAACTCAACATGACCATGATGATGCTCGAGTACAACTCAACATGGTCATGATGATGCTCTGGTACATCTCTACACGATCATCCAGATGCTCTGGTACAACTCAACATCATCATGATGCTCTGGTACAACTCAACATCATGATGATGCTCTGGTACAACTCAACATGATCATCATGATGCTCTGGTACAACTCAAACATCACAGTATCATCCAGATGCTCTCAATCTCATGCTCTGATCATCATGATGCTCTGGTACAACTCAACATCATCATCATGATGATGCTCTTGGTACAACTCAACATGATCATCATGATGCTCTGGTACAACTCAACATGATCATCATGATGCTCTGGTACAACTCAACATGATCATCATGATGCTCTGGTACAACTCAACATGATCATGATGATGCTCTGGTACAACTCAACATGATCATGATGCTCTGGTACAACTCAACATGATCATGATGATGCTCTGGTACAACTCAACATGATCATCATGATGCTCTGGTACAACATGATCATCACATGACTTTGTACAACTCAACATGATCATCATGATGCTCTGGTACAACTCTACATGATCATGATGCTCTGGTACAATGCATGGGTAGGTGATGAACATGATGATGCAAACTCAACATGATCAATGATGCTGGTACATGATCTGGTACAACAGTGATCTCAACATGATCAACATTATCATCATGATGCTCTGGTACAACTCAACATGATCATGATGCTCTGGTACAACTCAACATGATCATCATGATCCTCTGGTACAACTCAACATGATCATCATGATGCTCTGGTACAACTCAACATGATCATCATGATGCTCTGGTACAACTCAACATGATCATCATGATGCTCTGGTACAACTCAACATGATCATCATGATGCTCTGGTACAACTCAACATGATCATGATGCTCTGGTACAACTCAACATGATCATACAACTGATGCTCTGGTACAACTCAACATGATCAATCATGATGCTCTGGTACAACTCAACATGATCATCATGATGCTCTGGTACAACTCAACATGATCATGATGCTCTGCTCTAACTCAACATGATCCATGATGCTCTGGTACACTCAACATGATCATCATGATGCTCTGGTACAACTCAACATGATCACTCATGATGATGCTCTGGTACAACTCAACATGATCATGATGCTCTGGTACAACTCAACATGATCATCATGATGCTCTGGTACAACTCAACATGATCATCATGATGCTCTGGTACAACTCAACATGATCATGATGCATGAACATGCAACATCTGGTACAACTCAACATGATCATCATGATGCTCTGGTACAACTCAACATGATCATCATGATGCTCTGGTACAACTCAACATGATCATCATGATGCTCTGGTACAACTCAACATGATCATCATGATGCTCTGGTACAACTCAACATGATCATGATGCTCTGGTACAACTCAACATGATCATCATGATGCTCTGGTACAACTCAACATGATCATCATGATGCTCTGGTACAACTCAACATGATCATCATGATGCTCTGGTACAACTCAACATGATCATCATGATGCTCTGGTACAACTCAACATGATCATCATGATGCTCTGGTACATGCTCAACACAACTCATCATGATGCTCTGGTACAACTCAACATCATCATGATGATGCTCTGGTACAACTCAACATGATCATCATGATGCTCTGGCACAACTCAACATGATCATCATGATGCTCTGGTACAACGTGTTATTTTGTCAAGTCACAGTATAGCCTAAATATTGCCATAAGGACTGAAAATTTGGATTCACCCACTCGCATGTTTGTACATTGAGACTGTTGACCTTCCATTCCCCAGCCTATTCCACTACTGAAGCAGGGCAAGCCACACTCTATAACCTTGAGTCAACAACAAATAGCTTGTCTCCTTGCCAACGCCTTCTTCTGTACGTTTCCTCGCCGGAATACAAGACAGCGCACGCAGAGTACTCAAATTATCCGGAGATCAACTTCAATGTGTAAGTAAAAGCTGTGTTATACTAGTATTTGGTTGACATAGACCCTCAACATATACTTGTCGTAAGAGTGAGTGAGTCAATATTTAGCAATATTCTAGCAATATCATGGCAGGAGACACCAGAAATGGGCTTCACACATTGTGCCCATTTGGGGAATCGAACCCGGGTGAACCCTTCAACCATTAGACTACCCCACCGCCCCACTTGTGAGAGCTGACCAAATCGGTAGTTAGGTGGTCATAGTGTGCGACTTTGTTGGTGATCATACCCTGTTTCGAGGTTTTTAGGGTCTTGACAGGGTGTTACAAGTCAGTGCTCAGTAGGATCTGGGTCCTTCAGTCAGCAGTCATTATTTTTTCAGCTTTGTTTAAAATAGATGCTTGAACACAAGAAAAGCTGTCAAGTTACATATAAATTGTGAAATATTTTGATGCAAATGCAGATCTGTCATTCTGTAGGGAATCATGGGGAAAATGGTTCTGTTTTCGAATCATTGCTGTAAATTGTAATGCATAACAATATAAGTATACATATATACATAAGAGTATAAATAGAATATATTACACGAGCAAGTGTGTCATACGTCTTATATTTAACAAGTGTAAAATTTTGTACTGCCCGAGAAAGGTCAAGAGCAATACATAATTTTGCACAAGTTACGTATAAGTCATGTGACACACTTGCTCCAGTGTAATAATTGCTTTATTATCCGTGTTATTCATGTACATTTGTGCAGTAAAACACGGTAAGCAAGTGTGATGGCCCTCTTCATTGACGTCACGTTCAATTGTTTAATGACGTCACCGACGACAAAATACAGAAACAGTGGTTGCTAGGCAAAAGTGATGTGTGCACATGTGCACATATGATATATAAGACACTGGTTATGTTTCACCATTTGGATGATAAGTAACAACACAGTACTATAATTACTGTTTGCAGATTGTTCCAGGGCCACCCAAGTCGGAGGAAAATGGAGAAATTACGATGTATAACCCACTACTTTAAACGAGTAACAGACAAAAGTAGGTGCAAAAAGTGGTGCCAAGGCTTATATATTGTACAGATTTGTCATCAGATAACTTTGTTTTGATGTACATCAAAATAGTCATGGTAACAAAAATGGATTTTTCAATTTGGACTTCAGTTAAGCATTTAATATTTTCAGCTTACATGGCTTACTGCAAGGGTTTTGGTTTTCTTGCAGTGTCCCTTTCTTACAGCAACTAGAACAATCTTTCCCAACCCTTGTAGTGCCCCTTTGTACAGTTACTAGAAAATCTTTCCCAACCCTTGCAGTGCCTCTTCCCCTTGTTACAGTAACTAGAACTATCTCTAGTAACCCTTCCAGTGCCTCTTGGTACAGTAGACCGCCTTCGTGGTGTAGTGGTTAGAGTGTCCGCCCGGAGAGCGGAAGGTTGCGGGTTCGATCCCCGACCACGTCATACCAAAAGACGTTAAAATATGGTACTTGTTGGTCCCTGCCTGGCGCTCGGCATTAATGGGTACAACAAGGACTGGTCTGCTCGGAGTCAGTATACTGTGTCTGAGTGGGGTATTCATGCTTCACTGCAGCATGGTATCTCAGTGGGCTAGCACTATAAAACCAGCTTCAGTCTGGGCTAGTACAAGCAGGCGCAAATACACATACACACGCATGCACGTCGTCATATGAGCGAAATATTCTCAAGCACGACGTTAAACCCCCTTTTCACCTCACCTCATCTTGGTACAATAACTAGAACAATCTTTCCCTTTGTTACAGTAACTTGAACTGTCTTTCCTCACCCTTGCAGTGCCCCTTGGTACAGTCACATTCCATAGGAAAGTCATTGCTCCTGGAAGATTTCCCAAGTGGGAGGATCTTGGAACACAATTTAGCAATCTGCATGTGTCTTCAGCTGGGACCATAGAGGATGATGGGAAGGGGATGTTACAGGTGAGACACAGAGGTTAATTGGAAGGGTATGTTACAGGTGAGACACAGAGAATGAGTTTCAGGTGAAACAGGATGATGGGAAGGAATGTAACAGGTGAAACCATAGAGGAGGGGATGTTACAGGTGAAACCGTAGAGGAGGAGGGTATTACAGGTGAGACCAAGAGAAGGAGGGTATGTTACATGTGAGACCATAGATGGGATGTTACAGGTGAAACCGTAGAGGAGGGAATGTTACAGGTGAGACATAGAGGAGGGGATGTTACAGGTGAAACCGTGGATAAGGAAGGGATGTTACAGGTGAGACCATAGAGGAGGAAGGGATGTTACAGGTGAGACTATAGAGGAGGGATGTTACAGGTGAGACCGTAGAGGAAGAGGGAATGTTACAGGTGAGATTGTGGAGGAGGAAAGGATGTTACAGGTGAGACCATAGAGGAGGAAGGGATGTTACAGGTGAGACTGTAGAGGAGGAAGGGATGTTACAGGTGAGACCATAGAGGAGGAAGGGATGTTACAGGTGAGACCATAGAGGAGGAAGGGATGTTACAGGTGAGACCATAGAGGAGGAAGGGATGTTACAGGTGAGACCAGGAGGAGGAAGGGATGTTACAGGTGAGAGGAGGAAAGGGATGTTACAGGTGAGACCATAGAGGAGGAAGGGATGTTACAGGTGAGACCATAGAGGAGGAAGGGATGTTACAGGTGAGACCGTAGAGGAGGAAGGGATGTTACAGGTGAGACCATAGAGGAGGAAGGGATGTTACAGGTGAGACTATAGAGGAGGAAGGGATGTTACAGGTGAGACCATAGAGGAGGAAGGGATGTTACAGGTGAGACCATAGAGGAGGAAGGGATGTTAAAGGTGAGACATAGAGGAGGAAGGGATGTTACAAGTGAAACCGTAGAGGAGGGATGTTACAGGTGAGACATAGAGAACGATGGGAAGGGGATGGTACAGGTGAGACCCATGATGCTGGGAAGGAATGTAACAGGTGAACAGATGAGAGGAAGGGACGTTACAGGTGAGAAACAGGATGATGTGGAGGGGATATTACAGGTCAGATCTTAGATGATGAAATAGATATTGTAGTTCAAGCTGTGATTTTAGTGAGATAGCAAAGCATTTGCCAAGGGCAGATGTCTTCAGATGTTTGACCATCCAAAATGATAATTTGCATTCCTCTCTGTGCTGCAGGTGGATTTTGCCAACAAGTACATTGGGGGTGGAGTCCTGGGGATGGGGGCGGTACAGGAGGAGATCCGCTTCCTCATCTGCCCTGAGATGATCATCACACGACTTTTCACAGAAGTGCTGGATAAGAATGAGAGTCTTATCATGCTAGGTAAATTTGTATGCACATGTATGTACATCTGTGCTAAAAAGGAATTATGTACATCTGTGTTTTTACACTTTGCACAAACCAGTTCCATTGTACCGTGAAGATCTGGTTAGAATTGGTCTTCAGCAACCCATGTATGTTATTATAAGAGGCAACTAACGGGATTGGATGGTCAGACACGCTGACTCAGTTGACACATGTCATCATATCCTAATTGCGTAGATCAATGTGCATGGTGTTGATCACTGGATTGTCTGGTCAAGATTCCATTATTTACAAATTGCTGCCATATAGCTGGAATATTGCTGAGTGCAGCATTAAACAGCAAACAAACAAACCCCCATAAACACAAAACATATGTAAGTGAGCTTCTAAGTAACTGAAAAACATTTGAAAGCTGTACTACAACAACTCATTCACGCGCTCACTCATGGATGTTTGCAGGCTGTGAACAGTTCAGTAAGTACGAGGGTTATGCAGACACTTTCGCCTGGGATGGAGACTTCCAGGATAAAACTGACAGGTACGACAACCTTTCTGTTGTATTTCTGTTATTTATCTGTGATTGTGGCACATGAACAGTAAGTAGAGTTGTCACATAAGATATGGTATATTAAGTTCGCTGACTTTGGTAATACATGTTATCATGTCACAACTACATAGTTGGATAACCATGATGTCAATCACTGGATTGTCTGGTAGAGTTGTCACATAAGATATGGTATATTAAGCTGCTGACTTTGGTAGAACATGTTATCATATCACAACTACATAGTTGGATAACCATGATGTCAATCACTGGATTGTCTGGTAGAGTTGTCACATAAGATATGGTATATTTAGTTACCATGATCCTTGTCTTTGATCAACAAGCCCTCTTCAAGCTTGTCTGAATCTGTTCAGAATTCAATATCTACCCCAAGTTCCTCAGAATGTGTGAAAATATTTTCAGAAATGCAATATCCCAAGAACGTTCCTGCCATTCTGGGTAGAATATGTCCCAAAATCAGATCCAAGAACATTCTTGCCATACTGGGTTGAACAGATCCCAAGAACATTCTGCCATACTGGGTAGAATAGATCCCAAGAACTTTCCTCCCATTTTCGGTAGAACATATCTCAAGAACATTCTTGCCCTTCTGGGTAGAATATGTCCCAAAATCATTCCTGAGATTCCAGATCCAAGAACATTCTTGCAATTCTGGGAAGAAAAGGTCCCAAGACCATTCTGTCATACTTGGTTGAACAGATCCCAAGAACATTCTGCCATACTGGGTAGAATAGATCCCAAGAACATTCCTGCCATTTTCGGTAGAACATATCTCAAGAACATTCCTTCCCTTCTGGGTAGAATATGTCCCAAAATCATTCCTGAGATTCCAGATCCAAGAATATTCTTGCAATTCTGGGAAGAAAAGGTCCCAAGAACATTCTGCCATACTTGGTTAAACAGATCCCAAGAACATTCCTGCCATTCAGGGTAGAACATATCTCAAGAACATTCCTGACATTCTTGGTAGAATAGATCCAAGGAACATTCCTGACATTCAGGGTAGAACAGATCCCCCAAACAGAAGCCCCAGTACACATGCTTGTGCTTCAGCTTTAGTTATGAAGATTGGATGCTAACAATACAAATCACTTACTGACAGTCTGGTTGTGACAATGCTCTTGCATCCTTCCACTTTGGCTTGTAAAACCTAAAATGTTTTCCACTTTCACAGGGATGTGAATGGTCGTCTGCATACTGAGGTGGTTGGTATAGATGCATTGGTCATCCGAGACTACAAGAAACAGTTCCAGAAGTGGTGTGTGCAGAGAGAACTCAACAAGGTAAGCACAGCCTGTGACCTTGACTGCCTTTGCCTGGGTTGCCCAAATGACAGTGTTTCGGAGTAGTTATTGTTTGAGGATTTCTCCTTCTGAGGGGTTCCTTTTAGCACCAACCCTACTACACAATCATCCTAGTCTCAACCTGTTTAGTGTGTATTTGCTATAGTCCAACCCTCTTAGCTGGCATTGCCCACAAGCCTGAACTTCAAAGAAAGATCTGGATTAACCAGGTTTCCCTGAATAGAGTGTGCCACCATTGACCTTGATGTTGCTATGCTCTCAAATTATTTAGAGCGGATATTATTACAGTGTTATTGCAGTAATATTATTCAAATTCTTCACCATAAATGAGGACTATCAGAGTCTATGTATTTCTGCTGACCTACTTGGTTATACTGCAGGCGTACGTGGGCTTCCACTGTGGGGAGGAGTCTGCCATGCACCTGCCCGCGGTCTGTACTGGCAATTGGGGATGTGGTGCCTTCGGTGGGGACAAGAGGCTGAAAGGTAAAACTTGGACTTGTACTTGATGCAGCTTTTGTGGGATTTGTCAATGATTTCAGTGCACTTGTCAGCAAAATACAAAAATAATCTTTTCGTTCAAAATTTAGGTATGTTATCAGATTAATATTTTCTGCAACTGAGAGTGTTTTAACCTTGCCATTGGCACTATAATAGAAGACATTTCTATCCATGTTATTTCTAAAGATATCTTTCGAATTCCTTTTGAAATATAACCCATTGTGCCTATCAAAAGAGTTTTTGTGGTTCAGCTCTCATCCAGATGATTGCTGCGTCTGCTGCCAAGCGGGACGTCTGCTACTTCACGTTTGATGACGATGAGCTGACAGACCAGCTCTACAAGATACATGCCTTCATCCAGAAGGAAAATGGGTTAGAAGTTGGTATGTATGTGACGTACATAGTTAGAAAGTTAATATACTGAGAGAAACAAATAAAGGAACACAGGAAAATTCAAGTGTTCCTTTAATATTTTCCAGAATTCATCACCAACTTTGAACAGGGCTGTGGGAGGAAATCTGAGAATAAATAAAGGAACACTGCCATGAAGTGGTGTTCCCTTATTTGTTTCCCTCAGTATATGTTCTACTGTTTGACTGTATTGGCCACATCCCTTGAAGATACTTCTCAATGCAAAAGAGGCACCCACTGTGTACACCCTTTGATTGGCAAGTCAGTATGGTACTTGTAGAGTCCTACTCATATCTATGACTTGAAACAGGAGAAGACAACTTGATTCTTTCATAGTAGTAAAACACGGAATCTGATTCACTGAGTTTGATTCACTAATGCATGTTATCATGTCCCAACTACATAGTTAGATAATAATGATGTCAATCACTGGATTGTCTGGTCCAAATTTAATTGTCTATGTTTATTACAACAAACAAGACTCAGGCCAATTTAGAGCCGATGCCTGCCTGCTCACTCACTCATCACTCACTCATCACTCACTCACTCACTCACTCACTCACTCACTCACTCACTCACTCACTCACTCACTCACTCACTCACTCACTCACTCACTCACTCACTCACTCACTCTGTTCCATGTGTTCCAGGCAATGTGATGCAACTCATTGACCAGTACAGCAGGAACGTTGTTCAGAAGACATGGTGGGGCGCCAAGCCCAAAAAGAACCTGTTTGAGTACATTGTGGCAGCATTTGAAGGCACCCTTGATTCAGACACTACAGGGGATGACTTCAGCGAAGGAAGTGTGGAAGCACATGCTGACTTGAACGACAGTAACAACGGCAAAGACGAAGATATGGAGGTTGATAACAAGATGGATGACAAGCATAATGAGCCTGATTACAAGGCAAATACACCTTGAGAGACTGCCATCAAATGTTGGCCAGGAGCAATGAAGCTGTGATAAACATGAACTTGTGAAGACATATGTCATAATCTCTCATAGTTCTGTCGACCATCTTTGTCCAACACTGAATATGTTGAAGACTCTGTTGCTGAGTGCTTGTGGCTGTCTGTCAAATTTATTAACCGTCACTTAAGAAGTCTAGGCAGTGTGTGAAATTTATACCAATCAAGTAAGGGGTGTGCTTAAAAATATCAGTGTCAAAGCTCAGTGGACAGTTGGGAATAGCATTAGCCATTGGTTAACAAGCAGGTAGCTATTAAACAAGAGGGGTAACTGGCTGAAAATCCCTTTCCAGCCTTGACTGGAATTTTTACCTTGACTCCCACTTAGAGACTGTGTCTTCATTACACTTATAATGTATTACAGTTTTATACATCAAACATGAATAATTATAACCACCAAAGTTAACCCATCCCAACCCCAGCCCCTCAATCAACTCCCTACTACTGTTTTGATTACACCCTACATAGAGTTTGACTTGATTAATTACCACACCCACAGCTACATCCACACCCTCATCAAACCCACACCCATTCCTATACCCACACTCACATTCACACCCTCACACCATACCCACACCCACATTCACACCCACACCCTCATACCCACACCCATAAACCCATACCTGCACTGATACCCACACCAGTACCCCCCTCCCCTCACATATACAAACAATCATACCTGCACCGACACTCACACATACCACCCACCCCCCACCCTGACCCACAATCACACTCGCTCACCCACAGTCTCACACCCACACCCAGATCTACATCCACACCCACACCCCACCTTGACCAACATTAACACACCCACATTCACCCCCACACCCTCATACCCACACCCATAAACCCATCCATGCACTGATAACCACACCAGTACCCCCCTTCCCTCACAAATACAAACAATCATACCTGCACCGACACTCACACACACCATACACCCCCCACCCTGACCCACAATCACACTCCCTCACCCACACTCTCACACCCAGATCCACATCCACACCCTCACCCACACACCACCCTGACCCACAATCACACACCCACATCCTCACATCCACATCCACATCCTCACCCACATCCACACCCCACCCTGACCCACAATCACACATCCACACCCCTCACCCCACCCTGACCGACAATCACACACCCACATCCACACCCACACCCTGACCAACACCATGACCCACAATCACACACCACACCCACATCCTGACCCACACCCTGACCCACAATCACACATCCTCACCCACACCCACACCCTGATCCACAATCAAACATCCACATCCACACCCTGACCCACAGTCACACACCCACATCCACACCCTGACCCACAATCACACATCCACATCCACACCCTGACCCACAATCACACATCCTCATCCACATCCACACCCTGACCCACAATCACACACCCACATCCACACCCTGACCCACAATCACACACATCCACACCCTGACCCACAATCACACATCCACACCCTGACCCACAATCACACATCCACACCCCACCCACACCCTGACCCACAATCACACATCCACACCCACACCCTGACCCACCTCTACTCCCCAAAAGAAAGTGTAATTGCACCATATACTTACCCCATCTCCCAACTCAAAGCATTGACAGTACTATCCTTCATTGGCAGCTGGGTGATGTGGAGACATTTCACCTCCCTGAAACCCAACATTAGCCACAATTGCATAATAGCCATGGACTAGCTATCGTCTGCTTTGAGAGAAAGAAATATTAACCATGTTGCAAACTTGTTAATGCATACAACCATCTGCACATCCATGTCCCCCGTTTTGATAAATATTGGGGAACTAGTTATGCTACTCAGAAGAAGTTAGGGAACACCATTTGCACATATGACTAGTTATTTTGTCTGGGTTGTGGATGTTGTAACACAACCTTGGGGTGTTCTTAACTTGTTTTGAGTTGAATATATTTTCATTATGAATGATGATATCGGTACTGGACATTCAGTCCATCTTGTCAATATTATGTTGAATCATTGCATCAGGCCATGAAATTCCATCCTATACTAATTAGTTTTTTAAGTTATTTTAGTTTTAGATGTTTATGTTGTATGGGCCATTTTAGTCAAACTCTGTACAGTTTGTGTCATTTTATTCCTTCAGCTGTTTCACAAACTATTTTTCTTCAGAGATATTTCATTACTTGGAATTATCTCTGTTTGCTCTTTGTTGACTGGGAATGCATTGTCAACAGTGAGCAGCAAGTATTATTGAGACAATATCTTGGAAAAGGTGCATCCAGTGTCGTATTTCAGAAAATCCATTCATTTTTAACTCATATGACTATTTTGTTGTCTAGTTGTCCATCCATCATGAACTTTTAGATTTTCGACTCTTCTTAAACGACAAAGCATATGGAGCTAAAACTTGATATGAATGATCCCATGTGTGGTGTCTCTAAAATAGTGCTCTCATAATTTATTATTTCTTCATAATTTAAATGGACCGTCTGTAGTTTTGATGTGTGCAGTTAGAAAACTTGATAATGATGCAATGGCTGCCTGGAAAGAGGTCTGAAGAACAAGGCTCACCTTAAGCAGGCCAAACCAATTTTATTTCTTGTTTTACGGATTTTTGTCCTCAGAAAACCTAAAGGCAGGAGGGGAAAAAAAATAAAAATAAAAATCACTAGTCAAATAATTTTCCTTTTAAATACTAAAAGTATTTTATTTTTGGCAATTTATGAATTTTATATGGGGCAAAAAACACTTTACAAAAATTGTTTTTGTAAGTTTACTTCTTTGGCCAATAAAAACATGAGGATTTTTTTTTTTGAGCAGGGAAAACTAATTTTTTATTTTTTTTCTTATTCTGGAAAGAATACGACGGGTGGATCCGTAAAACAAGAAATAAAATTGGCCTGGCCTTATGAAGAAATAAAAAAATGGCCAGTGTGTTTAGTATTTTGTTTCTTTATTATGTTTTGTTTTCAATGAGCACTTGATGAAGGGCAAGTACCCCAAATCCTGAGTGTAGTCTGTTTACTGAGTGAGAAAATCATGCACCTGAAAATCATATTTGTGTTTGTTGTAAGTGATGCGTCTATGCATGGAGGCACACCAATCTTTTTGCTCACTGCCTAAAATCAGTACAGCTTGGTTATTTGACAAGAATAGAAAATCTGTATTTAATGGGATACATAGATTTAATATTGCTGAACAGTCAAAATGACATACATCTTGCAGTTAACAATTCCTCAGTGAACGAAGCAGTTGGGTAGCCAAGCAGTATAAGTGTTCACTCCTCACATGGAAGGTCAGAGTTTGATTCCTGACATGGGTACAACACACGGGGCCAATTTCTTGTCTTCCCCCAAGATACTGCTGGAATAGTGTAAATCACAACTCGCTCACCTTGAATCGGAATGCTATAAGATTTCACCTATAGTATCAGTGAACATAGAGCAAGGAAACTGTTTAGCTGAGTGAAGACTATTTCACCATTCCTTTCAAACCATAATTTCCTCTTTTTTTAGTATTAATCTTACATCCAGTTCCTAACAAAATCCAGATTTCCATCTATCACTTAGTGTCATGTTAAAAACGAAGTTGTGTGAAAATATATTGTTCATCTTACTATCCCAGTTCGGTGCTTGATACAATTTTAATAACATTTCGTGAAACTATTGGCAATCTTATTGCTGATATTGCTGGAATATTGCTAAAGGCAGTATTAAACCATACTCACTCCCTCATAATCGACTTGACACAAACACTGCTTGGTTCAAGTTTGGTGCGATTCTCCTCCTTTTACATTGAGCATGGGACACTTTATCTCAGTTCCATGGGACAGTTGGATGTCAAGGCTGTACAACCCACAGCCATTGTCACCTAACATAGCTTATGTATTATATACTCAAAAAAATGCAATATGCCTCAATCAACCCACATAAACAGGGTAGCCAATATGTCCTATGTACCACAATATAGTTCTTGCCTCTTGAAATAGGATCACAAAATATCGCTGTGAGAAGTCAAAGGATGAGCTGCATGTGTCTGATGATGTGGTGGTGTGTGGTCCTGTGCATAGAGCTCAGGTCACAAATCAGTTAAAGTTAAGCAACAGTGGGCACGGAGAGTCCTTGGATGGGTGACCGTGTTTGGCAGCTTGACTCCTGAGAGTTTCTAGGACTTCAGTCCTGCCCCACAACAGCGCATGTGATACACATGGTCTCACCTTAGGCAAGTGAGTTTGTTCAAAATTGCCTTTGTTCACACAGTAGAAAATGGATACCAGGTGGGATAAGTGATGTGACTATTACCTTCTAGCACCTAACAGGCAGCTAGGGTTATCCGGGGTAATAATGTGTTAACACTAAGAGCATGCTTATGAGGGTGGATATGTGCACATTATAGGGAGGTGAGGTGAAATTGGGTTTTACGTCGTGCTTGAGAATATTTCGCTCATATGACGACGTGCATGCGTGTGTATGTGTATGTGCGGCTGCTTGTACTAGCCCAGACTGAAGCTGGTTTTATAGTGCTAGCCCACTGAGATACCATGCCGCAGTGAAGCATGAATACCCCACTCAGACACATTATACTGACTCCGAGCCGACCAGTCCTTGTTGTACCAATTAATGCCGAGCCCCAGGCAGGGACCAACAAGTACCATATTTTAACGTCTTTTGGTACTCGGGGATCGAACTCACGACCTTCAGCTCCTTCTTGTAACCACTACACCACGGAGGCGGTCTGTGCGCATTATAAACATGCACTATTATTATTATTATTATTATTATTACAGAATAAGAACAATTCATTCTGGCTATGAGGCATTATGCAGGTATGACAAAAAATTATGTGTGCTTTTCAAGAAATATGATTTTGCTAGTGATGGACATCAGCGTCAAGTTTTTATCACAGGGTTAAATTGAGATTCTTCAAAGGCATTTAGAAGTTGGTGTAGTAATACAAGACAAATGTTTTGGATAACAACTTCTTGGTTTATTTTTCACGTTTCTGGGCTAGTTCTTGCCCCTTCTTCAGGTGGATAATGTCATCATATCCACCACATTTGTCTTGTATCACAGGGTTAAACTCTGAATGGGGATTATCAGGTGGTTCGACTTAGTGATTCTTTTTCAAGTGGTGAGCACTATAGGAAGGATGACGTCATTCTCTGGCAGTGTTGTGGCCATCCTTTCCATGGCTTCTTAACGTCATGCTGGTCTTTAAATATGCTGTTTTTGTAAACAAGTGAAAGAAAATGTACATAATGTGTGTATAATTAAAAATCATGTAAAAATCATGTAATTATTGTCATACATAACTTAATTAGAAATTATGTGATTTTTGTACAATTTGAATATGATTTTATGTTACAAGTAACTATGTCCCTTTGTAATCATTTTGTCAACAAAATGCAATGAAAATGAAACCATGTGCTGGTGTCGACTGTTTGTTTTATTGTTTGTTCATACTTGTCTAACAGTTCATACAACTCACTGATAGTGCGTATGCTTTTACCCAGGTGTGCATGGTAGAGTGAGATCAAGAGTGTAGCGAAATAAAACAATGCAAAGATATCTATTCGTATATACACAGATCATTTCCATTGGAACATGTGTGTTTCACTTCTGCTCCATAAACTTTGCTGGTCTGATAGTTGCAAGTTCGTTTCGTTGTCCGGGCAGTGTGTAGCCTGTGGTTTTAATGTACTGGTAAATTCTTGGAGAAATCCCATGCTTAGGTTTTAATATTAAACCCGAAATCCAGTGCTTTACCCAGTATATGCAAATTTCAGCTTATTCCCATTGTTCAACTTTTGAATAATATTTTAAATTAACGGAATACCAATTTTAACTGATGCCAACACACACATGAATGCATGGATGCATGCATGCCCGCACACACACTCTCAAACACGCATACACAAACACTATGTAAGAACAGTAATTTTGAAAATGAAACGCTTTTATATTTCATTTGCCTTATTCATCTAGAAACTTAGGGAATCTATTGGTTCCCGTGTCATTTGTAGAAAAACGAACATTAACAGCTTGTATAATCAGATGTACCCTGTATTAATAGCTCCTATTATCAAGTGGACCCTGTGTACTCAGTTCTTGATTTTATTTGGAGCCGAGGCTAGCCTAGTGGTTAAAGCGTTCACTCGTCACGCCGGAGATCTGTTTTAGATTCTCCACATGGGAACAATCTGTGAAGCCCATTTCTGGTGTTCCTGCCTTGATATTGCTGGAATATTGCTAACAGTTGGGTAAAACTAAACTCATTCACTCTTTTGAGCCGGGGATTGATTTGTTACATAAAGTGGACAGTGATTGATACTTTCGTAAGTAATGCTATTTTCATTCTATGATATTGTGATGAAAGCTGCATATGTTTATCATATTTACCCATTCTACAGCAGATAATTCTGCCAATCAGGAACAGTTTGTTATGAAACTAGGGAAACAGTTTCACTGTTCTCTGGATGACGGTGGGCAGTGGGGTAGCCTAATGGTTAAAATGTTGGCTTGTCATGCCAAAGACCTGGGTTCGAATCCCCACATGGGTACAATGTGTGAAGCCCATTTCTGGTGTCCCCCACCATGATGTTGCTGGAATATTGCTAGAAGCGGCGTAAAACCAAACTCAGTCAGTCAGTCTGGATGACAGTAGTCATAAGAGTCTTGAAGAAACCAAATCCTTTTATTTCAGTTCAAAGGATCAGTCTGGATGACTGTGTTTGAGTACAGTCAATGAAGAGTCTTGGAAGAGTAAAACCAAACTCAGTCAGTCAGTCTGGATGACAGTAGTCATAAGAGTCTTGAAGAGTTGAACAGTGTTTCAGAAATCCTTTTATTTCATTTGGTTCAAAGGATCGCAGGTAGCCTAGCGGTTTATGAAGTCCTGTGTTTGATTCCCTACATGGGTACAATGTGTGAAGCCCATTTCTGGTGTCCCCCCGCCATGATATTGCTGGAATATTGCTGAAAGTGGTGGAAAGCTATCCACACTGATTCTTGTGGTACAAGTGAGTAATTTTGACTGAATGTTACACACTATTTCTGGATCAAACAATGGGTCCATGCAGTTTACATACAGATCCAGTTACCATGGCAGCAGGAGTTCTGTAAATTATGTTCAGAAGCTAGATATTCAGCAATGTTCAGCATAGCATCCTTCATCATACACATGATTCTGTAGAAGCCCACTTCGGGAGTTTCCATGTGTCATTTGGATTGATTTCAAACATGGCTGAAACTTTTCTCATCTACTCTTACAACATGTGAGTGGGTGAGTGAGTTTGGTTTTACGCCACTTTTTAGCAACATTCCAGCAATATGTTGGTGGGGGACACCAGAAATGGGCTTCACACATTGTGCCCATGAGGGGAATAGATCTGGGCTAGAGTTGGTCTTCAGTAACCCATGCTTGTCATAAGAGGCGACTAACAGGATCGGGTGGTGAGGCTCGCTGACTTGGTTGACACGACATCGTATCCCATTGCATAGATCGATGCTCATGCTGTTGATCACTGAGTGTGGCAAACCAAATCTAATGTTGAACTTTACAGGGCTGTACATATCGCAGCATGACAGGGATCCATGTTGGATAGTCTGCTGGATAGTCGTCTGGTTGATAGTCTGTTGGATAGTTGTCTGGTTGATAGTCATCTGGTTGATAGTCTGTTGGATAGTCTGCTGGATAGTCGTCTGGTTGATAGTCTGCTGGATAGTCATCTGGTTGATAGTCTGTTGGATAGTCTGTTGGCTTGATAGTCTGCTGGATAGTCGTCTCTGGTTGATAGTCTGCTGGATAGTCATCTGGTTGATAGTCTGTTTGGTTGATAGTTGATAGATGGATAGTCGTCTGGTTGATAGTCATCTGCTGGATTGAGTCTGCTGGATAGATCGTCTGGTTGATAGTCTGCTGGATAGTCGTCTGCTTGATAGTCTGCTGGATAGTCGCTGGATAGTCGTCTGGTTGATAGTCTGCTGGATAGTCGATCTGGTTGATAGTCTGCTTGATAGTCGTCTGGTTGATAGTCTGCTCTGGTTGATAGTCGTCTGGTTGATCTGCTGGATAGTCGTCTGCTGGATAGTCTGGTTGATAGTCTGCTGGATAGTCTGCTGATAGTCTGCTGGATAGTCGTCTGGTTGATAGTCTGCTGGATGATAAGCTGCTGGATAGTCTCGTCTGCTGATCATCTGGTTGGCCCTGCTGGATATAGTCTGCTGCTGGTTGATATAGTCGTCTGATAGTCGTCTGGTTGATAGATGTCGTCTGATAGTCTGCTGGATGCTGGTTGATAGTCGTCTGGTTGATAGTCTGCTTGATAGTCTGCTGGATAGTCGTCTGGTTGATAGTCTGCTGGATAGTCTGTTGATAGTCTGGTTGATAGTCTGCTGGATAGTCGTCTGGTTGATAGTGCTGGATAGTCGCTGGATAGTCTGCTGGATAGTCTGGTTGATAGTCTGCTGGATAGATAGTCTGCTTGATAGTGGAGTCTGCTGGATTCTGGATAGTCATCTGGTTGATAGTCTGCTGGATAGTCGTCTGGTTGATAGTCTGGTTGATAGTCTGCTGGATAGTCGTCTGGTTGATAGTCTGCTGGATAGTCGTCTGGTTGATAGTCTGCTGGATAGTCGTCTGGTTGATAGTCTGCTGGATAGTCGTCTGCTGGATAGTCGTCTGGTTGATAGTCTGCTGGATCTGGTTGATAGTCTGCTGGATAGTCGTCTGGTTGATAGTCTGCTGGATAGTCGTCTGGTTGATAGTCTGCTGATAGTCTGCTGGATAGTCGTCTGGTTGATAGTCTGCTGCTGGATAGTCTAGTCTGCTGGTTGTCTGGTTGATAGTCGCTGGATAGTCGTCTGGTTGATAGTCTGCTGGATAGTCGTCTGGTTGATAGTCTGCTGGATAGTCGTCTGGTTGATAGTCTGCTGGATAGTCGTCTGGTTGATAGTCTGCTGGATAGTCGTCTGGTTGATAGTCTGCTGGATAGTCGTCTGGTTGATAGTCTGCTGGATAGTCTGGTTGATAGTCTGCTGGATAGTCGTCTGGTTGATAGTCTGCTGGATAGTCGTCTGGTTGATAGTCTGCTGGATAGTCGTCTGGTTGATAGTCTGCTGGATAGTCGTCTGGTTGATAGTCTGCTGGATAGTCCTCTGGTTGATAGTCTGCTGGATAGTCATCTGGTTGATAGTCTGCTGGATAGTCGTCTGCTTGATAGTCTGCTGGATAGTCGTCTGGTTGATAGTCTGCTGGATAGTCGTCTGGTTGATAGTCTGCTGGATAGTCGGCTTGATAGTCTGCTTGATAGTCTGCTGATAGTCTGCTTGATAGTCGTCTGGTTGATAGTCTGCTGGATAGTCGTCTGGTTGATAGTCTGCTGGATAGTCGTCTGCTTGATAGTCGTCTGGTTGATAGTCTGCTGGATAGTCTGATAGTCTGCTGGATAGTCGTCTGGTTGATAGTCTGCTGGATAGTCGCTCTGCTTGATAGTCTGCTGGATAGTCTACTGGATTGTAGTCTGGTTGATAGTCTGCTGGATAGTCGTCTGGTTGATAGTCTGCTGGATAGTCGTCTGGATGGCGATTACTCCAACACGTGATCAGTGTCCTACACAGTGTAAACCTGCAGTGTTTGAGTGACCTGTACAGTTTTTGTACAAATGTTATTGTTAAGATAGTCCATGTGATTTTTTAAAAAACATGACATGTTTAAAACAATGCAATCTCCACTTATAATGTGAAACCATGTAAACCAGTTAATAAATTTGTCAAGTAACAACTCATGATACTGAATACTGTAACGTTCTGTACAGCTGTAATAATCAGAAAGGTTGAGCTTCTGCGTTTCCTGACAGTGTATCACTGCCATATACAATGGATATTTTCATACTGATGTCCACACATGCAAGTATTAACTTTGAGTTCAGAACTGTTGATATTAGATGAAATGTATTCAAAAGAATACCCTAGGTCTTTGATTGAAACATTTTCCTGACAAAACTTTCTTGAGTCTTTTGTAAACAATTGTTCTCAGAACTATTTGCATTGGTAAGAAAATCAGTGATTAGAAAACATGAAAATAAAATGTTAGAATGTCTTTATTCACTAGTCAGTAAGTTTATTAACAGAATGATTGGCTAGATGTACATCGCAATGTTGATGGAACATTTAATCTCAGAATTCAGTGCTATGATAAAATTATTCATTATAAAAAGTGAAGGAAAATGAGCTGCTTCAATAAATATTGTTTAGATACATGTTTTTCTTGTCATATTTGTTGCCCATGCTATTACATCCATATGAAACAGCCCTGAAGTTAGGTCTGTTAACCAATAACTCAAGCATTTACTATATGCCATAGGGCTTGGCTGCACGTCATTTGTAAAGTATGGTTGAGACCTATTGTCCCAAATACCTTGGGGCCAGAGACGAGGTTTGACTTATCTGGCTGGGATTCAACACATCCAACTCTGGCAGTAATAACCAAACTTGCTGTTACATAGCATCAGTGGCTTTATTTTAGTGGATAAATTCTTGCACCAGAATTATGGGGAGATGCCCATGGTCGAGGTATTAATCAGGATAAATGAAGAATTATATCCCTTAGTTGGTGCAGGATATGCTGATGATAGTTCTACACATGAACTCCACCTGTATTATGATCCTTGGTTTATCAGCATTAGACCTTTGTTTGTGGGTTCCACCAAAATGATAAATTACTATCTATGATACATCTACAAACACACTAAATGTCTCAGTAAAGTTGCATGTCAAAAACTATCATCATAGCTTTTCATTACTGCTTGGTGCTCAACACGAGTAGGATAAAACAAGGTGAATTGTGGCATTACATCTCACTGGGCTAACACTGGGAACAAAATCAGCACTAGTGCACTAAATATCTTGCCACAATTTGTTGTGCACAACATGAGACAAGGCAAAAAGCTATGGTTGTAAATTCAAATCTCAGTTTACACCATATATTTCTTGGTTTGTCACCCGTGAAGATCCGGGTTAGAGTTGATCTTCAGCAAACCATGCTTGTCGTAAGAAGCAACTAACAGGGTTGGGTGGTCAGGCTCTTTGACTTGATTGGTGTCCCAACTGCATAGATCAATGTTCATGCTGTTGATCACTGGATTGTCTGGTCCAGACTCGATTATTTACAAACCGCCGCCATACAGCTGGAATATATCTGAGCGGAGTAAAACGAAACTCACTCACTCATTCTGGCTTTGCCAGCACCATACCCAAAGTGCTGAATGTTTAGATCTGCATCACTTTAGGCTCTCCTGTATTAGACTGACATGCATTGATATAACTGCAATACTACTCACAGCAACATGATACCAATATGACGTGAGTAAGGTGTGGGGGATTCGAACCTGGGTCTTCAGCATGACGAGCAATCACTTTAACAACCGCCACCCCTAATTATGAAGTACTCATGTGCATGTATATTTGTAGATGACTAATAACAGGTCACGTTTTTGCTGATAAACTGTTTGGCTTTAATTGTAACAATGTAAAAGTGATCATGGCAGTTTTTTAAAATATGGCATTTAAAATCAGACAAATATCACAAGATTACTTTACTCGTAAGAGTTTGCATACTTTAAACATCATTCCCTGTGAATATACACCACATACTGACACATCAAACAAGGACTGCTAGCCTCAGTGATCTTAGTGAATAAACACATGAACATGTGAAATACATAATTTATTGAAAGCCCTGCATTAAAAGATTTTTTAGCCTTAATTATCATGATAAAGCATACAACTTTATGGATAACAACTTCTTGTTTATTGCACAGAGTGACATTTCGGTGTAGATCCTTAGACTGTTATCAAGGTTAAATGTTTTTAATGGTTAACTCTTAACTTGAAAACGGTGTAAAAACCGAAATGTTTCTATACAATAAACAAGAAGTTGTCATCCATAAGGGACCGTTCATAATTAATGGCTGGTGTGTGTGTGCATGCTTGCGTGCGTGAGTGTGTGCGTGTGTGTGATATGATTTTTATGGAGAAGCATGTACAATGTGAATGACCCCTCTAAAATGTATGTACAAAGTAAGCGACACCTCCCTGCATGTCATGCACAAAATCAATGACCCACACATCCACTTTCCCATAATTTTTTTAAGCATAGTATATGTTTTAATGACACCCCTTTTTGTGTACAAAATTGATGACACCCCCTAGTACATGTGTACAAAATTGATGACACCCCTTGTATATGTGTACAAAATTGATGACACCCCCTTGTATGTGTGTACAAAATTGATGACACCCCCTTGTACATGTGTACAAAATTGATGACACCCCCTTGTATGTGTGTACAAAATTGATGACAACCCCTATTACGTGTGTACAAAATTGATGACCCCCTTCGTCCCCAGAACAAAATGGGTGACCCCAACTTAAAATAATCATCATCCCCAGCCATAAATTATGAACGGTCCCTAAAGTCGTATACTTTATTACTGACTCACCAACCTCAAGAATGCCGCTCAATGGTCGTAGTAAATAAATACGTAAACATGTGAAATACACCATTTACTGAAACCTCTGCATGAAGAAAACCCAAATGTTTGTGGTGTATTTATTCCAATCTTGGGTTGAACATTGCCATGCATGATGAATATCTGTATCTTTCATTCCTTGGTATGTTTTCACTTAAACACATATACTGAACTTTTGAACAAAATGTGTGAAGAATAAAAATAAAATTCCATATTTATGCACATCATGAAAACGATGTCATATAAGAATACTGAAACAAATATTAAATCTGTTAATGGTGCATATGTTTTTCCAGAACCAACTTCACCCAGTCTTCGTTTTCGACTGACTCAGGGCAGTGTGGAGATAATGATTGTGGAGATTTTACGTACGCTTTCCGACATGATGCGTACTTCGCACACAGGAGACTAATTATTCTATAAATAGAACTGATAATCTCATGGACCAATCAGAGGCCAGTCACGTGGTAGGTTTCGGCCAATGCACGAAATGCGGGGATTCCCCGATAGGAATCCCCAATGGCGGATGTAGTGTAACGACCAAAAATACAAATTGTAATTACCAGATTTCATAACGCTGAGAACCTTTCGAAATTACAACATCTGCTAACATAGTCGAGTGAAAAGTGAGACATCATCCCAACATTAGATGCGCCCTCTGGGCCTTCTGTACATCACGAAATAAAGACTCATACTACGCCCAGCATCCACTGGTTGGTCGAGACACAGGCAAGTTTTACTTTCATGTTCCTGCTTTGTGCTATATTTACATACTACACAACAGGATTCTCGGAATTCACACGTATACTTTGTAGGTCGTCAATTTCGGAGGAAAAGACTTGGAACTAGAGCATTCATCTCAGTGTTTGTGATCATTGTACTATGTTGACAGCATGGCTGATTTACAGATGCAACGACAAAGTTTGTTTGGCATGAAAGATGTGTATTTCACAGAATGTCTGCCACCTGCAGGGGTACAGAATGGCCCAGGTGATTAACAGTACTGACACACTTTCTTAAGTTATTGTTCACAAATAATTACTATAATCACATGACAATATATTTCCCTTTATGAATGAGTAGATACCATGTACTGAGTACTTACTATGCATTAGCTTGAATGAACCCAACCTCGGGTATATTCAGGAAGTAAATATACAAGGGATTTGTCTTGGATTCCAAAGTAAGTGCTTATTGGAAAACAAGAGCAATATTGTTCAAAATTGGATTACTTATGTATATCTTACTGAAATTTGTCAATTACTGCTAACTTGATGCTGAAGATAAGCCTCAGAGATGGCCTTAATAAACCCATGTGGATGATGAATTATTACATGCACAAGGTCATAAATCATAAACCAAATGTTGTATTGTATATCTACAACAAGTTGAAAACACCATTTGAATAATTAAAGTGTTTTGCTATATGTTTAGGCAAATTATTGAAAGGTGTGAAATTTCCTTTCTCTAATGTGACCACACATGTAATACTGTAACATCCACAAGTAGTTTCTATCATGTGCATTTTTAAAAGAAACACCTATTCAGATTTAGCATACAGTAGTGTTGTCAGTATTATATTCTAAGAATGATGACAGTTACCCATAAATATAACAAATAGCTACTTCTGGGTCAAGACAAAAAATGGGATACAAATTATAGACGAAAGTCGCTGTCTAAATCACCCCCATTGCTGCCTAATGCCTATCCTATCAGAGACACGACAGTTAAAGTTTGAGTTGAAGGATAATTTTCAAACTGTAAGGTGGTATCCTCTTATGGTTGAGTTACTGTCTTTTCTGTGGTATTTTGGTAATCTACTGTTGTAAAGTTTCTCTGTAAACTGTACTGTCATCAACTAATCAAGGTTAGACTACTAGTTTGTTGACTGTCCTAATTTTAAAAAATGCAATCAGATGTTACCATGACATGAACTAGCATAATGAAGCAAACCCCAGCTCAGAGAAACTTCATGACTAGGTATAAATACAGGGTACAACTGATTAAAGAGATTGCTAATTTTTGTTTTACTACAAATTCCATAAGTACAAATAGACTCCTAAAGTTTCTTGATGAATAATAAGGCGAAGGTGTAATTAATGCGGTTTAGTGGTCAAAATTATTGCACTCACATACATGTCGGATTGAAATGCAATTTTTTAAAGACTGATAATTTAGACATACCTTTGTGAAAATAAGTGTCTCAACACCTTTTGATGATCCATAACAACAATTATGACATTCCGATTTGTTGTTTCAGTGAACATCATGTAAACCTGTAAACCTGTAAACTTGAGAGCTGGAGTTCCTGAACACTATCATGCCTACAAGAACATTTCAGCTTCATTTCTCCTGGGCCCATAAATTAATCCACAAACTACAGTCCGTTTGAGACAAAATGATACCGATGAATTGCAATCTAACATCTCGCTTTTCGTGCTGTTCCTTTAGTTGCCAACAAACTGGGAAAATGCACAAATAAATGATGACAGTTTCTTAAACAACTTTTTTATTTTTGTGACAAAAAGTATTCAATTTTTTTCTAGAGTTGGTCTCTTGTTTTTATTGCACTCCTCGTTGGTTTTATTCTTTTATATTTATTTGTTTTTGTGTTAGATTGCAATTCATCGGTATCATTTTGTCTCAAACGGACTGTATGTTATCATCCAAAACAGGATTTCCTCTTATGTGCACTGGCATTCAAAATGGCCACACCTATTTTAAGCTGTGCGATTGGGACTGCCTTTGATAAATAGTTTGATTTGGCGCAAACATATATTTGGAATTGGTCAAATTTATCACATTTTTCAGAATTTTTATGGTCAGAATTATGTTAAGAATTTTAGTATATTTCATCCATATTTACCATGCCATGGCATGCAAATGAAGCACTATTTTTATCCTTGAATACAATGTATGAAATAAGCCAAAAATCCAGCCAGATATCAGGGCTAGTAACTTCAAAATGTTACCAGCCCAAAATAGATTTAACCAGACCAAATATGGTGAATTTACACAGATGCATGGAACATCTACAAAAATCCAGACCATCGGGCTGGCTAGCTGTAAATTTAGACCGCCCGTGAGAAATCTAGACCGTCTCGGGCGGTCGGACGGGCCTTATTTCATACACTGTTGAATATGTGTGTGCATATGTATGTACATGTATGTAACTAATGTTGTAAATGATATAGTATTTTCAGCTGTGTCATGTTTATGAACTTGCATTCTGTCAGTATTGAAAAGTCAAAGACCTTGTCGAGTCAAGAACACAAGATGTTAGATTCCTACAACATGTTCAGCAGTTGACTGTAAACTTTGGAGTGATCACTGTGTCGCCTTTTGCATTTGTGTGTTACCTTTGCTGAAAATAATCAGTTACTTTTCATCCATATGTGTTGTTCTTGAGAGCTTTTAACATGTAGTTTATTTTACTTTTAGGCTTATTATATCAAAACATTGGTCCACAAAAATTATCAAGGCTATACACTCAAAACAGACCAACAAACATTCATAAATATACTGGTAAACTGACTATCGTCAAAATAAAAAAAAGAATGACAAATAAATTTGCTAATAAAATATAGAAATTGCTATATTTTGCAATATTTGAAATGGTGAATTATCAGTGTTCACGAATAACGTTTCACCCTCTGACAAAGCGGGCATATTCGCCAACGGTCCGATAGAAATCTACAACCCTCAGGCCCCAGTGTCTGACTGTATATTTCACAATAACTTCGACCGACGTTGTTGTATGTGACATGTTACCCTTGTTTGCTGTTTATAAATCTTATGTTTGTTAATAATTTCAATGTCAATTATAAGAAATGTTAAATCTGAAATGTGTGTTTAATTTTATTCTATGGGTCCTGTGAATTTTCAATGGGTCAGACAGACATCTGAAACTTACAGGACCCAATGTCCTGTAAATTTGAAACACCATTCATGAACACTGAATTATCATGACGATCAGAAAGATTTAACCTTTGTCCTCATCTAGAAGGAGCCAGGAAGTTAGTCTAATTCTGTGTCTCAGGTATCCATTGTGAATAACTGCATGACTGCATTCAGGAATGATACACAAAAAAAAATCCAATAAATAGTGAATGAGTGAGTATGGTTTTATGCTGCTTTTAGCAATATTCCAGCAATATCATGTCAGAGGACACCAGAAATGGGCTTCACACATTGTACTCTTGTAGGGAATCGAACCGGGCCTTTGGTGTGATGAACGAACACTTTAACCACAAGGCTACCCCACTGCCCGCCCCTCTTATGAAGAAAGGGCGGTGGGGTAGCCTAGTGGTTAAAGCGTTGGCTCGTCACGCCGAAGACCCGGGTTCGAATCACCACATGGGTACAATGTGTGAAGCCCATTTCTGGTGTTCCCCACCGTGATGTTGCTGGAATATTGCTAAAAGCGGCGTAAAAACCAAACTCAGCCAGTCAGTCAGTCTTATGAAGAAATGAACGTAGAAAAGAATAAAAATCAGGTCCCAGTTCCTCAAAGCTATGTTAGTGCTAAAACAATCCCAACTCTTATACTTTAACATAAATTGAAAATGATTGATTTCTACTAGAGAGCCCTGTCCTCAGTAAGAGCTGTTGATTGTGTAGTTTGATTCAACATAACATATGTCATTGATCATGTTGACTGTAGGGTATTGCCAAGAAATAAGGAAAATATTTTGACGCACAAACAAATGTTGTTTGTAAGAAACTGAGACAGTTATATATTTGATAAAATTCCCATCATTACTACCTTGTTTGGTTTTAACCATGTTAATCAAATAAGGAAATAACATGATTGATCGCATAAAGAATATGAACTATGTATAAAAACTAATCATGATAATATTGAGTTGGAAATGCAGATGATAATTTCATGTAGAGGTGAGGTGAAATGGGGTTTAATGTCGTACTTGAGAATATTTCGCTCATATGACTACGTGCATGCGTGTGTCTGTGTATGTGCGGCTACTTGTACTAGCCCAGACAAGCTGCTAGCTCACTGAGATACCATGCCGCAGTCAAGCATGAATACCCCACTCAGACACATTATACTGACTCTGAGCGGTGTCGTGGAAGGCTAAAATTTATTTTTCAGATGTCCCGGGAAGGCTAAAATGTATATTTCGGATTTCCCGGGAGAGCTAATTTCCAAGGGAGTAGGGGAGTACCGCCAAAGCTAAAGATACGGTGCCGGGAAGCATAATCCATGTCGGAGTAAATAGATTTCTTTTCAAAACATTGTTATAGTATTCGAATCGTTTATTACCGTTATCTCGACACTGGTTAATAATATTTTATAAGTTGCACATTTAGATGAGTTGGACAGCTCACTAAAGATAAACTGAATAGCCTGATCATTTTTCTTTGTTTTATAACTATTAGATACTCTAGTGGTAATTCCTGCCTTAACCATATTTCACTTAATCCAATGTTTGACAAAATACTTTTAACCTGACACGCCCAATTTTTGACACCACGGGTCTCCACCTCCTCATACAAATATCCATCACAACCCCGTAAAATGCTATTTTCAGACACGAGAAGCATAAAAGACCAGTCATTGTTGTACCCATTAATGCCGAGCGCCAGGCAGGGGCCAACAAGTACCATTTTTAATGTCTCTTGGACTGATGCGGCCGGGGAGCGAACCCGCTACCTTCCGCTCTCCGGGCGCTCTAATCACGATCCCACAGAGGCGGTTATTTCATGTAGAAAATAACCATGATAATCTCATGTAGAAAATGCTCTTTATAATCTTATGTTGAAAATACCCATGATAGTCTCAGGTAGAAAATGACCATGATAATCTCATGTAGGAAACACACCTTGATGATCTCATGTGGAAAATAACCCATGGTAATCTCATGTGAAAATACCCCATGATAATCTCATTTAGAAAATATCCATGATAATCTCATGGATAAAATACCCATGATAATCTCCAATAGAAATACCCATGATAATCTCATGTTGAAAATACCCATGATTATGTCATGTTGAAAATACCCATGATAATCTCATGTGGAAAATAGCCATGTTAATCACATGTAGAAAATACTGATGATAAATGTAGAAACAAATGACAGAACCCAGTAAGGCTAACACAATGAAGGGTTATCAGTGTCAGGTCCAATGTCTGACTGTACCATGACATATACAAGAGACTTCCTGTAGCACAGAGGTCGGGAAGGGCAAGGTCGAAATGTGACAAGTAACATAGGATTTGGACAACAGTTTCTAAAGGAAAATGTTTAAATCAGCAAACAGTTTAACAGTCCTGTTAATCAATCATGTTAGGGTGATATAATGACATAATAATGGTTTCCATTTATAAATTATGTTATAAATAACATCTTGTACAAAGAAAACAGCAATCATGTAACTTTCCTTGTTATGAGGAAAATATTATGTATACCCCCCATTTGTGGTCCACCACACTGTTGTCATAAATACTGTGTTACATCATGCAGTAACCTTGACTGTGTAGGGTAGAGCAATGAGGTCTGTAATGTTTGGTAGTTATAGGAATACTGTAGGGTAGATATACTAACACTGTAATGTTTGGTAGTTATAGGAATACTGTAAGGGTAGATATACTAACACTGTAATGTTTGGTAGTTATAGGAATACTGTAGGGTAGATATACTAACACTGTAATGTTTGGTAGTTATAGGAATACTGTAAGGGTAGATATACTAACACTGTAATGTTTGGTAGTTATAGGAATACTGTAAGGGTAGATATACTAACACTGTAAGTGTTTGGTAGTTATAGGAATACTGTAAGGGTAGATATACTAACACTGTAATGTTTGGTAGTTATAGGAATACTGTAAGGGTAGATATACTAACACTGTAAGTGTTTGGTAGTTATAGGAATACCGTAGGGTAGATATACTAACACTGTAAGTGTTTGGTAGTTATAGGAATACTGTAAGGGTGTTTAAGTGTGGTAGTTATAGGAATACTGTAAGGGTAGATATACTAACACTGTAAGTGTTTGGTAGTTATAGGAATACTGTAAGGGTAGATATACTAACACTGTAAATGTTTGGTAGTTATAGGAATACTGTTGATATAATACAGGCAGATGATGTTGTTGAAGTGTTATGACTGATGATCATTAATGGTTCATGGATGGATGTTGGCTGATGGATATCTAGTCTTTCATGGAAACATGTTTACTGATGTTTCATGGAGATGTTTCATGAATGGGTGTTGACTGATGTTTCATGAAGATGTTTCATGAATTGATGTTGACTGATGTTTCATGGAGATGTTTCATGAATGGATGTTAACTGATGTTTCATGAATGGATGTTAACTGATGTTTCATGGATTGATGTTAACTGATGTTTCATGAATGCGTGTTGACTGATGTTTCATGAATGGATGTTGACTGATGTTTCATGAATGGATGTTGACTGATGTTTCATGAATGGATGTTGACTGATGTTTCATGAATGGATGTTGACTGGTGTTTCATGAATGGGTGTTGACTGATGTTTCATGAATGGGTGTTTACTGATGTTTCATGAATGGATGTTGACTGGTGTTTCATGGATGGATGTTGACTGGTGTTTCATGAATGGATGTTGACTGATGTTTCATGAATGGGTGTTGACTGATGTTTCATGGATGGATGTTGACTGATGTTGACTGATGTTTCATGAATGGATGTTGACTGATGTTTCATGGATGTTGACTGATGTTTCATGAATGGATGTTGACTGGTGTTTCATGAATGGGTGTTGACTGATGTTTCATGAATGGATGTTGACTGGTGTTTCATGAATGTTGACTGGTGTTGACTGATGTTTCATGAATGATGTTGACTGATGGATGTTGACTGATGTTTCATGAATGGATGTTGACTGATGTTTCATGAATGGATGTTGACTGATGTTTCATGGATGGATGTTGACTGATGTTTCATGAATGGATGTTGACTGATGTTTCATGAATGGATGTTGACTGATGTTGACATGGATGGATGAATGGGTTTGACTGATGTTTCATGAATGGATGTTGACTGATGTTTCATGAATGGATGTTGACTGGTGTTTCATGAATGGATGTTGACTGATGTTTCATGAATGGGTGTTGACTGATGTTTCATGAATGGATGTTGACTGGTGTTTCATGAATGTTGACTGTTGACTGATGTTTCATGAATGGATGTTGACTGATGTTTCATGAATGGATGTTGACTGATGTTTCATGAATGGATGTTGACTGATGTTTCATGAATGGATGTTGACTGATGTTTCATGAATGGATGTTGACTGATGTTTCATGAATGGATGTTGACTGATGTTTCATGAATGGATGTTGACTGATGTTTCATGAATGGATGTTGTTGACTGATGTTTCATGGATGGATGTTGACTGATGTTTCATGAATGGATGTTGACTGATGTTTCATGAATGGATGTTGACTGATGTTTCATGAATGGGTGTTGACTGATGTTTCATGGATGGAATGTGTTGACTGATGTTTCATGAATGGGTGTTGACTGATGTTTTCATGGATGGATGTTTCACTGGTGTTGATGTTCATGGATGGGTGTTGATGAATGGATGTTGACTGTTTCATGAATGTTTCATGAATGGATGTTGACTGATGTTTCATGAATGGATGTTGACTGTTTCATGGGTGTTGATGATGTTTCATGGATGTTGACTGATGTTTCATGAATGGATGTTGACTGATGTTTCATGAATGGGTGTTGACTGATGTTTCATGAATGGATGTTGACTGATGTTTCATGAATGGATGTTGACTGATGTTTCATGAATGGATGTTGACTGATGTTTCATGAATGGGTGTTGACTGATGTTTCATGGATGGATGTTGACTGATGTTTCATGAATGGATGTTGACTGGTGTTTCATGAATGGGTGTTGACTGATGTTTCATGAATGGATGTTGACTGATGTTTCATGAATGGATGGTGTTGACTGATGTTTCATGAATGGATGTTGACTGATGTTTCATGAATGGATGTTGACTGATGTTTCATGAATGGATGTTGACTGATGTTTCATGAATGGATGTTGACTGATGTTTCATGAATGGATGTTGACTGGTGTTTCATGAATGGGTGTTGACTGATGTTTCATGGATGGGTGTTGGTTGATGTTTCATGAATGGATGTTGACTGATGTTTCATGAATGGATGTTGACTGATGTTTCATGGATGGGTGTTGGTTGATGTTTCATGAATGGATGTTGACTGATGTTTCATGAATGGATGTTGACTGATGTTTCATGAATGGATGTTGATGTTTCATGAATAGGTGTTGACTGATTTTCATGAATGGATGTTGTTGACTGATGTTTCATGAATGGATGTTGACTGATGTTTCATGAATGGATGTTGACTGATGTTTCATGAATGGGTGTTGACTGATGTTTCATGGATGACTGATGTTTCATGAATGGATGTTGACTGATGTTTCATGAATGGATGTGTTGACTGACTGTTTCATGAATGGAATGGGTGTTGACTGATGTTCATGGATGGAGTGTTACGTTGATGTTTCATGAATGGATGTTTGACTGAATGTTTCATGAATGGATGTTGACATGAATGTGTTCATCATGAATGGGTGTTGACTGATGTTTCATGATGGATGTTGACTAATGTTTCATTGATGGATTGACTGATGTTTCATGAATAGGTGTTGACTGATGTTTCATGAATGGGTGTTTGACTGATGTTTCATGAATGGATGTTGACTGATGTTTCATGAATGGGTGTTGACTGATGTTTCATGAATGGATGTTGACTGGAATGTTTCATGGATGGATGTTGAATGTTTCATGGGTGTTGACTGACTGATGTTTCATGAATGGATGTTGACTGGTGTTTCATGAATGGGTGTTGACTGGTGTTTCATGAATGGATGTTGACTGATGTTTCATGGATGGATGTTGACTGGTGTTTCATGAATGGATGTTGACTGATGTTTCATGGATTGATGTTGACTGGTGTTTCATGAATGGATGTTAACTGATGTTTCATGAATGGATGTTGACTGGTGTTTCATGAATGGATGTTGACTGATGTTTCATGAATGGGTGTTGACTGATGTTTCATGAATGAATATTGATGGTGGATATTGAATTCATCAGTGGATATTGTCAAATGGATGTTGGCAGATGGATGAGGACTAACCTTTAATGGATGTAGATTAACCTTTAATGGATGATATTAAGTGTTGATATTCATTAATGATTGAACATTGGATATTGTCCGAAGGATGTTGACTGTCAGATGCTGACAGTTCGATGTTGACCAGTGTTTCTTTCATAAGTGGGTCCTTACTGATATTTCATTGATGGATGTTGACAGTGGGTGTTGAAATTATCATTGGATATTGTCTGAAGGATGTTGACTGTCAGATGTTGACTGTCAGATGCTGACAGATGGATGTTGCCCAGTGTTTTATAAATGGGTCTTTACTGATGTTTTCAGGGATGGACGACACTGGCGACTCTAACGACTCGGTGGAAGTTCCACTGGAGCAGTCCCACCTCCCTGTTGACCTGCAGACCAAATTTGTGGACAATGGCGACTACCATATGATGAATGGAAATGGGACGTTGGGTAGGTAATGACATACACTGTCAAGGTACAGTCAGGTCGCATTAATCCGAGCAGTGACGTTCTTCATGAAAAATGTTCGGATAGTGAAACGTTCGGTTGCTGAAACAAATCCAGTACACCACACTGCAGTAGCGTTACTGGACCGCCTCCGTGGTGGAGTGGTTAGAGCGTCCGCCCGGAGAGCGGAAGGTCGCGGGTTCGATCCCCGACCGCGTCATACCAAAAGACGTTAAAATATGGTACTTGTTGGTCCCTGCCTGGTGCTCAGCATTAATGGGTACAACAAGGACTGGTCGGCTGGAGTCAGTATAATGTGTCTGAGTGGGGTATTCTTGCTTCACTGTGGCGTGGTATCTCAGTGGGGCTAGCACTATAAGACCAGCTTAAGTCTGGGCTAGTACAAGCAGCCGCACATACTCATACACAAGCATGCACGTCGTCATATGAGCGAAATATTCTCAAGCACGACGTTAAACCCAATTTCACCTCACCTCACCTCAGTAGCGTTACTTCCCTTTCACTTGACTGATAGAGACAAATGAACGTATACCATATATAACCGTAGATATGGCGAATTTTCAGGACTAAAAATAGCAGTGTGTAGAAGGGCGTCGGCTTATCTATGGTTACACTTTCGTCACTCTTTTTCAGGGGGTAAGAAAACGACATCGTATAGCTTCAAGTGAACGAACAAACAATTTTTGCTAGGCATTGTCTAATATGCAGGGATTAAGATTACCGTGTGTAGTTGTCTCATATACAGCGCCAGAAATAGCAATCAGCTGTGCAGTGCACACGTTCCCCTACTGGTGATTTAGTTAAAACGTACCCGATAATATAACGAAAGCAGTTTGTTGACATGTGATCGTCCAGCTACACTAAATATGACTTTTGCCGTATGTATAGCTGGATTAATGAAGCAAAAACAAGTACAATTAGCTAATACGTTACCGATAATTGATGGTTGGAGTTGGAGACTGAAGCATCGGATTAATGAATCAACAATTGATGTGTTTATACAGAAAACAAGATTGGTTACAGCTTGAGTCTCTGGTCAGATGGCGCGGGAATCGGATTATCGGAGACCGGACTAATGTGGCCTGATTGCATACACTTCTTTTTATTTTGAAATAATACCTGGCTAGCTATTCTCAAAACGTTCGTAGCCCTATGAACTTCTTAAGCCCATTCTTAACACATTGACTACGATCAAAATTAAGAATTCTAAGGGCTACGAACATTTCGAGAATAAGGGCCCTGAACATGTTACCATGGCTACAACCTTCACCGCTGAATCCTTTGGGGTGGTGGTGGGAATGGCCTTGGTAAAAGCATTCAATCCTGAGACACTGTTGGATTACGCTCATGGATGCAATGTGTGAAGCTATTATTTTGTGTTCCTCGACAAGATAAACAGGAATATTGCTAAAAGCAGTGTAAAAAAAACTCACACATCATGTGATAGACAAAATACTAAAGGATTGTGAATTTGAAAGAAGCTGTAATTAGACTGATTCTGTGAGACATAAGTGCATGTATAATCATGTTGTTGTGTGTCCAGAGTTCCAGCCACACATCAAGATCGTTGAGGAGCCCCAACAGCGAGGATTCCGCTTTCGCTATGAGTGTGAGGGTCCCTCCCATGGGGGCCTACAGGGGGAGAAGAGTGAGAAGAGCAGGAAGTCCTACCCCAGCATCAAGGTAGGGGTTCTCATCATGGGTTCTCATGACAGTTGCAGTCATCACAAGGGTATCCTAGCAGCAAGGTAGGGGTTCTCATCATGGGTTCTCATGACAGTTGCAGTCATCACAAGGGTATCCTAGCAGCAAGGTAGGGGTTCTCATCATGGGTTCTCATGACAGTTGCAGTCATCACAAGGGTATCCTAGCAGCAAGGTTGGGATTTTTGCCACAGGTGTATTCATGCAGCAAGGTAGGAGGTGTTACATCAAGGGTATCCTCAGAACAAGGTGTGGGTTTTCACCACAGGTGTATTCATGCAGCAAGGTAGGAGGTGTTACCTCAAGGGTATCCTCAGAACAAGATGGGGGTTCTCACTTCAGGGGTGTTCACGCAGCAAAGTAGGAAATTTTACCTCAATTATATCCTTGGAACAAGATGAGGGTGTTCACTTCAGAGTTATTCATGCAAGGGCATCACAGGAATATTATGGTCATGTGTTGTGTCTCCATGGTCAGTGGACAGACCAGAGAGCAGAAGGTCAGGAGTTTGATCCTCGTTCACGTGACTGACTGACTGACTGAGTTTGGTTTTCACCGCTTTTAGTTTGATCCTTCGCCCATGTGGGCTCACATGAAACCAAGATACATGAACAGATGGAAATTGTTGTTGCCCTGGCTTAGGCTTATTAACATGCTTAAATTAATAAAATAAGGACTTGATGACTTGGATTCTGTGTGCTGTTTCTAGGTGGGGTATCAATGTTAAACTGTAATATAATATCTCAGAGGGCTGGTACTGTAAAATCAGGATAGTACATGCAAGTGCACATGCATGTGCATGTTGTCATTAAGTGCAGTAATCTTGAATGCATTTTACCGCACCTGACCAGGTGTTAGACATATGCTTGTCATCCAGTTTCATGTCAATATTGGTGTGGTGGGGTAGTCTTGTGGTTAAACATTCGCTCATCATGGCTGAAAACCCGGGTTCGATTCCCCACATGGGTACAATGTGTGAAGCCCATTTCTGGTGTCCCCTGCCATGATATAGCTGGAATATTGCTAAAAGCGGCGTAAAACCATACTCACTTATGTCAATATTTCTTGGCAGATTGAGAACTACAATGGTCCGGCTAAGATTGTGGTGACCCTGGTGACAGATGAGGATCACCCCAAACACCATGCCCACAAGCTCGTGGGAAGGAACTGTCAAAATGGAATCTGTGTACAAGAAGTACAGTTAACCAGTGGCATTATTTCGTAAGTGTTTTCCTGTAACCAATCAGATCACACAATCACCTCACAAACACAAGACTCAGACAGTTTGAGTTACAGAACAAACCATCACCATGTTACTTTACAACCACAAGGCACAGACAACATTTCTACTTCTGTTCCTACCATTTGAAACACTTGCTGTGTTTTTTCTGAAAAGAAGAACCAAGCAGTTATTTTGTACCAAGAACTCTTTCTTCTTCAGAACATCTGGTATGTTCAGTGAACAAACATCAGGATGTCTTTTTTGTGAAATATGAGTAAATATTTAGATCTTCTCCACTACTGTAAGACGTAGATGATTTAATAAAGAAATCCAAGCACCATCTATCAACCACCTGCTCTCTCATTCCCCCCCAACACATAGTGTCACACACCCAAAGTGATGATGTGAAATTGTTCCTGTGTTTCCAGCTTCCCCAATCTGTGTGTGCTGCACGTCACACGGAAGAAGGCGACGGAGGTGTTGGAGGGCCGCATCATCGAGTCCCTCATCCTTGAGAGGAAGGTCCAGCAGGGGCACATGAGTGCTGAAATATCCATCACAAGTAAGTTATTGGATGTGTCCAAGTATGTTTTTGTAATTGCTCATGAATGGATGATTCTGTAATAGGGTAGTAGGCTTTTGCACAGCCATGGAGTATTTAAATTAGTTTTCTTTATCCTGACTCATGCTTATTATGCTTGTCTCCTCCTTGTATGCGAATGATAGTGGAACACTTGAAATCCCTTGTAGTTCCCTTTAAAGCGGACGTATAAGTACACTCACCCACGAGTTGCCTCCCTTGCATAGTTTCCCACCAAAACAGTCACATGACTAACCATGCTTGTCACTCTCTCCTCCATCGCCCTGGTGGATGGTTGTGGATACTTGGGAGTCCCTATACGGCACTATATCCTTTTATATTTCGACCCCTAAGCCCAAATTTAGCTGTATACGGTTTTCGGTCTGTATTATTATTCAGTGTATATAGGAATTATGTCCAAATTTATGTAAATATTGTTGTTTTTCATCACTTGTATTTGTTGTTTACATTTGATGAATTCGTGTTCTTTTTGCAGGCACCGACTGTCTGCGGCTGATCCGCACCCCCTTTGTCCTTCTTGTACTAATCAATGCTCTTCCAGCTTTCGCTGTCAATATTGTATAAATTTATCTTCATTCCAATTTAATAACTATTTGTTGGCCTTATTTAGAAGTTCTAAGGACAAGTAGCGGAGGTTATCACGAGGCATGGCGGATAAAACGAGAGATAACGTCAGTAACCGTGTGTTGTCATCTGCAAATGAAACTAATGTTTCTAGTGATTTGCCGGGTTCGTCACAGGGGCAGACTCCTGTTACGAGGAAGAGGGCAGCGTCGTCTGAGTTGGCTTCATCGCAGTCTAAGAAGCATAAGTCGTCAGGTGTCAGTTCACAGAAGAAGAAGACATCTGCGTCGAAATCATCTTCGAAGTCTTCCAGCTCTACTAGACCTGCTCATCAGATGTCATTCAACGAAGATATCGTCCCCCCGGCAGAGGCAGACATCTTCGACGACCCGCCGATTTTGCTACCAGAAGTTACCTTAGTCAGCAAGGTGTCGCAGCAGCCGTCGTCAGCCAGATCTATGTCCTCAGCCGCTTCAGCCCTCAGCAGATGATTAAAGATTGTCCGTCAGCCTCACAGACATCGGGTGCAAGATAGAACATCAGCATTTCTTCACTTCGTTCACAACGCAGACTAGAAGATGAGTCCATGTTCTCGTATGCGTCGTCTACTCCTCATCAATCAGCGCAGAACTTTGACCAGGGTGCATTCATGAAGCAATTCACCCAGCAGATGCTATCTTTGATGGAGCAGAGGTTCGCCGAAGAGAAGAGGTTACAGCAAGCTTCGGCGATTGCAGTACCTAGGATGGAATCCACTCCACAGGATGCAGCACTGGTGGATCATCAGTCAGCGAACACAACAGTTGCAGATCATCATTCGACGAATGCAGTCACGACGCAGGATCACCAGCGTTCGAGTAGGTCTTCACCTACCAAGGATACAACGTTCTGCAGTCTAGAGGGATCCGTGAATATGAATGAGGATACAGTTCGAGAATGTCGTCGCTCCATCTCCAGGGAATCTCCTCTGAGGCGTGAACGCACCTCGTCAGTATCAAGCAGATCTTACAGATCTTTTCGCGAAGGAGGATCCTAGGAAGGACTCGCGATTGGAGCATGCGCGAAGGGATTCGCAAAGCCACAGCTTGTCAGACAAGGATGAAGAGAGCGATGGGATCTTCTCCGATGCAGAGGTTACTTCATGGATCGCGAGTGGTCTCGATTTATCATCTCCATCAAAGCTACGGAATGAAGCACTCACTTACAGAATGCTTGATAATGACTTTGATTCGCTCACGAACCCGCCTATTGAACCCATTGTAGGAGTCCCAGCAAGCCTCAGTTTAGCCTTCGAGAAAGCAACGAAGTCACAGAACCAGCACGTTCCAGTTTTTAATGAGCAAAGATCCCTCTTCACCACATGGAGTCATTTATGAGAGCGCCCAACTTGGATGAGAATTACAGACTTATCAACGATAATCACAGTAAACTATATAAAGTGGATGATAAAAAGATTGCACAGTTGGACACCACAACTAGACGCACATTCTTCGGCCTGGCTAGGTCAAGAGCAATAAGCGAGGTGCTCATTGCAAAGTTCCAGAACTCAGATGCTGAAGAGGATAAGATGATCTTATCTGCACTTCTCACCCAGAACAGGAATCAACAGTTCATGTCAGACCACTTGGCATCTACATCTGCGGGCCTTACGCTGTTAAGAAGACAGGGTCTTCTGTCATCCTGCAACTGGAGCGAAAGATATACCAAGTCACTCCTGAGAGCCCCATGGTCAGCCCCTACTCTTTTCGGCGGAGGAATTGAAGAGATTGCCAAAGAGGTCACTCACGACTCTAGAGAAGTGATGATGATTAAGTCGATCGACACCTTAGCGAATGTCATCCGCCAGACGTCTCATCGTTACAGCAACAAATTCAAGGTTGTCATTTCCAGTGGAAAGTCCTGCCGTTGGAATATCTTTGGCCCCATGGTTGTTTAACCAAGCCCATAGTCGCCTTTCTACATCATCAAGGTCTACGCAGTGCTTTCTACCTAGACGACGGTATTCAAGAGCATCAGGAAGCCAGTCAGCTCAAGTTACAACTGGACTTCACCATAAGGCTACTAACACAAATGGGTTGGCTAGTAAACCTACTGAAATCAGAATTGGAACCCACACAGGATCTACAATTTCTAGAGATAAGGTTCGTCACAATAGAAAATCGCATCGTAGTCCCTGAAGATCGTTGGATCAAGATACAAGCCATGATCCCGCAAGCAGTCATCTCTCCGTTGAATCTCCGAACATGGCAGCGCCTTCTGGGTCTACTCACCTCAGCACAGGACCTAACTCGTAGAGGAAGATTACAACTACGTCTGTTGTAGCGATTTCTGAATACTCGCCTGAGCAGTACAGGGTTGATAACTCTACCAGAGAGTCTACAAACATTCCTGTTATGGTGGACTCACAAATCGAATGTTTGCAGAGGAACTTATTTAGAAGAGCCGGTTTGCGACACACATCTGTACGTGGATGCGTCGCTACAAGGATGGGGAGCACACCTCGAGAGCAAGGTAGCTGCAGGAAAGTGGTCGGAAAGGGAACGAAATCTGCACATCAATCAACTATAGATGAAAGCAGTCATCAACGCCTTATAACATTGGTCGAAGTCTCTGATCAACAAAGCATTGACAGTGCACACGGACAACTCCACAGTGGCATTTTACATCAACAGACAAGGCTCAACAAGATCAGCAAGTCTGCTACATCTCATATTTCATCTGTTCGACATTGTGGACAAGCTGAACATTGGATAAAGGCATGTCACATTCCCGGAGCAAAGAACATTCTAGCAGATGCTCTGTCTCGGCCACAGCAAGCATCCCCGACAGAATGGATGCTTCATCCGGAGGCGTTTTGTCTCATCATAAGGACGCTAGGATCTCCACTTATAGATCTATTCGCCACAAGGTTCAACAGACAGATGCAGACGTTCGTCTCACCGGGACCGATCCGCTAGCATGGACAACAGACGCATTGAACATGTCGTGGGAAAGACTAAACGCATACGCTTCAACACCGGTTCTAATCCCGCAAGTACTCGAGAAAATCAGGCAGACTACAGTCCTCCATCTGATTTTGGTCGCTCCCTTTTGGCCAGTGAGAGTGTGGTTTCCAGATCTCATTCAAGAACTAGGAAAGCCAAACCTGAAACTACCAGAATGGCCGAACCTACTGGTTCATCCGCACACCAAGCAAGTTCACAGGAATCCAGCAGTGTTCCAGCTTCACGCATGGACAGTATCAAAACTTGCTTGAGGAAGAGAGGTTATCTGCTCTTCGCAGATCTACTCGCAACCTGTATGATGACAAATGGCAGAGGTTTCAACAATACGCTCGGCGCAAAGGTTTCACAGCAACGAAAGCATCTCATCCTCAAGTGGTGGATTACTTATGTCATCTACGACAGACTAAGAGATTGAAAGGTTCGACCTTATCCACGTACTTGGCGGCTATTAGCTCAATTTTGACCATGAAGACAGGCAGCAAATTGACAAAAGTACCAGAACTACTGGCCTTATTACATTCCTTTAAGCTGGAGGATCAGCAAAAGAAATTTAAGTATTGCAGTGAATTTTCATATTGCGATGCGAAACATATATTGTGATATGTATTGCAATATATTGCAAGATTTGTTTTTAAACAAAAAAACTACTTATACTCGAGTTGAAACAAAGGAAAAGAACAATTTAACATCAACACAGTGGTTACTAGTTTGAACTAGTTTCTCCACTCTCAAAAAAAGCCCTGAGATTTTAGACAGCAACTTGACCTGGTCATTAATGAGTAAATATTTAAAACATTCAGATCCAAAACATTGCGAAGCACTTGAACAAAAATTTAGAAAACCGAACTTAACTTGACTTCCGTTGTGAAAAACGGAAATATCCGAACATTTCTGAGTGTTACGAAGTTTTCCGAATGTATGTCGAAATACCAGTTTTCGATCAGCGTATCGCAATACATATTGATTTCATGACTGAACCGGTAAATACCTGTAAACCAGTTATACTGAGCAACCCTACCTGCGTACTACAACATCTCACCAGTGATACCTACGGCAGCCCGAGTATCAGAGATACATGCGCTTGATTTTGGATGAACTCGGTTCGACACAGGACATCGTGCGGCAGCACATTTAGGACTTAAATGGGATTTTGTGGCAAAGAATCAGCTACCTGGTCAACCAGATAGACAGTTCCATGTATCAGCATTATCAACAATCCTCGGACAGGAGGATGTACAGGATTTATCTCTATGTCCGGTTAGAGCATTGAAAATTTACCTTAACCGGGACAAGAACAAGGAGACAAAAGTTCAAGCGCCTGTTTATACCGTTGTCTACAGAGACATCCACAGAAGTCTCCCGAACAACAATATCAGTATGGATGAGAGCCGTTATACTAAGGGCCTACAAAGCAACAGGATTACCACCTCCGAGTGCATCCAACCCACACGAAGTTAGAGCTTTGGCGTCTACTCTCGCTCTGCATGGGAATTGCTCAATGGCATCAATAATGGAAGGCTGCTTTTGCCAACAACTACCTGAGAGACATTGCCACCGATGCCTCTCCGGCATTCACCAGTTGGGGCCACTTGTTGTTGCACAACAACTAACGGTTCCATAGAGGCGTTGAATTGAAAATCTCACCCTCTTATCACGTGACTTGCTGATAACCTTCGCTCTGGAGAGTCTTGGTTGAGAGTCCATGTTTACGTCTAAAACAGACCAACATGAGTGATTTAGACCTTTTACTTGTACGGAAGTACTGGTATGTGAGAAGGGTCGTAACTCTTACGATAAGAAGATACTTCTTACATTAGTTATTATATATATCGAGCAAGGATACACTAGTATATCTTAAATCCACATGAATCGTAGATTCACTTGTCTTAAAGAAGTCTGACAAGATGTGGTACCCCCGAGTTGGCAGATGGAAGTTGGCAGATGGATTGTCAAGAAGTGCCGTAAGATAGTTCCCATGGGGTTAGATACAGGACGTATCTAGGACAGCCAATAAATCCGAGAAGGTGACCTGACCCACCACCAATCGGTCGGATTCTGGAAGCATAATAATCATGAGTCAGGATAAGGAAAAATATTTTCTTAATAAAATTGATATTTTATACTTATCCTGACACATGATGTCAAGCCCTCCCAACCTCCCCACTAATGGCACTTCGGATTTCACGGTAAATCCATGTGTCGGGCATATTACAGAGGGAGTGACAAGCATGGTTAGTCATGTGACTGTTTTGGCGGGAAACTATGCCAGGGAGGCAACTCGTGGGTGAGTGTACTTATACGTCCGCTTTAAAGGGAACTACAAGGGATTTTCAAGTGTTCCACTATCATTCACATAGAAGGAGGAGACAAGCATAATAAGCATGAGTCAGGATAAGTATAAAATATCAATTTTATTCAGAAAATTACATCATAATGTCTAAGTGCTCACTGCTTTCATTCTTGTGAGTTATGAGAAAGATTGAAAGAGTCGTACAGTCTAGTCAACAAAGTTATGAGAAAGATTGAAAGAGTCGTACAGTCTAGTCAACAAAGTTATGAGAAAGATTGAAAGAGTCATACAGTCTAGTCAACAAAGTTATGAGAAAGATTAAAAGAGTCGTACAGTCTAGTCAACAAAGTTATGAGAAAGATTAAAAGACGTACAGTCTAGTCAACAAAGTTATGAGAAAGATTAAAAGAGTCATACAGTCTAGTCAACAAAGTTATGAGAAAGATTGAAAGAGTCGTACAGTCTAGTCAACAAAGTTATGAGAAAGATTGAAAGAGTCGTACAGTCTAGTCAACAAAGTTATGAGAAAGATTGAAAGAGTCGTACAGTCTAGTCAACAAGATTTTCATGACATGGAAGACTAAGAGTGAGTGAGTCATATGGGTTTAACTCCGATTTCAACAATATTACAGTTATATCATCGCATGTCACCTTAATGTGAGAGAAAAACCTGATGGGATGCATGTGGCAAACATTTTGCAACTTTGGTGAAACCCACAAGCAGGGGTGTGGTGCAGACAAGCCTAGAAACACAGTCGGTATGAACCAGGATGAGAAGCCATGTTCATATGTTTCTGGTGTGCACAAGGATGAAACTCTGCACAGCAAATTGCATCAATTTATACAAGTGGGTCACCCATGCTGCCCAATCCATGAACACTCTCCTGCTAGGAATGTGAAACCAGAAAATATTAACGATATGTGTTACCATAGTTACCATATGGTGATAACGTAAGGTCAAATTATGACAGACTTCTTACCTGATTGTAATTCATTAATAAGTAAGTTGTACTTTTGTCACACTCTCTTGCACCCGTGTAAAAAATATGTTTTAATATGTTAAGAAACATTCTTAGATTTTAGCTAGTTTTCAATTCATATTTGCCTTGATCATTCATAGACATGATGGGCATGTTTGTGTGGAGGGTCCCAATTGCTTAGATCGATGCTCATGATGTTGATCACTGGATTGTCTGGTCCCCACACTATTTTCAGAGATATCCACCATATAGCTGGAATACTGCTGAGTGCAGCAATGAATCAGTCGTGTGTGGGGGTCACACGAGGTATTAGCAGTGGGCTGAATGATGTCACAAATATCTGTTGTGTTTTGTATTCATACGTCACTGTGTGCCACATTCACCACCAATATATATGCCAATTTGATGTTCAACCAATGCAATATTTGGGTACCTAAGACACAGATAACTGCATTTGTGCCTCTCAGATACATTGTACCTTACAGCTTGTTAATAATGAAACATACGACTTTATGGATGACAACTTCTTTTTATTGCATAGAGCGACGTTTCGATATAGATTCTTACACCGTTATCAAGCTAAAAAAGTGCAATGAATAATAAGTTGTCATCCATACAGTTGTATGTTTCATTTTTGACTCTCCAACTTCTAGAATGCCAATCAAACAATTATAGCTTCAGGGCTCCCACAGGTCAGGGAAAAGTCAGGGAAATTTGGCATTTCTCTGAAAGTCAGGGAAAAGTCAGGGAATTTTGATATGTTTTCAAAAGTCAGGGAATAGTCAGGGAATTTGGGGGTTAAGTCAGGGAAATTTAGGGGTTTGGTCAGGGAAAAATAAGACTCTGAATGTCGCTAATCAGGTATGGTAGTAGTCAAAGTCAAAGATGCAAGCACACGTTACAGACATTTCATGAAATAAATTACAGTTCAGATCAGAGATTGCTTTTAAGCATAACAGCATGTTTTACATAAAGCCCTAGATTACATATTACATTTTCATTTCTGGAGGATAGAATGGAAACAAAGTCACTTGAAGGATATTTTTACAGATAATTATTTGGTATGTATTGTTTTCTTAAATCAGCATAATGTGAGTTTCATCTTCTACAGATGGGTTACATAACAGACATATTCTTCTATGAAGCACAATCGGTTGAACTTGTGAATCAAACAATATGAAACATATTTCCCGGTTAAAATTCCAAAATTCTGGGAAACGGACATAAATTTGATAAGAGCCTTCTTAGCATGTGATTTCAGATATATAACACTCTTTTTATCTCTCTCTTCCTCCCCCCCCTGCATTACATGCGGGGGGATATAGTCGTCCGTCCGTAATCATTTTGTTTCTGGAGCATAACTCGAAAACAGCTCAATATTTTCAACACAACTTTGCAGATATATCAAACAGAACCTAAAGTGGTGCCTTTTGCTATTTTTACAGATTTTTGTCGCATCTATTTTGCTTGGTTTCCAAGGAAACGTTTTGGACTTTGTCTACAAAAATGAAGTTCAACTTTAAGTAACTGTCAGATGATTTGCTCTTTCATATTTGTAGGGGCCGGGGATTTGTCATCTTCTGATGACTCTTGTTTAGTATGGAAAAACACTAGTCCGAGATAGGCATAGTGATTAACAATAGATAATTGTTTGCCATTCAAAAACATTTTTCTTTATATGCAATAGATCCACCTTTCTAAAGATAACTATGTTAACAGATATTTTTCCATTCATTTGTATACCGTTCCAAAATATTATAAATAGTATGATGGCTATGGTGGTTTCTTGCAAATTGTGAAAGCCCATTTTGGCCAAAAATACCCATATAAGTTTCATTGTTAAAGTACAGCATAGGTTTATAATATGCCCTATGTTCTGACATTTGCTGTTGATTCACAAAATTGAAAATCTTGCATGTTTATTCTTTCCAAATATGCCGTTGATAATTACAACATTTTGTGATAATGAAGAAATGTGTTCCTGACTTTGAATGAAACAATTCAATTAAATCATTAGTTTCACATTCAAAAGCCTTTAATATAAAATACAAAGTTTTCAGATGATATATTACTGACTTCACCTTAGAATATATATTTGATGGTCACGGTCAAATGTATCTAATAGTATTATGTAACATTGTGGCAGGAGAGTCAAGGAAAATTTTCTTCATCACAAATATCAATGTTTTGGTTAATGTAATAAATTAACAAATACTGTGTGTATTTATGATATGTGTAAAGGAAATATCTTAACACGGTGGTTAGGACTGACTGAAAGGGAGGAAGGTGGCCAGTTTTTACACTTAAATGGTCAGGGAAAAATCTATACTTGTCAGGGAAAAGTCAGGGAATTTTTGCCTGCCATGCCTGTGGGAACCCTGAGCTTGTTGTTTTGAAAAACTTGAAAGATAAATGGTATCTGATAGACACACATGTAGTAATCTAGTTGATTATACAAAGCACATGAGTACTTATCCCTGTGTGTTTGGTAGAGGATGACAAAGACAAAGCCCGGAAGCAGGCACAAGAGCAGGCCAAGAACATGTCGCTCAACGTGGTGCGGCTGTGTTTCCAGGTGTATCTGATGGATGAAAAGAAAAACTTCACCAAGCATCTGACTCAAGTGGTATCCAGGCCGATCTATGACAGCAGTAAGTAGCTCCAGTCAGGTTCAATGAACTTGGTTCATGTTCTTTGTCTCTGCTCAAAACCAAGCATGACAGTCAAATGATTTGGATGTTTTAGAAAACCCTGGACGTCTAAATTTCGGTGTCCTTGTTGGCATGGTTACACATATGCACAGTGCCATTAAACTCCACTCACTCACTCACTCACTCACTTACTCACACTCACTCACTCACTCACTCACTTCCTGTGGTGGGGCGGTGGGGTAGCCTAGTGGTTAAAGCGTCCGCTCGTCACGACGAAGGCTCGGGTTCGATTCCCCCACATGGGTACAATATGTGAAGCCCATTTCTGGTGTCCTCCGCCGTGATATTGCTGGAATATTGCTAAAAGTGGCATAAAACCATGCTTACTCACTCACTCCTTCCTAAAGTATTTGCACATCATGTTGAAGATCCAAGTCAATTCCCCCACATGAGTACAATGTGTGCAGCCAAATTCTGGTGTCCTCCACCATGATTTTGTTGGAATACTGCTAGAAGCAGCATAAATCCGAACTCATTCACTCACTCACTCACTCTCTTCCTCCCTGTCTGCAGAATCCCCCGGTGCATCTGCACTCAAGATCTGCAGGATGGACAAGTACGGCGGCTGCTGCACAGGCAATGAGGAGGTGTTCCTCCTGTGTGAGAAGGTCCAGAAAGGTGGGTGCTTACTTCTCAACCAAACTTGTTCTGACATAAACCAATGTGTGAAGCCCATTTCTGGTGTCCCCCGCCGTGATGTTGCTGGAATATTGCTAAAAGCGGCGTAAAACCAAACTCAGTCAGTCAGTCAGTCTGACATAAACATTTATAAGTATGATGTTAGCAGTATTTTCACTTTGCAATCGCACAAAATTGTATAAGTATGTTTCCCACCATGTCTGCGATTAAAGACAGGAAGCTTTTACTTTCTTAATAGGCTGATATTCATTATTATTGAGCATCAATCATCGTTAGATTTATGATTATATGATAGAGTTGTCGACCCATTTGATGTTCTTAAGATTTTATAGAAAAAATATTCTCTCAGTTCCTCAAGCAGTCGTAGCGATAAAACCATCACAGCTCCCATACTTTAAAGTATGAGTAAATATTAAGATCTTTTCCACAATTAAAAGGCTGACAAGAGTCGTAGTGCTAAGATTTGTTTGTGGATGGCCTGCGGATCAGGAAACTGGACAGTGAACATCTGATGAGCATTACACTTATGAGAAATTATATCAGTCTTATGTCTGCCTTCTTACAGCCAACCGAGACAGTACATTAGCCCTTACTCTATGTAAAGGAGAGAACTACAGACAAATGTGTGACTTGTGATTGAGGGTAGAAAACTGTTTGATGTTTTTGCAGATGATATCTCAGTGAGGTTTGTAGAGTTCAGTAAGGATGGGTCGGTGTTGTGGGAGGCTTTCGGTAACTTCAGTCCCCTCGACGTCCACAGACAGGTGAGAGATTAATAGTGGATTTACATACAATTGTGCACACTGGTTTTTATTTGCATATATGAAAACAAACCAGTCTGAAATCCTGTCCAGTCATCAATGTCTTTTGCATGTATGTTTTATGTGTGTTTATGTTGATAGTGTGCTTAAATTCAGTATTTCGATATGAGTACTATATAGATGGTGTATGTATAGCTTTGTGACATGATACTGACTTTCTATTTCAGTATGCGATTGTGTTCCGCACCCCTCCTTATCGGAACACGTCCATTGACAAGGCTGTCAATGTGATGATAATGTTGCAGAGGAAGAGTGACCAGGAGACAAGCGAGGCCAAGGCCTTCACATACTATCCCCGCAATCTTGGTAGGTGCCCATTATTGTCCGTATCTTGGCAGCGGGTGTGCATCATTGTGTTTAGCAGAAGGTGTCCATCATTGTGTTTCTCAGCAGGTGCCTATCAGAAGGTGCCATTTCATTATTGTGTTTATCTCAGCAGGTGCCTATCATCATGTTTAACTCACAGCATGTGCCCATTATTGTGTTTATCTCAGCAGGTGCCCATCATTGTGTTTAACTCAACATGTACCCATCATTGTGTTTATCTCAGCAGGTGCCCATCATTGTGTTTATCTCAGCATGTCTCCATCATTGTGTTTATCTCAGCAGGTGCCCATCATCGTGTTTATCTCAGCAGTGTGCCCATCACTGTGTTTATCTCAGCAGGTGCCCTTCATCGTGTTTATATCAGCAGGTGCCCTTCATTGTGTTTATCTCAGCAGGTGCCCTTCATCGGGTTTATCTCAGCAGTGTGCCCATCACTGTGTTTATCTCAGCAGGTGCCCTTCATTGTGTTTATCTCAGCATGTGTCCATCATCGTGTTTATCTCAGCATGTGTCCATCATTGTGTTTATCTCAGCATGTGTCCATCATTGTGTTTATCTCAGCAGGTGCCCTTCATCGTGTTTATATCAGCAGGTGCCCTTCATTGTGTTTATCTCAGCAGGTGCCCTTCATCGTGTTTATCTCAGTAGTGTGCCCATCACTGTGTTTATCTCAGCAGGTGCCCTTCATCGTGTTTATCTCAGCAGGTGTCCATCATTGTGTTTATCTCAGCAGGTGCCCTTCATTGTGTTTATCTCAGCAGGTGCCCTTCATCGTGTTTATCTCAGCAGTCCATCATTGTGCCCATCACTGTGTTTATCTCAGCAGTGTGCCCATCACTGTGTTTATCTCAGCAGGTGCCCTTCAAACTATTTTATGTATGCCATATGCTGAAAGTTTACATACGTGATATATGCATGTTTGTATCATGTATTCTGTTCTGTCCCCAGACAAAGATGGTATAGCAAGAAAGAAGAGGAAGGCCATGCCATCACTGGATGGTTTTGGGGGTCATACCGGGGAGCAGGGGTGGGTTTGGCAGCTCAAGGGGTGGGGAGGTTTCGGTGGGTCTGATGGTGGAGGGGGCGGAGGACAAGTCCCACACAGGGTTTTACTGCCGAATGGAAGTAAGTACAATCATATATCTAGGACAATTCTCGAGATCTGATAAACCTATTCTTCTATATCCAGAATATATTTTGAATTAAATCTGCATATTATTTAGTGTTGTTTATTGAACTGCCACATTGTTTTATGTTAATCAGATAAAAATACTGTATAATTGTCTCCATGCTGCTTGACAGGTAGTTGGAGAGTGTTGTAGTTAAAATGTTGGCTTATCACACCAAAGGCCTGGTTTGTTGTTTGGTAGAATGTATGAACTCATGACTGATATCAATTGTTGATGGAATGATGCTACAGTAATCTACATGTCTTGAACATGGCACTGTATCAAATAGATGTCATGTTTTTTAATCTATATGTAAAAATTGCTACTTCAGTGTTCACATTTTGTTAATTAGTTAATACCTGATATTTACAGATGTGGTCTATCAAGATGGAAATGTTCCGTCCACCATTGAACAAGGTAGGCACAGTCAGCTCTCTCCCACCATTCTACTTCTGTTTTTGGTAGTACACTCACTCACTCACTCACTCACTCACTCATGCACTCGCTCACTCATCTGAACTCACTCACTCACTCACTCATGTTTATCATAAGAGCAGCCATGAATTGAAATCAACCACATTCAATCAATCAACCACATTCCATGTTCCCCTTTTGACACCATGGCTAAGCTCAAACATTTTGCAATGGTCACAATAAGTGGATGCTTCTGTTACTATGTTTTTAATTCCATTGTTCTAGCTCATACGGGGCAGTGGGGTAGACGTAGGTACAATGTGTGAAGCCCATTTCTGGTGTGCCCCACCGTGATATTGCTGGAATATTGCTAAAAGCAGCGTAAAACCATTCTCACTCACTCATTCTAGCTCATACATTTGAATGACACCTCAGCAAAGAAGGTTTGGTGAGATATGCAGTGTAATTTTCTGTAGATAGCATATTCTCTATAGTAATAGTAATAGTCCGCTTATATGGCGCTCATATCCAGGCACATTGCCTGCTCACGGCGCTACGTACATTACTATCCCCGGTCATAGGACACTATTGTACTTTCTGATACCTTTTCAACTCCCTGGGGACCATACAGCCATGCTGCCTGTTAGTGAACTGAGACAATGTGGATCTAAGTATCTTGTCCAAGGATACTACGCAAATGTGCCCACCTTGGGACCCGAACCTAGGTGCCTCCATCGGGGATCGAACCCGGGCCTTCAGCGTGATTTGCAGACGCCTTACCACTGCACTGTTGTGCTATAGCATATCTTATGGCCCTGAATGACTATCATTCAGTGACAGGGTCATTCATTATTTTTCTTAAAAAACTGATTTTCATTCTAAACATTGTAAGTATTTGATTTTTATTTTAATATGGCATTGACACACTCTTGAAATCTTGTATGTTTGGAATTACAGCCATACAAGAATGCTATGACAGCCCTGTCAACAGTCCATATCGCACTGACTTGGACGAGCTGGACAGTCCCTATGCTGATCTGTCCATGGACTGTGAGCCAATAAAGACATCTCATCACACAACCGTCACAGATGTAACGAAGCCTTCTTCACTCAAACACAAGGGGCAAAGCAGGGGAACCATTAAAGTGGCAGACGTCCGTGATGTAACAACCAAGATGGCTGCAGTAAAGCTGAGTGACACACCCAAGAGCCCTGGCACTGAGCCAACAGAGAAGGGGTCAGAGGATGTGAAGGACAGTGAGGTCAAGGACTCGGGGTCAGACACAAGCAGTTCTAATGCACCGACAGAGGGAGCTCGAACTGATGAGGGATTCTCAGAGTCATCCTCCATTCCTGGAGATTTGTCGCCGAAGAAGGCACCTGATGGTGATGACAAACCTGTTCCTCAGAGAGACCCCAAGCAAGGTTGGTTGTAGATCTATCCTTCTGCATGAGGAAATTGTATTTAGCAACAGCATGTTACGTTTGATTTGTTTGTTTGTTGTTTAACGCCACACTCAGCGATATCCCTGCTATATGGCGGCGGTCTGTAAATATTTGAGTTTGGACCAGACAATCCAGAGGTGAATGAGCATCAATCTATGTGGGATTACGATGACATGTGTCTACCAAGTCAGCAAGCCTGACCACTTGATTCCGTTAGTCGCCTCTTACGATGAGCATGGGTTGCTGAAGACCAATTCTAACCCGGATCTTTACGGGTTGCCACATTTGATGTCAGAATGGTGTATATTTGCATTTTAAACATTTTGATAAATCTACAGACATAGACAACTTAATCAAAATCATATAAAAAATAGCCTGCATGCATTTATTTGTGTTTTATGTCAGCCTTCTGAAGTAACTGGTTACTATGGTAACTAGACAGTAAAAACATCTTTCTGTAGGTACAATTGCATTATTTTAGTGCTTTCTTTGGGACATAATTATTGGATAGATTAGATAAAAATGACATCATTTCACTTCAAAACATTCAAGGAGCAGTGGGGTAGCCTAGTGGTTAAAGCGTTCGCTCATCACGCTGAAAACCCGGGTTCGATTCCCCACATGGGTTCTATATGTGAAGCCCATTTTCTGGTATCCCCCGCTGTGATATTGCTGGAATATTGCTAAAAGCGGTGTAAAACTAAACTCACTCACTCACTCACACTCAAAACATTCAACAAAGAACATGAACTTGAAGCATCAGTCAAAATGTATTACATCATATCCAAATGTTGGGTTCATACCCTCCCTTCAAGGTTTATATCACAGAATAAAGATGAGCTTCTGAACCTTGATTCCAACCAACAATCAACTTGCTGTTACAATTTGTTCAGTTCAAGGCAAGATAGAGTTGAGCAAGAAGAAAGACGAAGCTATCCGCATGGCACAACGTACAGCTGTTGCCCTTCGAGAATACGCAGAGACCGGGGACATCCGCTATTTGCTGCTGGTACAGCGCCATCTAGCATCCATACAAAATGAAAATGGAGATCTGTAAGCATTGTTTGTTTTTAAAAATCAAACAACAATTCAAATGTCTTTTCCAAGCAAGATGTCATTTACAATTGAAAAGTTGAATTCCCCTTCTTGATACTGGACATGAAGAGGAATACTATTTATACCATGTCAGTAGAAATTTCAAAGAACAGTCTTTGACATGAAAGTATTAATACATACATATTTTGAAACTCTTTCTTGTACCTGTACAGCCCGATTCACCTGGCAGTAATCAACAACCAAGTGATAGCATTGCAGTACCTGCTGGACGTCATGGGAACACTCCCAAAGTCCAGGTCAAGGGTCAATGCCTTCAACCTCCTCAGACAGGTCAGTTGCAACATCACCAACTATTTCCCTAAACACTTTTCATGGCAGTCAACTGTGTATTCAGTCTTTTTCTATCCACGTGTTTTGGTAACCATGGTGGTTCGAGCATATTTATGCATATTTCCTGAACCTTGAAACCAGTTCTTATAAATTTTGTGCCCAAAAGGTTATGCCTTACTAAAATCAAAGAAATGTTTTCTCAACAACTGTTGTTAATCCTGTTCTTTAACATGCTTTATAGTTAAATAAATTGTAACACTGATATAGCTGTTCTATATGGTTCTATGTATAGGTTAATCATTGTTTCCTAACTTCAGCGATTTTTTTCATGTTTTCGTCCTGTGTGCAATTCAGTAATGTCAATTAAAGATTTATAGCAATGATGAGAAAAAATTCATTAGCTACAGTAAATTCTTGCATTTGATTAATAAATCATTTTGCTAATTTGTTCACACCCCACAGACTGCCCTCCATCTTGCTGTCATCACAAAACAAAAGAACGTCATCGAGATTCTTCTCCACGCTGGTGGAGACCCCAGCCTCTGTGATCGCCATGGTAACACACCAGCACACCTGGCAGTGTTGAGTGAGAGTATGGACTGTCTGCATTCTCTTGTCAGATATATACAGCCCACAGCAAATGTGAACAAACCGTTCCCAGAGTTGGATTATCTCAATTATGAGGGTACGGATATTTATTTACCATAACATAGTGCTATTTATGTACAGCAGGGTTGCATCGAGAGTGTAGATAAAATGGCTGCAAACTCAATAAAAGCAAATTTTCAGCAGCTTCTTGAACAAAGGCTTCAAAATCAGTTCATTTTACCCTTTACTGCAAATGAAGTTCTATATGGCTAGTTTTCCCTCAAAGTAAGTGAGGTGAGGTGAAATTGGGTTTTACGTCGTGCTTGAGAATATTTCGCTCATATGACGACGTGCATGCGTATGTATGTGTATGTGCGGCTGCTTGTACTAGCCCAGACTGAAGCTGGTTTTATAGTGCTAGCCCACTGAGATACCATGCCGCAGTGAAGCATGAACCCCACTCAGACACATTATACTGACTCCGAGCCGACCAGTCCTTGTTGTACCCATTAATGCTGAGCGCCAGGCAGGGACCAACAAGTACCATATTTTAACGTCTTTTGGTATGACGCGGTCGGGGATCGAACCTACGACCTTCCGCTGTCCGGGCGGACGCTCTAACCACTACACCACGGAGGCGGTTTCAAAATAAGTGCGAGGTCAAGTTACATTACCAAATCTGTTAAGTCAAAGGAAAGGAAGTTTGTATCAGGCCTTCATCTACAATTGCTAGGTTACTGTAATTTTATGCAGTTTCCTGTATTTAAATGCTGTGATATTCCGTGATGTTTACAAAATGTTGACATTCTATCCTATATTTTCAAAAAAGTAAGCAGGTTTACACTGTGGCAATCTCTCCATTCTTGTCAAATTGGTATGCAGTTTTACAGTGTGACATTCTATCCTTACTCATCTACAGGGTATGCCCCCGCCCACCTGGCAGCTCGCCGCGGCAACGTTGCAGTGTTGAAGACGCTGGTGTATGGTCAGGCGGACATGAATCTCCAGGACGGCAAAAGTGGTCGTACTCCACTCCACCATGCTGTTGAAGTTGATGACTTGCCAACAGCAGGGTATCTTCTTATGGAGGTCAGTTGATCAGACGATATTGAGTATGAATACACATTTGCATTAGTTCAATGAATACATTTTGCCCGGCCTGGAGTAGAGGACAAGCACTCTGTATGTTCTACATGAGTACCATGTATATATTCATCTTGCTGGACAACGGTTGTGATAATAATTATCATAGGCGGATCCAGAGGGGGGATGTGCAACCCCCAAAACGAACTGTGCATCCCCCTTTCTGAACTGTGCACCCCCTCCTTTCCTCAAAAGCTGTATCCGCCCCTGATTGTTCAGGGCAAGTTTGCCATTAACAGTAGCAGTGACTGCGATAATTATAGCAATGATATTTAATACTGTAAAACGAGAAAATTTTGCGAGCAGGATATTTTTACGAACTTTGTGCTTTTCCTGACCTCGCAAAAGTTTTAAGACGCAGAAACGGCAACAAATTTTTGTGGGTTTTTTAAAACTTTATTCCATATTATACCATAATATAACATATTTAAAAACAATGCAGCATACTTAAAACATATTGTCTCTAGGCACTATCCTTTATTAGAACATTATCAACACTGTCTTCTCAACAATTCACTCAGTCACTTGCCTGCAGACATTTTGTCGAGGAGCCCAGATGCTCGCCAACCACGCACAACAGTCTCTTTGTTTTTCTTCACTTGGTCATAGCTGGACACTACCCATCGAGCATGGATCGGCTTCATTACACTAATCCTTAAATCAACATGTTTGTAGGTCTTGTCCTTCAAGTTCTTTGTCACGCTGTCAGCATACCACTGCGTGAACTGAGCTTTCATGGCTGTCTTGAACTCGGCATTCACTGACAAGTCCATTGGTTGTAGCTCGCTGGTGCAGCCAGCCGGAACAAACTTGACCAGGAAGTTACGTTGTTTTAACAAGTTGAGGAATGACTCGCATTGGTGCCCAGCGAAAACATCAAAGATGACAAGTGATTTCTGGCGTAGTGGCAGTTTGAGTTCTATTTTGATTCCCTTTGTGTAAGGGACAAGCACATGATCAACGTAATCCAACATGCTGATTTCATTAATCCAGTGATTGGGAGTGTGGGTCACGTGCCATTCTGATGGAAATTTGTAGTGGGCGTGGCATTTGTTGGTCTGGCCTTGAAAAATTATTTGTAGAGGTTACATGTCTCCGCTGGCTGTACTGCCAAGCAACAATGTTATTTTTGCGTAGATGGGTGCCTCTCGAAAAAATAACACGCGTCAGATCGGATGAGGGTATCAAGGTTGCAAAATTTTTAAGGCGGAAAATTTCTCGTTTTACAGTAGCTAGCAACGGGCGACTGTGGCGACGACAGTATCAAACAGTGGCAGCAACACTGACAGGCAACAACATTGACACGGTAACAGCAGCAGTGACTATGGCATTGATGTCAGTAAGACTGTGAACAACAGTAACAGCAACACATTGACAGAGGCATGGACAACAACACAACAGCAACATTGACAGTGACATGGACAACAACACTATTAAACACGCGACAGTAAGGCATGGACAGCTATTAAAGTGACTATGGCATTGTAACAGTGACTATGTCAGCCAAACACTATTGACACTGACAGTAGCAACATTGACAGACAGAGGCATGGACAACAACACTATTAAACACTGACAACAACATTGACGGTAACGGTGACAGAGGCATGGACAACAACAACACTATTAAACACTGACAGCCAGCAACATTGACAGCAACAGTGACAGAGGCATGGACAACAACACTATTAAACACTGACAGCCAGCAACATTGACAGTAACAGCAAACTGTAACATGTAACTGTAACTGTAACATTTCAGATCTTTCTGTACGTGAGTGAGTGAGTTTTAGTTTTTACGCCGCTTTTCGCAATATTCCAGCAATATCACGGCGGGGGACACCAGAAATTAGCTTCACTCATTGTGCCCATGTGGGGAATCGAACCCGGACCTTCATCGTGACAAGCGAACGCTTTAACCACTATGCTACCCCACTGCCCCTTCTTTCTGTATGTACTTCATGATAAATTGGTGTAACAAATTCGACAAAATGTTCAAAGTGTCTGTAATTCCAGACTGATGCTGACGTGAATGCCCACTGCTTTGACGGGAACACTGCACTACACATTGCATGTGGGCGTGGGCTGGTGGGAATGGTGGCGCTGCTGATGACAGCTGGTGCTGATCCCAACATCGAGAACGAGGAGATCCCCCCCTTGGTAGAGGAGGGGGATGATGCAGAGGACAACAGTCTAGACTCCTGGGGAGAGAGGCTCGGCATGAGGCCAGCAGACTATGCTCAGGAGAATGAGAGGGTAGGTGTAGCACAAAGGTGAATACTGGCTAGGATATATAGCACAAAGGTGAATACTGGCTAGGGTATATAGCACAGGTGAATACGGGGTAGGGTGTATGGCACATGTAGAATGTTGGTGAATACAGGATAGGGTATATAACTCATGTAGAATGTTGGTGAATACAGGGTAGGGTATATAACTCATGTAGAATGTTGGTGAATACAGGGTAGGGTATATAACTCATGTAGAATGTTGGTGAATACAGGGTAGGGTATATAGCACATGTTGCACATAGGTGAATACAAGAAAGGGTGTCATGTGTGAATCCAGGGTAGAGTATAAAATTTACATGGGGGGAATACAGAGCAGGGTCTAGTATGCATATAGGTGCATACAGGGTATATTCTAATATACACCTTGGTTGATACAAAGCGTGACAGAACATTCACAGGAGTGAATACAGAAGATGTTAAAGCAACCACAGGTAAACACATAATAACGGTAATGCTATTTTTGAGGGTATTATCATTTGCAGAAGCCTGCGGTCTTCCATTAACTGCCCGACGAAGGAGGGCAGTTGAAAAAGACCGAGGGCTTCTGCAAATGATAATTCCCTCAAATATAGCTGACCGTTATTATTGCTAAAATACATGGAATTTGTGTTGAAAAGAAAAAGGAAACAATGAAGGAATTTGACTGTAAGTTTACCCAAATCAACTTCTGACGGGGTTGACTGTCCAAATGCAATTACGTCATCGAACAATTCAAGTGACGTCACAACAGAAAGTGACGAAATTCGACCTTGGCCTTTGACAAGACCATAGCCTGCAACATGTCAAACTATGTCAGTGTTCGGTTTTGGTCCATCAACAGCCTTAATAGTGCAATTGTTAAGGTTAGCACCAACAAGAAAGCCAATATTACCGCTATTTAAAGCAGGAATTCGGGTTGCTTTGACTTGTTTGGCCCAGAATATCTGCCCGTCGAAAGCCAATTAATGTCGAATGAACCGTAAGCCCACGCACCCATTATGACGTCAGTTGACAACAGAACTGATAGTGGCCCGTCATTAAGGTTGAGCGGTCCAATATCATTTGCAGCGGCCCGCAAATTTCTGATAATGGGAGGGCCGTTTCATGATAATTCCATGTATTTTAGCTATAAAGTAGGTTATAGCATACTTGTTAGATTAAAAATTTAAATCTCAGATTTTTATTCAACTTAGGATAAAAGTTGTTTAACAAACGAGCATAGTTTCAAATCGGTATTATTGGTTTGTATTACAAGGGGGTATGCAGATTAAATGAAACACTGAGAACAAGGAGGGTTGGTCTAAGTTAACGCTCATCACGTACCGCACATGCATTTGTTTCACTGTTCTAACTACTGCGCTTACCCCCTTGTAATACAAACCAATATAAGTGATTTGAAACAATGATCGTTTGTTAAACAACTTTTTTCCTAAGTTGAATAAAAATCTAAGATTTAATTTTTAAATTGGCAAGGTAGAATTATGAGGATTCATAATCTTAATTTCACTGTATTCGATTTACATTTTTGTTTAAAGTGAAATTCACCAGTAAGTTTTCACTGCAAACAGGCTATAAACCAACAGATTTTATAAAATTCAAAAGTGCTCTCTGTATTCATGCAACCCAGATCCTGAGCATCCTTCAAGGTGAAATATACACTCCACAAGAACCCACAGATGATTTGGATAACCAGGACCTCCAGGAGGACTCGGTGCCCTCAGACAACCGGGAGACAACCACGGAGATAACGTCCATCTACTCATGCCGTAATGAGAGTGGAGTCGACAGCATGAACTTCAAACTGTTTCAGCAAGGTAAACCACACCCACATCACAGAGACAGAGCATCTTGACTGGAACTGATGCTGAAATAATTAATAACATATCCACACTCAGTATCAACAGGGCCCACTTACAATCCGATACTTTAACATAGATTAACGTAGTCGAAGCGCTAAGATTTCTTTGTACAACAGGGCCCATATATTTTAACATAGATTGACGTAGTCGAAGTGATAAGATTTTTTTGTGCAACAGGGCCGAAATACTTTAACATAGATTAACGTAGTCAGAGCGCTAAGATTTCTTTGTACAACAGGGCCCATATACTTTAACATAGACTAACGTAGTCATTGCGCTAAATTTATTTGTGCAACAGGCCCTAGTTATTATTTCAGTTTTAGGTCAATATGTATGTACACTTACAATATCACACTTCAGCACAGAGTTATGTCCCTTAGTGATGCCAGGATGTACTGATTGTGGGTTTCAACCCAAAATTTGCCACTAGCAAGACCCTTTTTCATTTTGATTTTTTCACCACCCAAATTCTGTGGATGTGTCCCTCTGGACTCATTAAGCTGATACATGGCCGTATGACTGAAATACCTTCAATGTGGCATTAAACGTCATTCACTCGTTTATATGTAGAGTAGTTTCATTCGCATTTTGTGCTGAACAAGTCAACATTTTATTTGACCTAGGTGACCTTGAGAAGCTGGATTTCCTGACACGAATCGAGTTGGCGAAGTTGCTTGACCCAATGCAGCCTGGACGTGATGTTTTCTCTCTGGCCGAAAGGCTGGACTATTTTAATCTCCATCACGCCCTAGAGGCCATGAAAGAACAGTCCAGTCCTACTCGCTTCCTGCTCGACTACTACGAGGTAGGACAGGCCGTTACTGTTGATGTCCCCAAAGATTAAAGATTCTTTAACTGTCAGATGCTTCATGAACTTGTGATTATCTTCTGATAACATTCTTCATGCACTTACCGCCTGAGATATATCTGATATGTATGATCAAACCACCTTGTGGTGATTCTGGGGGGAGAACTGGTGCACTGTGATTACACCATGCTTGGCATAAAACATGCCATGAGGTTACAGATATTGACCCGTCCTTGACTATCAACTGTAATATATGCCCTTGCCCTGGCCCTTGCCCTGACCCTGGCCCTGGCCCTTGCCCTGACCCTGGCCCTGCCCTGCCCTAATATGGCAAATAGCTGCTTGGCATCAATATTCAGAAAATGTAGATATAATAATGAAAATGAAATGGGAAAAAATAAGTGCTTGAAATGGCTGCAGTCATACCGTGAGGGTACAGACAGTGTCACTCTCAAGGAAGGAACTTGACTATGGAAGGGAGGTAACTTTCATTTTTTAGTTATCTCCCTTACCTAGGCTACTGAGGAAGAATATTGCTACATGTGATATTTCATAGTAAGCGGTTCTGGTGTAGTTTAATATCAGTGATATCAGACATCATACCAAAAGAACATATGGACATTAGGCTAAATTGATTGTTCTATTCAGGCATCTGATGGGACAGTGACGAAGTTGCGCAGCTCACTGCAAGTGATGGATCGACAGGATGCTGTCATGATCATCGACACAGCCCTGGCACCAGACAAGCCTGGTAGGTACACAGGAATAAACCCTCAACTGTAAATTAGGATGTAAAGTTTCCATATTTTGAAGTAGTCTTCTGTATATTAGATACCTCTATTTTTATTTGGGAGCCAAGTACTTTGACATGGGAATTTTTTGTGACTGGGAGGACGTATGTCACTAAATTAATCAGGCAGCAGAATGGATGGTAGCTCATACTGTCAGCCAGTGGTTTTCCAGGTCTTAACTTAAAAACTCACAAATAGAAATTGAAATTGATAAAGTAGGATTATTGCTAGCTGATATATATACCAACTTTCACTCACATCATAGATTACAAAGGCCTCTACTAGTAGGGCTGTATGGGTGGCAAGGGGACGGAGTTGGATAGTGTGAGGAGTAGGAGAATGACGATTGGATAGTAGGTGAACATAATATGAACATGAAAACAAATATATCTGTTTTTAAAAAATGTGAGTCGACAAAAATAAATCAAAGAGTGAAATAGTGTCAGACGTTTTTATGATAAATTTCCATTCAGTTTTGATTATGGCAGTTTAAACAATTGATCGATATTAATAGTAATGATAAATGAGTTGGGGGTGGATAAATAACATATTTACTAATCAGCAGTTTGAAAAATAAAACCAACGGTATTATTTTTTCAGATTTTAATGTTCTTGAGTCAGCAGTCATAAACCAAGTTTAAAAACTGTCTGTATATGCTGTTCAGGAACTGTAGAAGAAAGTAATCCTTAATTTTTATTTCAGCTGACAAAACCGCCACAGATACCCGTGTTGACTCGGGGATGGAGAGTATGGGGAGAAAGGCCCTCCCGTCACGCTGCAACCTCACATCATCATAGAGAAACATCCCTCCCTCCCTATCACTCCAATCTATATCGTCCATTAAGTCTACTCTAGTGAGGATCAAACTGTTTCCTCCACACAGTGGGACAGGTAGACAGGAGAGGCAGTTCAAGCCTACCCTGCATAGATCTGTTCATTGATATTCTCATACATGAGGATAGCGAAACTTTTATTTTACTTAGAATACTTAAAGGCATTCATTTAGAGAGAAAACATTTTTTATCACATTTTATTTGTTTTATATAAACTGAATAGGCAAGTGAGACAAGCGAAGTACCCCTGACAGAGACCAGCTGTCCAGCTGATGGTGGCGAGTCTACTAGGAACACCTCAGCAAAACACCTGTCATCATTGTTGTCACTGATGTCATCATTGTGAATGTTCTCTCATTGTTTTATTTTAATTTCTGAAGTCATGTTGGTAGTGTTTTGTGGTGATAGTTTCCATGTCCATTCGTCTCTCTTTGTCCCCATGTAGCCAATGATTCCATGTATATTCCATGTATAAACTGAGTAACACTACTCTCCACACAACCATAACATTGTTTGAACACTCTGCACCCTCCAAGATGGTTGAACACTAGTAACCCTCACCAAATTCACATTGTAATAATAACAATAATGATAATAAGTATAATAATGATCATGATGATCATTGCCACTTAACAGCTCTTCACTTTAGATTATAATGGGGCAGGACTCCACACCATTCAACAAATATAACCCCACTTAACAGGCTAGTGCACATATGTTTTACATTCTGAACTCCCTGGGGAGTATCCAGTAATCCTCAGATAAAGACCCAACTAGCGATTCCTGATTAGATCTGATCCAGCAACTTGTGCTGTCTGTAAGAGGTAACTGGGCAGTGGGGTAGATTAGTAGTTAAAGCATTCGCTTATCATGCCAAAAATCAGGTTTGATTCCCCACATGGGTACAACATGTGAAGTCCATTTCTGGTGTCTGGTGTCCACCGTCATATAATTTGAATATTGTTAAGTGGACCCAAAGCATGAGTGGAAACACTGAAAAAGACATGTGAGCATGACAAAATATTAATATGAGAGACTAAACATCTAGCTGCTTCAGGAATTGTTCAGGAAAATTATTGTACCTTTAGGGATATCAGTAAACATGCCATAGCCTCTCTTCAACAGCCATGATACAAGAAAATGTACAGCCATGCTTCTATTTGGGTACAATCAGCTTTCCCCCTTTGTGAGGGACAAGATGAAAATGTTTTATGTGTTCGAGCTTAAATGTTCACCATTCTCAATCTGGTGCCCTTCCCAACATTGGAAATTCACGGTGTTCATATGGGAAATATGTATATATTGAATGCATAAAATGTACACTGTTTGAAAATTGTGCCAGTGATTAACCTCTCTTGTCATCCATAAAGAAACCTGGAACCTTAGCCTGTATGGCTTGGATCATGAGCACTAGTTATTTCAAAAACGGTTTTCCCAAATTAGGTCAGGATGAATTTTGGTTTGGGAGGGAGGGGTTATTTATTTTTGGCCAGAAACTTTGTTTGGAAAGAATAAAATAAATTTAAAAATCCAATTTCAAATATTTTGGTTCTGTTTCATTGAAATATATTTTTCAAGAATAATGGCAGGAGGTTTTAACATAAAGTTGAACCGGTTTGAATTATTATATATATTCATAACGCTGGAGCCAGTGGAGCCAGTTTGTCTGGCAGAGACTGTCTGTCTGGTAGAGACAGTTTTTGTGTTTCTTAATATTTTACATATTTCAGGCTGGAGGTAGTGTTGTTGTTGTTTTTCACTTTTCACATTTCAAATTTATTTGTACAAGTTATATTTTTCATAAATTCTTTTAAAGTAAGACTGGCCTTTTCTTTTATATTATGCCTGTTAATATGTCTGTCTACAGTATAACTGTTTTCCACAAACAGGTAACAGATGATTTTAGAAGGGGCATTATGGCAACTCATATACTATGCGTCATCTCTTATTGAGTAAAATGGTCAGAGCTATTGGTGAGCATTGGAAATCAAGAATTCATATGAAAAATATTTCTTTGGAAATACATTTAAGAGTTGACATATTTCCCTAGAAATGTATTTGGGGGTTGACATTGGAACACTTTCCATAGAATATATTTCTGTGGAAATATATTTGGGTTTGTCAATGGAACAGTTTCTGTGGAAATATATTTGAGATTTGATATTCGTTCAGTTTCTATAAAAGTATATGTGAAGTTTGACATTGGAACTGTTTTCGTGGAAATATATCTGAGGGTTTATAATTGAACTGTTTCCTTGGAAATTCAGAAATCTTCGGACAGCTGTACAAACTGGTTGTATATTTACCATAGTAAGAATTTGCTGACCTTGCTAATAAATTTGTGGTGTTTGTTCTGACTTAACACTGTCCATCTTACAACTTAAATGAGAGTGTTCTTTGATTTTGTACACCGATTCTTGTGATATTGTCTGTAAAATGTAAATATATAAGTCACAATTTCATCTGCCCATCCATGTGTTTAAATTGTATTTGTTTTAAAATCAATTTGATTCTTGCGCTTCTCACACATAGCTAAGAAGATATAATTGAACTTGATACATGAATTGCGGCAGACTGGCATAAAACAACATTCACCCAAAACATGGACAACATCCATTCTTAAAGGCACATTGACTGCAGTATTTTCATTTCAAATGATAAATTTGGTGATGAATATTTTTGCGGATTGTATCAAGATACAATTGTAAAAAGAGACATTTATGTGTAAAATTCTTTAGGCCAGACCAATTTTATTTCTTGTTTTATGGATTTTTGTCCTCAGAAAACCTAAAGGCAGGAGGGGAAAAACATTTAACTAAAATCACCAGTTAAAGTAATATTCCTTCTAAATATTAAAAGTATTTTGCTTCTGGCAATTTATGAAGTGTATATATGGCCAAAAACAATCCAAACAAATTTTTCTTGGAAGTTTAGATTTTGGCCAATAATAACATAAGGATTTTATTTTTTGAGCGGGGAAAATTAATTTTAATTTTTTTCTTATTCTTGAGAAAAGGAAGGCGGATCTGTAAAACAAGAAATAAAATTGGTCTGGCCTTAATAAAATCTATAGGGAACAAACTAGGAAGAGATTTCCAAACTTTTACCGAAATGTTGAACAATATTTAGAATGGTGGCAGACACGGAGTATTGGTTTAGAGTATTAGAGTTCCAGCTGTTATGTGTACAGATGAATTCACATTTTAGTTCACAATCAAGTTCCACACATCCATCAACGTGACTGATCATTGTCCATCGTTGTTGATCCATCCATCTGAACTTTAAACAAAATTCCCTAACTACTTTACCTACATGGGACATATTTATCTTGTACTTATTATAGTTTCCATAGTAAACAAATCAGTATGGTGAAGTGGTTGATAATTAAAGGCATGGAAACATACAGGGCCTCTGGGAAGAAACCAGTGCATCCTTCATTATCAAGTGTAGTTATCTCCCTTGTATTATCACAAACACATTTATTTATGAAGAAATTTCATCATTTCCTGTTATTTCACAGAATTTCTCTCACTCCTGACACTAATTTGATTGGAAGCTATGTGTAGTATTATGACTTCAAATCACACTTCAAGCAAAACAGGGGCGGTGGGGAAGCCTAGTGGTTAAAGCGTTGGCTCGTCACACCGAAGACCCGGGTTCGAATCCCCACAATGTGTGAAGCCCATTTCCGGTGAAGCCCATTTCTGGTGTCCCCCACCGTGATGTTGCTGGAATATTGCTAAAAGTGGCGTAAAACCAAACTCGGTCAGTCAGTCAGTCAAGCAAAACAAAGGAAGCAAATGGATCCAGATTATTTTTCAAATTAAAACACTGTGAAAAAATAATGAATCAATGTTGACATCAACACAACTGATATTGGAAACAACACAGAATTTGGTTCATATCTCCACCACTGTTTCGGGGTGACTCGAGCTTGGTAAATGAAGTTGTGTTGTATACTGGAGGTTTGTGCAGTTGCAGCTGATGCAGATGAAGCAGGATGATGCAATGACCTTGATGGTTAGAACTTGTGTAGATGTTGCTTGTACATGCTGTATTCCACTGTAAAGTGATGGCTTCTATGTATCCTACTATTATCCAATAAACTGATTTTATCTTTGAGTTTTTGTTTGCTGAGTGTTTTTAGTACAGGGAAGAAACAGGGATAAACTGATGTGAAATCCAACCTCATTAAAACAGAAAATTTACACATCCACTTCGCTGCAGAAAATTTGTAAGCTTGGTCAAGAATGAATTTTGATATTTTACAAGCTGCAACTAGTTAAATGCAATTATTTAATTAATTGAATAAACAGTTGAAAGCTGTTTGATTTTCTATCGATAGCACTTGTAATTTCAGTTGGGGAAGTCCACATCTGTGGAAGCTGTGGTGGCTGAGTGGGTTAGATGGCTTACTTTGTGTTTTGGCGATTAAGTGCCCGACTCTGTAGTGTGGGTCTGAATCCCAGATGGAACTCAACCTTACAAAAGTACTAGAATCTGAACTTTACTGAGAAAGTGTAATCCCAAATATGACTTATGGTACATTTGACCATTTTCTTTGTGGCATGACCGCCTCCGTGGTGTAGTGGTTAGAGCGTCCGCCCGGAGAGCGGAAGGTCGCAGGTTTGATCCCCGACCACGTCATACCAAAAGACGTTAAAATATGGTACTTGTTGGTCCCAGCCTGGCGCTCAGCATTAATGGGTACAACAAGGACTGGTCGGCTCGGAGTCAATATAATGTGTCTGAGTGGGGTATTCATGCTTCACTGCGGCATGGTATCTCAGTTGGCTAGCACTATAAAACCAGCTTCAGTCTGGGCTAGTACAAGCAGGTGCACATACACATACACACGCATGCACGTCGTCATATGAGCGAAATATTCTCAAGTACGACGTTAAACCCAATTTCACCTCACCTCATCTTTGTGGCATTGTGCATTCGTATCTCTGTTGTTGGTATTACAGAAGCTGTAACATCACCCTCACATCTGTTCATGTACAGAAAACACGACGGACATTGTTGTTTCATTGCAAGATTTTTTACTATGATATTCTAAAAATATCATACTCCTAAAAACAACACATTCAACATCTTTGGACATAAAAAATAAAATAAAAATGAAACGACGGAAGAACACAGGATTCACAAAGTTGTAAATAGAACGTGAGTGAGTATGGTGTTGTGCTATTTTTAGCAATATTCCAGCAGTATTGTGGCCATGAGTACCAGAAATACGCTTCACATGGTGTACTCCTGTGGGAATCAAACCCAGACCATAAGCATTACGAGTGAGTGCTTATACCACTTGGCCACCCAACACTATCTTACAACAGTTAGGCAGCCAAGGGTAAGGAGTCTTACACTCCCACTTCTCCATACAGAACAGAACAATGTATCTTAATAGTACATACCCTGTGTATACCTGTATATCCATTTGCAATATGTCTATAAAGAGTGTGAAACTTTTGTAAAGCTTCAAAAATATTGTCAATAAAATGCTAGTAAATATATGCATGTTATTGACCATGCAAGTCATAATAATTCATGAATATTGCTTACAAACCCTTGTATTTTAAATGACATATATATCAAAACAAATTAAATATGTCTTATTGCTAAACCAATACCATATATATTATTCATGTTTATCATATACAGTGGAAACCTGATAAGTAAAATTTCAAGGGACTCGCCAAAATTGTTAACTTATCAGGTATTTTACTTATCCAAACTTATAAAAACCTGCAAATGACATCTACTAGTATATGCATGTATATGTATGCATATGTAACAATGAACAACTTATCAGGGCTGGCCTCCAGTTGTCAGTGTATTGTCAACTGCTTGACGCCAGCGAACTGTAAGTAGGATGTTTGTTTGACTGGAGACTGACACGTGCCCCTCATGTCGGATCATGTGGTGATCGCTAATTTAGTTATCCATCTCTTTTGTTAAGTAATTTACTTCCAGGGACCGTGAGAGACGTTTAGTTAAGCGGTATTGTTTACTTATCCGAGTTTAGTTAACCAGACTCTAATAGTGATAATTAATGAAGAAATTTGCCGGGACCAAAGAAAAGTATTTACTTATCAGGTCTGTTTAGTTAAGCGGTCTTTACTTAGGCGGTTTCCACTGTATTCACCAAATCACACCATCATTATTTCATCAGAATGAACCAGTCAGGGTGGCAGATCAGTCACTATACACATAATGTTCAAGAATTCCCCCAGTAGATACGATCTCGGAGTAAGCAATCCTTGGCGCCGTGTAGCCTGCAGCAGCAAGCGTCAGTGCTATCGGCAGAAAGTGTTCTATACGAGGATGTGCTTTGGGAAATTCCTGCTTGCTGACACAGCCAATCAGCTTCCTCCGTTTGTCTTCTCGTGAATAATCCGGGTTTTTCAGGATGTCATGCAGCCACTTCTGGTATTCCAGAACCCACGGGGCTGGAGGCCCATCGTCTCCAATCATGTTCTTCCCATGGGTTGTGAAGCCACTGCCGATTATCAGGATACCCTCTTTCCGAAGGTCAGACAATGCCTCCCCAAGGTCAAGGTGCTTTTCCATACTGAGGCTGGACATGAGGGACAGCTGGAATACTGAAAACAAAAACAAGTACTACAATCTGTACTGACAACGTGTATTCTAACATATCACACATCTAATATTTAACCACTTTCTAAATGACATTATGTATTCCTCACTTTTGATAATTAATGGTTGGTTGGTAGGTTTGTTGTTTAACGCCGCACTCAGCAATATTCGAGCTACAGTCAAATCCCGATGAGTCGAATCGCTGGGGACCAAGTAATAAATTCGACTTATCCATGTATTCGAGACATAGGTATGTCTATGAGGGTAGAAAAAAGGATGATCCAGTCCTAATTCCTCCGCCTAAGCATTTGTTTATCTAATGATTTCCATATCACTAATAGGGGCACCTTATCAGTTCCAGTCTGATTAGCACAGACAGTGATTTCCGTAAAATCACTAATCTGCCTTTTGAACTCACCCGTCAATGGCGGAAAGGTGTGAGCCGAGCTAGTTTGTTAATTGTATCAGTTTGCTACACAAATCAACTTCTCCTTGACTGATTTCGACTTATGTATACAAGATTGCTGTTGTTTGAATCTCATGGGACCAACTTTCCTTTTCGAGTCATCGTGTGTATTTATGAGACGAATTCGTGTAACCGGTATTCAAATGATGACAACTATAACAGGGAATGGTCGGGACCGACAGCTAGTTCGAGTTATGCATAATATTCGAGACACCGGCATTCGACTCATTGGGATTTGACTGTATATGGCGGCGGTCTGTAAATAATCGGGTCTGGACCAGACAACCCAGTAATCAACAGCATGTGTACAATGTGTGAAGCCTATTTCTGGTGTTCCCCGCCGTGATGTTTCTGGAATTGTGGCGTAAAACCCAACTCACTCACTCAACCTTAAGTCACCATTACACCAAACTGACATACCTGGAATATCAGCTTTGGGGTACATCAAGAGAAGTGGGACGAAGACACCATGGTCAAAACCTCGCTCTTCATCAGCACCGCAAGTAAACCCCCTAGCCTCCAGCACCTGCCTGGTTCTCTCAGCTGATTCCGGAGCCCCAGGGGAGGGCCATTTCAGCTTGTATGTGTTGCTAGGAAACCCATAGTAGTCGAAGTACAGGGGTGGGGAGGGGTTGGTCATGACAGTGGGGTGGCGCTCCTCCCAGTGAGCACTGACAACCAGGATGGCCTTTGGATGGGGCAGCTTCTCCAGCTTGACCATGTTCCTGAGGTAGTCTGCAGCCTTGGAGTCCTTGTCTATTGCCTTAAAGGCAGGGAATTCAGCCTTAGACATGAAGAAGGAGGGGCCGCCGCCGTGGGAGAGGAACACTACTGGCTGTAGAGTCTCAGACATTCTGGAACATGAAGGGAACTTTGTTGACACACTGATGTTTAAAAATAATTGGTCAGTTAGCAGTCAGGTGAGGTGAGGTGAAATGGGGTTTCAAGAATATTTCGCTCATATGACGACATGCATGTGTGTGTATGTGCGGCTGCTTTACTAGCCCAGACTTAAGGTATAGTTTTAGGTTAGAGTAAAACTGATTTTAACAGTACGTAAAGAGTTGCCTCCCTTGGACAAGCCCATGACTAAGGCATTTGACTGTGATGTGAAGAGTTATCTTCCTTGGTGTAGAGGGCGTTAGATAACACTGCGCTTACCGCTAGCATGACGACCGCTGTCGCACACAAGTTTTTACCCTCCTCACCCTCCCAGAAGCTTTACTGGTTTGTGGAGTCACGCAATGTATGACACAATTCCTTGTCAAGCTGTCACTTTCAATTTGCAAACTGCATACTTAATTGTACTGTGTGGGAGATATAATATACATTATCACATTACAGTAACATTTTGTAAGTCACCGCATGCTGACACGTTTCATGATGTATCTTCCAGCATCTTGAATTTATTTTAATTGTGGCAAATGTTTTAATTGCTTGTTATTTGAAGTAGAAGTTAAGCTGGTTTTATAGTGCTAGCTCACTGAATTCACACCCCACTCAGACACATTATACTGACTCCGAGCCGACCAGTCCTTATTGTACCCATTAATGCCGAGCACCAGGCAGGGACCAACAAGTACCATATTTTAACAGGGATCAAACCATTGACCTTCCTCTCTAACCACTACAACACGGAGGAGGCTATTTAGAAGTCAGTACAAAAGAGCTGAAGGCCCGTTCTGGAAGTTTGTTATTGTAGAATATTACTTACATGGTCCTGTAATCTGAATCTTTTCTAAACCACATTCTGTAAGCTAAATAGGGTTACCCAATATAGGTAACAATTAATTGATAATTTTCCTTACAAATACATTTCCTGAACACAATTTTTCATTTATCTATCATTTTGTTCATTTTAACTGCCTCAGACTTGTCCAGAAAAATGTACCTGTGCTTGTAGACAACACAAATATTTGTACTGACCAAGGAGAAGTCCCTCTTAAAATGGTTCCCAATACAACATCTATCACCAAAGATCACATAAACCCTCTTCAGGATTATATCCTACGGAAGCGCTGAAGGGACCTCATGAAATATAATTTATCTTGAGCGTACAAGTAAGTATATTGAGCGCACAAGTTAGTATCTTGAGCGCATAAGTTAGTATCTTGAGCGCACAAGTTAATATCTTGAGCGCACAAGTTAGTTATCTTGAGTGCACAGGTTAATATATTGAGCGCTCAAGTTAGTATCTTGAGCACACAAGTTAGTTATCTTGAGTGCACAAGTTAGTATCTTGAGCGCTGCGTTAGTATGTTAGCTCAACTTAGTATATATTGAGATACACTGCTTCATAAGCAGTTCATGTGGAAACAAGGAGGAGCGGAAGCTTGATCTGATTCATGCTTATTTCAGTCTTTGGGTTCCAATACAAACACATAACACATCTTCTTGTCAAAACTCAGGGTATAGTATAGTACGCCACTCTGAGGCGTATTCTGAGGTGTATGTCCCTCTCTCGTACCAGATACCAGATTTGCTGATGTTACAGTGAGTGAGTGAATACGGTTTACACGCTTTTAGCAATATTCCAGCAATATCGCGATGGGGGAAACGAAATGGGCTGCACACAATATTGTACCCAGGTTGGGGAATCGAACCCAGGCGTGACGAATGCGGGCCAGCTTTAACCACGAGGCTACCCCACCGCCGCTGATGTTACATATACTTTATTCGCGGACGACTTCCGACTGATCTGAACAAAGACATGGTTATCGTTGATGCATCAAAAATGTATTCAATGCGGTTTAATCGTGAAACAGGATACTGTCACGGTCGCGTTGTTGGACCCGAATGGTGTTGAATTTAAGCTCAGGGCACTGTCTTCATCGACGTCTTTATTCTTCAACTTCCTGTGTTGTTAAAACATGTTAAATAAACTACAACACACATACGTTATACATAAGGGATTGATACGGAAGAAGTGAAACGGGAACACGGTATTTTAGTAAGAAATAAAGTCGGTATATATGCTATACGTGCACATACTAATGGATCAAATAAATCAGAAGTGGTTTTAAATGATATTGTACAGAGTTAAACTGCCATTGTACCCACGTTAGGAAACATTACTGATACATGCAAACCAAGACTACAGACTATAGTTCCCTGAAAGTGGTCGACTTTACTTCCAATACATCAGACATTAGTTTTATAATTAAAATTATATCACAACGCGTTTACATTTTTTCATGGTCATGTAATAATATATATACATAATAAAGCCGTGGCAAAAACAAGTTATCCAAGTGTTCATAATTCTATGTACCAATATAAGAAGTAAGTAAAACCACTATTCATCCCTGCAATAAACTCCTACTCATGTTTATGTTTTAATTCTTATTATGACATGACACATACCTAGGCCTGCTTTATGTAATAAAGCAAAAGTGGTAAAATCAGATACAAAGAATAGTATTGACAAGCATAAAGACTATGAGCGTTTACATGATAAACATTATCAATGTTCATGATACATTTGCATACTTTTACATAGTCTCATCATAAACACCTATAGTTAACTCCGACTTTGCATCGTTTGAAATCTTCCAAAAGGATATAAGTTTGTACATTTTAGCCAGCAGTCAAGCAAATGTGCGTTCCATTAATGCCATTAGATGCTAAACATGGAGTTGAGCTCAAGATATTAACTTGTGCGCACAAGATATTAACATATCAAGATATTAACAATGCGCTCAAGACACAAGTTTTACCCTCCTCACCCTAGCTTTAACTTGTGGAGCTCAAGATATTAACAATTCCTTGTCAAGATGTCAACTTCAATTGCAAACTCAAGATACTAACTTGTACTGTGCTCAAGATATAAATACATTATCACATTATTAACTGTAACATTTTTGTCAAGATACTATGCTGACACAGATTTTAAATGATGTATGGCTCAGCATCTTGAATTTATTTTAATTTGTCAAGATTTTAACTTGTTGCTGAAAGAATAAGCTGGTTTTAATAGCTCACTGAATTCACACCCCACTCAGATATTAACTTGAGCCGCTCAAGTCCTTATTGTACCCATTAATGCTTAGCACCAGGCTCAAGACCAACAAGTACCATATTTTAACAGGGATCAAACCATGACCTTAACTCTGGCTACAAATGGAGGAGGCTATTTAGAAGTCAGTACAAAAAAGAGCTTAACTCTGGAAGTTTGTTATTGTAGAATATTACAAGTCCTGTAATCTGAATCTTTTTCTAAACCAGATTCTGTAAAGCTAAATAGAAGGTTACCCAATATAGGTAACAATTCAATTGATAATTGTTTGGCTACAAGAACACTAATTTTCATTTATCTATCAAGATTTTAACTGCGCTCAAGATATTAACCAGAAAATGTAAGATGCTTGTAGACAGCACAAGATTTTGTAACGACCAAGGGAAGTCCCTCTTAAAATGGTTCAAGATATTACAGCATATATTTATAGGTCACATAAACCCTCTTCCGATTATATCCTTATTGTTTAGTTTACAGATTTATGGAGATGTGTATATTGATTATGATTTTCAGAAATACTTTTTAACTTGATACTGATATAAAAAAAATAAATCATTATTTCAATTGGTTGCTAGGAGGATGGCTATTGGAAGGGAGGTAACTCTCAACATATAAAAAAATTCCATTCAACAACCCCTTCTGTCAGAATGTACCCAACTCCGTGTCTAACACACTCAACTATATTTCGGCATTATCTACCCAACACCTTTTGTAACATCTTCACCAACCTCTTTACGAGTATCCCCACGTTCTGACAATCAGTCTACACTACCATCGAACTGTTTCTACCATACACCCTGTCAAGAAACGGCCACCTTTCTTTCAGTGTGTTCTCCACCCTACCTACCATCCAACGCCACTGACAGTCGCCATTCAACGTATCCCTTTACACCGGACATCACCCGTTGTTAGTATATACCCTCTCTAACAAACGACACCACCCTCCGTATCTTAGACATGTAAGATCATCAATGTTATGGTACAAAAACAACACCTTACCTGTCAGCAATACCGTCGATCAGTGAGACAGTGCTTGTTCAACGGTTGTATTTCATGCAGGGATATCCGTATAATATTCACTTGGTGGTACGTGGCATATTGCAGAATAAATACTTTATTTCTAGAACAAATAGGATTTCTAGGAACCCGGGATCGGAAAACGCAAAGTCATTCTGCATACGTAATTGTCGGTAGGAAGTCCAGTCACCTGACTGACATCGTAAATTACGTCACAGGGGGAGATTTGTGGGGCGCTTCCTTCTCTTACATTCAACAGTTTAATCGTGGACTTCGTGTGCTGGGGTTGGGTACTTCTGTCTGAGAGTATGGGTTCGAATCCCGGATGGGACTCAATTCCGATCGTACTTCAATTTGCATTTTTGGTAATCCAAAATATATATTTTTACTTTTTTAACTATTTTGACCACATTGTAAACGACATTGTGTTTCAAAACCCATTCAGCACGAAGATATTCGTCATGGGTTTTTTTACGGGCAGAAGTCAAGTAAATTATTTCTTTTTATAAAATTTATGATCTTAAAACCGAATGTTTTAAATATAGCTCAGTCGAAGCAGAGCAACATATCAAAGCAAATATTACACTGATAGAGTCTATCTACGTACAGTTTACCCATACAAAACACTTTGTTAGGGTAAAAAAGCGCTATAGACACATTTAGCGAGTGTGTGTGTGTGTGTGTGTGTGTGTGTGTGTGTGTGTGTGTGTGTGTGTGTGTGTGTGTGTGTGTGTTGTGTTGTGTTGTGTTGTGTTGTGTGTTGTGTTGTGTGTGTGGTTGTGTGTAGTTGTATCGAGACTTGTGTTGACTAATCCATTTTGAAGAAAACAATATTCAACATCGCGTGAAACATCAATGCGGTTACTGACGGGCATTCTGGAGTATCCTACCTATTCTACCCTAGTACAAATTTCTGCTTAAATGCATCATACATCTAATATAGTATGCATTATATAGTATATGGTTTCATCAGCAAAGTCAGAATCTTAATTCAGATTTACAAAGTCTTTAAAGAAACGGTGATGTTTTCTCCCTTTTTTATCATCAAAAGAGTCTCACATACTCCCACGAAGAGCTCTACGTGGAAACAAAACGCTATGAAATACTATACTATACAGTCTATTTGACACTTTTTGTAGACATACATATCTTTGACGCTGGGCCTTTATATCGTGAAATTTAACCTTGTTGAACCACTTGAGAGAAAAGGTTTTAAAAACTGTGCATGCGAAAGGTTATACAAATCTATGTTACTCCGACTTACTTATAAGGACGTAGATTGTGGATAATATATATAAGACAACTCCGGTGGAAATAATAACTCTGATTAAAATCTAAACGTTTTAGCTTTCAAAACATTATTGATATTTCCATATCAGGGCTATACTAACATTTATTCTCTGACATAAACAAGTTTTACAACAAAACAAAGTTTAAATTAGTTTAATGAACTATAATGAAAAGGAGCCCTGACACTTTCTCCTGAAACTGCAGTAATATGGACTTACATATAATAACTCGATTGAGTTGTATTAGATTTAATTGCAACTAAGTTTAGGCATTGTGACATTCTTGTTGGTTTGGTTGGTTTGTTGTTTAACGCCACATTCAGCAATATTCTGTAAATATTCGAGTCTGGACCGGACAATCCAGTGATCAACAGCATGAGCATCGATCTACGCAAACGGGATACGATGACATGTGTCAACCAAGTCAGCGAGTTTGGCCACCCGATCCCGTTAGTCGCCTTTTACGACAAGCGTGAGTTTCTGAAGATCAATTCTAGCCCGGATCTTCACGGGTCTTGCTGGAAACATACATGACCAAATGATTGAGCCAGGGAGACTTGGGGCGGTGGAGAAGTGTTGCACGCCCACTGAATACCCTACAGTGTCATAACAGCTTCGCAAATGGAAAATCCCATGTTGGAGTACATAAACCGTGTTGGATCCGTTTCCAGAATAATCGTGAAATGCGTAGCCGAGATAGGCGGATTTGTGAGACTTCATCATTAGCTGGATGGGCTCGTAAAATATCTAAAACTTCACTAGTGTCTTTCTTCGCGTGGGTAATGGGTGGCCCAAACGGGGAGTTGTGTCCCGTAACGTGTCAGGATCCAGTTGTCGTTGATTGTAACACTAAATTCGCCCTAATTAATAATTAGGATTTCCGATTTGTCAGACTGAACTCTTGGGCATCGCTTTCCCCACTCACGTACTCGTTGCCACGTTTTAGTTTAGCTTCCTTGAATTTTCATGGTTGGTTAATTAACATTTTCTTTGTGTGAAGATTTGAGTAATTTGATGTAGAGAAATGCCTATAGAATTGGCCCAAAATTAAATGAACCTTTTTGCACTATGTGGCATTATATTTACATTTATTCCCGCCTATGTATTTCAACAATGTTATTCATTTTGCCTGGTTTATAGTACAGTTTAGTGAGGTGGTATTGGGACGGCAAAATATCAAAGAGCTCAAAACAGATTTCTTTATTTCCATGACCGTGTTCTCATAACCAAAACCATTCAAAAAAAGCTTTTAAAAGTTCAAATTCATGTTAACGAACTATTTTCTTTAGACGACACACTTCTTCAAATAAAAACACACACATTTACCTGTGACTAAACCAAATTTCTCTCCCACCTTTAAGGTATTCTTACAAAACAGTCGCGAGACAGGAAGTGCATGTACTGATTGATCTAATTTGTTGATGCAGCGCGTGGTGTCCTTCCCTTTGAAGTAAACCGATGCTGAAACCTGATAGTGGAAAGAGATTATCGGATTTGAGGACCAGATCACCTACTCGAGATGTTTATTGAGTCTATGGATATACAATTAAGCTACTCCAACAACGAATTCTTTACACACAATTAAAGTAACGCGTTGGTTTGATTCGCGTTAAGTTTGACCTATAATGAGAAAATAGCTAGAACAATTTAAATGTGTTCCGGTGTATATAATCATAAACCTGAACAGCTCTTAAATCTTGAGTTCTCTCTTTTCTTTTTATCAACTTCATTTTTTCTCAAACTATGTTACATCCTAGTATGTTGGATATCTGATTATGTTCATGTATGTGTATATATCATCATGTAATGACCGCCGTTTATGCCGGAAGACTTTGGTTTCATGAAAAAAAATAATAATAAAATACCCAAAGAAACTTCATTTTTTAACCTTTTATATGTTTAAGACAAAATATTAGGGATATCAACTTCTTCTTTATTGTATACACGTTTCTGGGCTATTCCTTGCCCCCTTCGTCACCTTCGGAATAGCCCAGAAACGTTGTGTATATAATAAAGAAGAAGTTGACATCCATAATATTTTGTCTTATACTTTAATACCAACTTCTAAATGCCTCTCAAGAACCTTTTATATGTTCATCATTATTCACTTAATAAATATGTTTTTAAACAATAACAATAACCATTTATTATACTACATCTATATTAAATTCCAAATCTCTATTATTCTTTACCTATTTCATATTTTTTACCTTTCTAATTCGGCATCCCATTTAAAGTTCCCAATACTCAGGTTTTTGGGGTAGAAACATCACTCTTTCAAAAAAATTATTTTCTGTTCCCCCTAATAAGTGTAAACCCCGTCACCGAAATACTTTAGTTGTGCGTGAGACGTTGAATAAAACAAATAACTAACTAACTAACTAGCTTGTATTAATAATATAGAAATGTAAGGATAGCAATCCTGGTAGAAACCATCCTCATCTTCAATCTGCTCTCGGTATCTAATTACACAAGCTTGCAACCACCTGTTGATTGGTAAGCCCAGGGTCAGCAAGCAAATGGTTTTACTTAACAGTCATTTTGAGGTGTAAATAAATATGTTTTTATTAAGTTTATGCGATATAGATGCTGGTTCATCTACACACCCAAACCCATCTTAAGCACCATCCTTTCTTCGGGAGCAGGACAATTGCCACCGGACAATTATCACCGGGACAACTGCCACCTAGGATAATTGCTACTCGGAACAATTGCCACCCAGTTATTTTTACTATAATAATGAGGACAATTGCCACCCCGAATTTTATGTAATTTTATTTGAGAAAATGAATGCAGGTTGTCATTAAACACAACTTTATATGATGAAAAGTCAATGTTTTGGGGTATCCTGACTTTGATGAAATCTCAGCTTTCATGAAAACTCAATATGCACTGATTGGGAAAAATGTCAAACTTGAAAACTTGTGAAGTTATTGATATAAGTTACTAACATAATTGAGAGAATGTATTGAAAGCACTGAGAAAACTTAAGATTAAAGTGCTGAGAAGCTCAAGTGTTTAGAAAATCAATTTGTGAGCTTGGATGCTGAGAATCTGTATCCTACCTGCGCAGGAATGTATGACGTCAGCTAGAGTAGATGGATCACTTCCCGAAAATGTAATTGGGCATTTATTTGTGCAAGATTTGTCAAGTTGATTATATGGAAGAATATGTTGTTATTTGTTATGAATTACCATGTCAAACTCAATAAAGTTGGTAAAGAAACTGAATTATGTTTTTTTGTTTTGGGTGGCAATTGTCCTAGGTGGCAATTGTCCGGTGGCAATTGTCCTAGGGGGCAATTGTCCTAGGTGGCAATTGTCCGGGCGGCAATTGCCCGGGTGGCAATTGTCCTAGACCCCTTTCTTCGTACGCACATATCCTGTATCTTTTCAATATTTCTTCAAGAAATATAAAAATCAATATCAATTTAAAGATTTAAGTCCAATACACCTTCAACGTCTACTGATCGGTTGTTGCAAGACAGCTGAATATATGGTTTAAACAATATTTATTTCCTTTGATGACATATGTATACATTTACACATAACCGGGTTTTAGGGCAAACTATGATGGTTAAAGCCTGCTGTTACACAAAGATGGAGCTTATCAAGAACAAGCCAACAAACGAGTGAAATGTGTGAAATATTTCAAAATATAAAAAAGCATATACGAATATGAACCATACACCATGTCTGGACAAACTGTCACTCAGAAGCTGAGCTGTACTTATATTCACATTTACATATTAGTGATTTAAACATATTTTATTCATAAAAATATACGTCATGAATGGATTGGCCAACAAGCCGCTCGCATATGCAAATACATGGAAAAGTAAATACAGAAACAAATGAAACAGTGATGATACAATTCTTATTTATCACCAATCCAAGGAAAGGATAAAGCGTGAATATCGATTATCCACCACATGATTTTGACACGTGTCCATATGTTTAGACAAGCGTAGGACACGCATATCGAAACACTTTTCTACAACAGATTCATTTCATGTCACTGTGAAAATGTCCTTTACTACCATTATTAGAAACAACATGTATCATTATACAGATGGATATGATTTAATAACATCTTTATGTGGTATTGCTGAAAACTCAATACGCGAACATATACCAATAATTCCGTGTGTACATAAATTTCATCTTGGAATCTTCCAGATTTACCAATAATTCCGTGTGTACATAAATTTCACTCTGCAATCTTTCATCTTTACCTTATTCCTGTCATAAATTTCATCTCTCCTTTCTTTCCCATAAAAACCCCAAACATTCCGTGTGTACATCAATTAAATCTTGGAATCTTCCAGATTTAATTAACAATATTGTCTTATACTTAAATTATCTACCTGTAATCTGAAGATAGTGTAAACATATTTTATTCAAAATATATTTAAAAAACAATTAGGATTGGTAAACAAGCCGTAATGGCTTATTTAAACACCTCTCCATTTCATTGATACATGAATAAAACAATTATTAAATAATATGAAGCATGATAGGAAAGCAAGCAACCTGCGTATTGAACATCATTAATCATTTATCAAACCTATGTGAATTTATAATCTGAAGATGATATTACTGCTTAACTGCTCCTAGTGAATTAGTATCTAACGTTAGCAATTATTTCAATCTATAATTGCCTGTGTTTGATGCGACATGCAATACATATTCATGTCTTTCTATTGGAACGCCCGTTACGCCCGCCATATAGCTGGAATGTTGCTGAGTGCGGCGTAAAACTGAAACTCACTCTATTGGAACGCATTTATGCATAATGCAATAAATGTGTTTAAAACAACAAGTTCTTTAGGTGGCATTTAGAAGTTGGTCTGTATATCCATAGAACTACCCTCCTCCTTCAAGAAGGTTAGAAACGGGATTATGTAAAAGAATGTCATTGTATGTAGATATATGACAATACGGAATGAATATCTAACATTACACAATGATGAGTTTACATATGGTATACATAAGGTGTCTGGTGGAGATTTACGAAATATTACTGTGTAAGAAATATGAACCATTGTTGGTATCATATGATGTCTAAATGACAACAAATATCAAAACACATTGTATGACTGAATTTAATATATTTGATAAAAACTTTGATACACGTTTTTGCCAAATTATCCACTCACGCCTCAGACTTTGTGCAGTGATTTGAATGCTCACACGTTTGAACGGCACATTTCAGTATACCCATCCTGGTCCCACTTTACAATTACTTCTTGTCCTTATTATTCCAACATCAGATATCATATGAATTTTCATGAACATAGATATTATTTATAATTGAAACTAGGCGCTTTAACTGAGCAAGTCATACACTAAAACCTATAATTCTCAAAGCTATACTACTATGGATCCCGACTGCAGATGCCATAAATGTATACAACCATCATGATTTTAATTTTCCGACTACATGTCATACCATCTACTTTCATTTTAGATATCATCTTTTCTTGTCATGATACTGTTTCATATATCTATGTATATTGGAGCGGTCTCCATATAAGTTCTTTTGAGCTTGTTGACCAATCCAGTTCATGAAAAACGGAATATGACTTTTCATGAAATAAATATGTTTAAACCATATTATTTGAACTCTGTCCTAAGGAAATCCCAACAAAAGTAAACTCATAAATTCTTTGATACTAAAATGCGTCCATACTTTTATCATAAATTCGCATAGGTTTGATAAATGATTAATGAAGTTCCACACGCAGGTTGCTTGCTCTCCTATAATGATGTATATTATTTAATATTTGTTATTCATGTATAAACGTAATAGAGAGATATTTAAATAAGCCATTACGGCTTGTTTACCAATCCACGTTCAATCTATTTTGGAATAAAATATGTTTACACTATTGTATGCCATGTTGTGAAGGTCCGCCATTGTCCCATGATAAACTATTGTCTGCTCGTCATCACAGAAACACGTGCGGTGTAGAACCGTGATGCGTGTCAAAACACAACCCGTTGAGTGTATTTGTCAACTGCTAAAGATATTACAACCTTCAGATTGGATTATATAGACAACTAATTGGTGGTGCCACACCGGAAAAGCTGGACTCGAATATACAGGAAACTCCTTCACAAACCCTTCTGAACGGGTTAATGAGTTGTTAATTATTTTCAAAGCAATGTCAAAGATGTTAACTTATGAGATAATCCCGTTACCCGCACCCCCTCCCCCAGACCCAGCGTCTCATCGCATCTGGATAAAAGAGGGGTGCCACGGACGGGGCAATAACAGTCATCCGGAGGCAATTACCATAGCAACAAGTTGACGTATTTTGGGGCGCGTGCAAGGGCATCAGGAGGCGGGACTTCGAGAGTTGCCGAAATTTGATTGGCATCTTGCAGCGGCCCATCCAAGAAAAGCGTATTTTTGCTAGCAGACTCAGTCAGACCAGCGACTTTTCCAGTGGCGACTGGCCCAGGGGAGAATCATGAGAGAACGTGACATGACGTCTTTGGCGACGATTGACACAAGCGCCTCAGTGTATCAGCCGGCACAACTTCTTAACTGGGTGTACCTTACCCTTGCGGACTCCCACCCTTCTAATGTTCAAACTGGGCAGTCCCTGTACTCCGATCCCTGGTCAGCTAACCAGGTATCAACCCAGGCTGTATCTTCCGTGAACACAGTCAGCTCCCTACTTCAGAAAACTGGGGGGACGCAGAATCTGTATGGTCTCAACGTACACACAGAGCAGCACCCCTGGTCCAGTCCAGCACTCACCTCCCAGCCGGCTCTAGCCACCAACATCAACAGCACTGTAAGTCCACGAAATATTCCCCATCATTTTATAATTTACTATATTACCCAATATTCCTCATCTGTATTCCAATGCTATGTTATCAGTGTTATTCACTGCTTCCATAACGAACGCCATTGAGGTCACTATGACGAATCACTGCCAAACAAAGATCGGAACAGCCAAATCTTTATATTCCCTAAGTTCCAAAGATCTGTTAAATGTCAGTGTGTTCGTACAGCTGGAAGTCGGCCAGATAGATTTCTGACGTGGAACGTCACGTCATAATCTGGTTCTGTGTGCGCTGTTCGTGGTCATCGCAGTTTCAACGAATGTTCAGATGAGGTTCCAAATGTGTATCAATATGTTTAAGCAGTAAGATGGCCTCCCTAGCTCTATAAACCCAGCTGTGCCTCTCTCCGACCTGGTCGTATCGCGTTACGTTGCCTTTAGCGTTCAGACATACTGTCGCCATATGCTATGCCATCTCCCTCCCAACTTTTAAAAACTTTTTTAAAAAACGCGTTGTATTTGGTATCAAGTTTTACATAATGTTGTTTTGGGATTCTTTGTGAGTTGGACTTTGGACTAACATGGCCAGTATTGCCGTGGTCTGACCACGATATGTCTCCAGTAATTAGATCAGCCCCAGCTTGCCCTCTCAAGTTGCAACATTGCTTCCTAAGTACAGTCAAGGTCTAAACATAGCACATTTTCATAAGAGCTTTCTCCAGACAGCGTGTTTGTTTACATGTGACCTGCCCATTATTGCAAGTATTAGAAGGAAGTTCCAAGTTTCTGTGGATGTCCATCTAACCTGAACTGCTGTCAAAATACAGAAATGGCTGCCATGGATCCCAATACATGCACTTACACAATCTTCTGCTGGGGCTAGGTTCAGGATAAAAATCGTTTACCAAATCTCGCCCAGGAAATGGACAAACCTTGTTGGCTAGGGTTCTTGACAGGCAGTTGTTTAATTGTTTTGACAGCAAATGACATGTTTCAGCTGCAGGGGAGGGAAGTCAGCCTCAAAGTCACATATCTGCCTGTGAATCTGTACACATTGTTGTGTGAAAAATGTTGGATTTTAATTCTTACATCAGTATCCTATTGAAATTAGTAGTTGGTCATCAAATACTTTGATGTTTTGTATTGTGGTTACCAAGGATAAAGGAATTTGGAAATTTTCAAGTAAAGTGTTACTTTTTTGGGTACAAGATCATAACACTATAAAGGATACATTATAACAATGTTGCCAAAACATTTTTCATTATTTACTAGGAATCATTTGGATATGTAGATCTACATCATATGTCTTGCACAAACATCAATAATCTCCAGTTTAGTTGCAAACTTGCAGATCAGGTGCAAAATGGAAATACACATTTTGAAAAAATTATGATATATTCATTATATTAGTATATTCACTTTTCTACACCTGCTATAGATATTCAAATATAACCCACCTCATAGATGTATATCAATTTCACAACTGGACACAAAATTTTCCAAGAAATGTTCCAAGAAATGTTCCAAATGTTTCTGAGGAGGTCCAGATAAATCCATGACAAGACAATATTTTGCATTGTGCAAAACCTGTTGAGTCTGACAGACCTTTGTGGATTTTCCAGAACCACTACCAGAATGGCAGCTTATCAGGACTGTCAACGACGTCACCTTATGGGAGTATACAGGATCTGGCCGACCACTTCAGCGACCTGTCTCTGTCCATGGAACGCAAGCCCAGCAAACGTCCCCCCTCCTCCTACCTGTGCCACCTGTGCTTCAACAAGGGCCACTACATCAAGGACTGCCCCCAGGTAGGGAAGGTAATGCAACTTTCATTACTTTCTCTCATACTATTGAAACAGGTAGTGTTCATTACTTTTCATTGACCATCAGATAAAGTGTTTGATTACAGGGTCATACTTGAACATTTGGATTTTGGTGACCAGGTGATGCATTTGAACAAGACAAGGATCATTGAATAAGATTCTTTGTCAATCCTACTGATTCCTCACTTCCCAAGAAGTGAAACAGGACCAAGTCCTTGATAGGCCAGGGTTCCTCAAAGCAATCGCAGCACTACGACTGTCATAAGTCTTATGTTAAAGTATGGGAGTTACGATCATTGTAGCACTACGACAGTCGTAAGACAATGTTAAAGTATGGGAGTTATGATCATCGCAGCACTACGACAGTCGGAAGTCTATGTTAAAGTATGGGAGTTATGATCATCGCAGCACTACGACAGTCGGAAGTCTATGTTAAAGTATGGGAGTTACGATCATCAAAGCACCACTAGCATTTCGAGGAAAGTGGCTCTGAACATGAAGACGAAGCTTTTTATGGATAACAACTTTATTATTTATTTATTAGAAACTTGCAACCAGCCCCTTCATCAGAGGAAATGACTCAAGGGTTGAAAGTTGAAACGTTTTTAGAACAAAATAATGTTATTACGCATGAAAAAGTTTCATGTCATTCATGTCTTACTATCATTTGTAATGCAACTACTATGACCACACTTGCACACTGGTCACATTATGTAATCAAGAGTAGTCCATACTGGATGAAAGAAATACAAAGCAGAGACCCAATCGACCCATCCTGGTTAATCTACTGACATGTGATAACAAGAATGGATATGCATTTGTGTTAACTAATGCAGATATTTAGATGTACCATTTGGGGGGGAAAATGAGCCACTAGAAGAATACTAGTGATTCATCAATGAGCAATTAGGCAGAACAGATATAGTTTGCCCCTTCTTTGGTAATATGCTTATAACATTTCTAAAACCAGAGTTTTTAACATGTTGGTCCAGGTTACTTTTGTTGCTGAAGAACATCACTGGCTTTATCATATATGCACAAGGAGTTAGATGATGCAGTTGGGCATGATGATACCCAAAATTTTGAACTCTAAATTACTAAAATGTGCACTGCTTATCACATAGAAAGAGTTGACAGCTTGTTCTTTTTGGTGACTTACCTATGGTTGCTTCAGTCAGAACCTGGTTGATGGAAATGACATTTGGTCGGACAAAGTGTACCCATACTTTTTCTATGAGCCAGCTGGCTAAGCTTTTTGTAAAGGCCAGCTTCATATATCAGACAAATGTGAAACGGTTATGAGTTCTATTCAGCATTATGTTATTAATGGCTTTCAGAACCATAAACCATATCAAATGAAAAAACCCAACACACATCACTGTTTGAAATTGATGAGTTTGTGTGTACGCTCGTGATAGCCTGTTACAGTCACATATTGTTGATCAGTTGATTGAATTGTTCTGTTACTAGGATGTACGGACATTTCATTAGTTGATAGACAGATTCACATGTGTAAATACAAAAGACAATAGGAGCTCAGTTGATACCTGTCGCCAGCAGAGATCTTTGTGTGCCAGGGTGAAGGATGATACCACATTGCCAGTTATCCAGTTTTCATCAGAAGAAGGTTCTGTTCTAGGAGACATATCGGAAGTTAGTTATCATCAGTTGAAGGTTCTGTTCAGGGAGAAAATTATTGGGATATTAGTGATCATCAATTGAAAGTTCTGTTCAGTGGTGACAAATATTGGGATGCCAGATGTTATGAGTTGAAAGTTTCCCTTCTTGGGTGAAGGATGAGAGTCAGCTGAAGGTTCTGTTCAGGGAGACAAATATCAGATGTTTGTTATCATCAGTTGAAGGTTCTGTTCAATAGTGACAAATATGAGATGTTAGTTATCATCTGTTGAAGGTTCTGTTCCAAGGTAACAAATATCAGATGTTAGTTATCATCTGTTGAAGGTTCTGTTCCAAGGTAACAAATATGAGATGTTAGTTATCATCTGTTGAAGGTTCTGTTCCAAGGTAACAAATATCAGATGTTAGTTATCATCTGTTGAAGGTTCTGTTCCAAGGTAACAAATATAAGATGTTAGTTATCATCAGTTGAAGGTTCTGTTCCAAGGTAACAAATATAAGATGTTAGTTATCATCTGTTGAAGGTTCTGTTCCAAGGTAACAAATATCAGATGTTGTTATCATCAGTTGAAGGTTCTGTTCCAAGGTAACAAATATCAGATGTTAGGTATCATCAGTTGAAGGTTCTGTTCCAAGGTAACAAATATCAGATGTTAGTTATCATCAGTTGAAGGTTCTGTTCCTGGGTGACAAATATTAGATGTTAGTTATCATCTGTTGAAGGTTCTGTTCCAAGGTAACAAATATCAGATGTTAGTTATCATCAGTTGAAGGTTCTGTTCAAGGTAACAAATATCAGATGTTAGTTATCATCAGTTGAAGGTTCTGTTCCTGGGTGACAAATATCAGATGTTAGTTATCATCTGTTGAAGGTTCTGTTCAAGGTAACAAATATCAGATGTTAGTTATCATCTGTTGAAAGGTTCTGTTCCAAGGTAACAAATATCAGATGTTAGTTATCATCAGTTGAAGGTTCTGTTGAACAAATATCAGATTCTGTTATCATCAGTTGAAGGTTCTGTTCCAAGGTAACAAATATCAGATGTTAGTTATCATCAGTTGAAGGTTCTGTTCCAAGGTAACAAATATCAGATGTTAGTTATCATCTGTTGAAGGTTCTGTTCCAAGGTAACAAATATCAGATGTTAGTTATCATCAGTTGAAGGTTCTGTTCCAAGGTAACAAATATCAGATGTTAGTTATCATCTGTTGAAGGTTCTGTTCCAAGGTAACAAATATCAGATGTTAGTTATCATCAGTTGTAGGTTCTGTTCCAAGGTAACAAATATAAGATGTTAGTTATCATCAGTTGAAGGTTCTGTTCCAAGGTAACAAATATCAGATGTTTGTTATCATCAGTTGAAGGTTCTGTTCCAAGGTAACAAATATCAGATGTTTGTTATCATCAGTTGAAGGTTCTGTTCCAAGGTAACAAATATCAGATGTTAGTTATCATCAGTTGAAGGTTCTGTTCCAAGGTAACAAATATCAGATGTTAGTTATCATCTGTTGAAGGTTCTGTTCCAAGGTAACAAATATCAGATGTTAGTTATCATCAGTTGAAGGTTCTGTTCCAAGGTAACAAATATAAGATGTTAGTTGTCATCAGTTGAAGGTTCTGTTCCAAGGTAACAAATATAAGATGTTAGTTATCATCAGTTGAAGGTTCTGTTCCAAGGTAACAAATATCAGATGTTAGTTAATCATCTGTTGAAGGTTCTGTTCCAAGGTGACAAATATGAGATGTTAGTTATCATCAAGGTGACAAATATCAGAAGGTTCTGTTGGTTCTGTTCCAAGGTAACAAATATCAGATGTTTGTTATCATCAGTTGAAGGTTCTGTTCCAAGGTAACAAATATCAGATGTTAGTTATCATCTGTTGAAGGTTCTGTTCCAAGGTAACAAATATCAGATGTTAGTTATCATCAGTTGAAGGTTCTGTTCCAAGGTAACAAATATCAGATGTTAGTTATCATCAGTTGAAGGTTCTGTTCCAAGGTAACAAATATCAGATGTTAGTTATCATCTGTTGAAGGTTCTGTTCCAAGGTAACAAATATCAGATGTTTGTTATCATCAGTTGAAGGTTCTGTTCCAAGGTAACAAATATCAGATGTTAGTTATCATCAGTTGAAGGTTCTGTTCCAAGGTAACAAATATCAGATGTTAGTTATCATCTGTTGAAGGTTCTGTTCCAAGGTAACAAATATCAGATGTTTGTTATCATCAGTTGAAGGTTCTGTTCCAAGGTAACAAATATCAGATGTTAGTTATCATCAGTTGAAGGTTCTGTTCCAAGGTAACAAATATCAGATGTTGTATCATCAGTTGAAGGTTCTGTTCCAAGGTAACAAATATCAGATGTTAGTTATCATCAGTTGAAGGTTCTGTTCCAAGGTAATAGATGTTAGTTATCATCAGTTGAAGGTTCTGTTCCAAGGTAACCCAGATGTTAGTTATCATCAGTTGAAGGTTCTGTTCCAAAGGTAACAAATATCAGATGTTAGTTATCATCAGTTGAAGGTTCTGTTCCAAGGTAACAAATATCAGATGTTTGTTATCATCAGTTGAAGGTTCTGTTCCAAGGTAACAAATATCATGTTTATTTATCATGTTTGTTATCATCAGATGTTTGTTATCATCAGTTGAAGGTTCTGTTCCAAGGTAACAAATATCAGATGTTAGGTATCATCAGTTGAAGGTTCTGTTCCAAGGTAACAAATATCAGATGTTTGTTATCATCAGTTGAAGGTTCTGTTCCAAGGTAACAAATATGAGATGTTAGTTATCATCAGTTGAAGGTTCTATTCCAAGGTAACAAATATCAGATGTTAGTTATCATCTGTTGAAGGTTCTGTTCCTGGGTGACAAATATCAGATGTTAGTTATCATCTGTTGAAGGTTCTGTTCCTGGGTGACAAATATCAGATGTTAGTTATCATCAGTTGAAGATTTCTGTTCCTGGGTGAAGGATGTATGGATGTCAATTGTCGTCAACGGAGGGAGGGTTTTTTTATGCCTGGATGAAAGATATATTGATTCATTAGGAGTTCTGTGCCCATTTTCTAAGTTACAAATATAAAATTAAAAAACAAAAACAAATGTGATTAGTTAAATAGTTTTGCCACTTGAAGCTTTAAGGCAAAATATAGTCAAGACAATTAATATGTGTATTTTTGAATATTATAATAATAGAATCTAAATTAATGTCTTTTCCCCCAGAAGATAGTGCATTTAAAACAAATGATACACCAATGATATTAGGTAACACAAAAGAAAGCTTTCAGTTTTCCAAATGTTACTTTGTACTGTTAAAAACCCAGAAATGCCTAGCTACTTACTGAGATTGTATAGCTGCTGTAATCGGAACAATGCCATTTTTCATAATGCATAATTCAGAATACACCCAAAACATATTTTATTGTTCAATTCCCCAGTGTGTTTGAAATGCATATTCATTATCCACTCTGTTTTTAATCTTCATTACCTCACCAGCTTGCCAAATGGCTATGTCTGGGAAAATGAGGCCATCTTGGTGGTTAAAGTGAAATTATTACACGTATTTAATAAAACAAGAGCTGTTTATTGTATGTTGAAGTGGAACAAATCCCTCCATACTACATTCCCTGGAATCCCAATCTGGCAGACCCGAAGCTGGTGAGGCAGCATGACCCACAGTAAGCCTGGCCCAATTAACATTAATTATAAACCCATTGCATTAGGTAATAGATAAGAGGGTGATGGAAGAGCCTGTGTTGTGTACTGGGGGACAAAGCAAGAAACACATGTGTTCTCCATCACTAGGATGGGGAGGGAGGAGGGGGTTCTACTTCTCAGAAGATGGGGGTTTAGGTTACCAAGAAGGCATAGCCGACAGGGGGCATCTCAAAACTAAATTATATAGATCCTAGGAGAAACATTATCTGAAGAAATGTCTATGGCAATTTCCATATCAACCATGTTGAAATAAGTAGTGTACCATGTATCATGGAATATGTTTGATGTTTTATGTTTATGAAGATGTTGAGCTTGCCGAAGCGGTGCCATACACATCATTATACATCTGGAATTACACTATATTTATCAATGATTGTAGTGAATTTGGTCTAGCATGTAGTGGAACGTATCGCCAGAGGCAAAATGGCAGTGGACATGTTCTTATGGCATTGCACCCAGAGAGTAACAAAATGAGAAGTACTTTTAGACAGGGTGACTGCTAAAACAGGGTTTCAATAGCAGATGTTCATCTCGTTTTTGATAGTGACTGTATTTGCTGTAGCGGATGTTGATGCAGCTTCCAGATGTTGCCCCACTCTGTATCACAACCCGTGCTGGCACAATCAGCATCAGTACCATTACCATCCCTCCACCTGACTGACACATAGTGGGAAAAGACAGAAATAGCACTGCAATACATATGACCAAACCATTTCTATAGGCAAGAAATCACATGTTTTTATGGATAGCAACTTCTTTCTAATCTTTATACAACATTTCAGAGCTAATTCTTGCTCCTTCATCATGCTTAGTGCAGGAGCAAGAATTAGCACTGAAACATTGTATAAAGAATAAAAAGAAGTTATCCATAAAAAACTTCATGTTCATCCAACGTTCATCCAACTTCTAAATGCTAATGAACTTCAAGAAATCTCGGGGCGGTGGGATAGCCTAATGGTTAAAGCGTTGGCTCGTCACGGCGAAGACCTGGGTTCGAATCCCCACATGGGCACAATGTGTGAAGCCCATTTCTGGTGTCCCCCGCTGTGATGTTGCTGGAATATTGCTAAAAGCGGCGTAAAACCAAACTCAGTCAGTCAGTCAAGAAATCTCAGCTAAAACCATTGTCCATTGTACACTTTGCTCATCTTAGGGTGGTTTTGTAAATGCAATAATATTAATAAATGCAATATATCTTACGCATGCAACGAGGTGGTTCTATCAATGTAATGATTTTATGAAGTGTAAAATCCATACACATGATACTCAGCCTCTGTGACTATAGTCTTTTATTCATTTCACACAGAACAGTGTCAGTAGGGTGTAGGTGAAGGTCACACCACACACATGGTAGAACTGCAAGTATTATTAATACACATTCCCTAAACCCATTTGGAAAATGTAAAAAGGCCCCTAAGTATTATGACACCCGGTGAATGCCTGTGGGCTTGCTGGCAGGCAGCCATATCAATGTATGCAAGTGCAGCCTGAAGCCATGATAGTGTAGTAGGTCGACAGTAGATACGCTGCACTGGCTCTAACTACTCGTTTTGTACACTGCTACATGCTGAGCTTTTCGGATAGGCAAAAAATAATTCTTGAAAAATACATTTCTTCATGTTTCACAAACATGGCATTCTTGAAAAATATAGGTCTTGTAGTCATTGGAAACATTCAGAGCACTGAATATCCATATTGTATACGAGTCAGGATTCTGGTAAACATATAGGAGCTTACTATATGCTAGAGGCTATTCGAAATAGCTATATATCCATCTATGAAATCCGGGGGTGTTCATGCATACAGTGTAACCACCTCTTGATGGCTTCTTTATGGGGATGTGGTAGGTTTACATTCAGTATGGAACAATATGGCAGTAGAGCATAAGACGTAGAGTCAACATTGGCCTTCTGACATATCAGACATAACTTAATTGTTTGATTGGCATTCAGAAGTTGGTGAGTCAAAAATGAAACATACAACTTTATGGATAACGATATAAGAATCTTACATCTTAGAATCGAAATGTAGCTTCAGGCAATAAACAAGAAGTTGTCATCCATAAAGTTGTATGTTTCATGCTTTCATATCTGGTACTTGACCAGGAAGTCTCGTGGTCTTGGTTGTTTGGTCACAATGAAGCAATAGACCTTGGTGTACCAGAAGATTGGCTTGGTCGCATTTTGAAATTGGTTGTAGGGTCTTTGAGAAGCATTTAGAAGTTGGAATACTAAGGAACGCTAGTATCATATGGATGAACAATGTTTTTATTACAGTAGGAGCAATATTGGTCAAGTTAGCATGATATAATGATATCCTATTGTAATAAAGAATTTGTTCATCTATATTCTTGTCATTCTTTAGGTCTAATAAGGATGGGTGAGTTGATGGGCTGCCTTTTTGTATGCTTTTCCCCAAACACATCAAGCATGCATGTTTCTGACATTTAAGGCAATGATGCCAAGCAGACCTTGTTAGTAGTGCAGCTGTCATCCAGCTGTTGGAAGGGTTAGATATGGCCATGGGTCCCCTTGTCAAGTCCTTCTAAGGAAGATTTGATTCTTACACCAATCACTTGTCCGACTGAGGACATGTTGTGTCTTCTTGTCAGTTTGGAGGAATTTTGTTGCCCACCACATTATGCTGTTTATGACCACTGAAAAGAGCTTCATAGCTCATATATCCATGATTATACTTATATAACAATAGATCTGACATTTCCATTGACCAGTACATTTCACACTGTGTCACCTCTGTATTCCAGGCCCGACCAAAAGGTGAAGGTCTCACACCCTACCAGGGCAAGAAGCGATGTTTCGGTGAGTACAAGTGCCCAAAGTGCAAGCGCAAGTGGATGAGTGGGAACAGTTGGGCCAACATGGGACAGGAGTGCATCAAGTGTCACATCAACGTCTACCCTCACAAACAGGTGAGTCAATTACTTCAACGTTCTCATAACTCCTTCTAATTCATCAAGCTTTCTAATGCTCATCACGTAACCCTACAACCCATTTTATTTTGTGTGGCCTCCACAAGTTTTGTTCTTTTTGAAGTGTTCTAAATGGCTTTGAAATAATTTGTATTTGTAAATTATTTTAAGTTTTGTTGCACATATGTGCAAATGTTTGCGTTTTGAAGTTTATATTTCTGAGAGAGCATGCAGCGTGGCAGATATGGTGTAAAGGAGAATAATTCATTAATGAAGAATTTTGAAAATGGATGGATCTATCCAATTATTTACTAATGTCTGTGTGCTTTATAAATAGTCTCTACCCAGCTCATTACTCTGCATGCTTTCCCACACCGGTTTGGTATGTTGCACTGTTTGACTTGGATAAAATGCAGTGTGTGCTTGTGTTTATTTCAGCGACCCTATGAATTCTTGGAGAAGGTAAGCACAACATTTATATACGTCCAAATTTAAAGCGACTCTGTCCGTCATCCTTTCACCATATCCGGACAGTCGCAAAATAATCCATGATCCTGTTTGAACATTAACAAATAATCTTTATTTATCTAACGACAATATTTTTAAATTTTATTTTTGTAATTAATGTTAATTGTGCAAATGTTGTTTGTTAATTAATTATCACTGTTGTGGAAGCACCCCTCCTTGGCGGACATTGTCGCTTTAAGTGTTGTGTGCTGTCCGTTAGTCCTCAGTGATTTCACCATGTCCTGTTATCGTTTGACCAGCGTCCACTGGAAAAGCCGGATGGCCTGGATGTTTCCGACCAGAGCAAGGTCCACCCGCAACACCTGTGTGAGAAGTGCAAGATGCTCGGCTACTACTGCCGACGGATGAACTAACTCGGGCAGCGTCCGTGACGGCGACATCATCTGCAACTATGGTGCTACGGAGACTTGCATGACCTGCTTATGTGTGTGGTGCCTTTCCGCGTGCCTTATCTCTGCTTCTTGACCAGGTTTATTGTGATTTACAAATGCCAACCTCGGCAGACATGTTTGAAGTTTTCTGGTTAACTTTCGGCAGAGAACTGCTTTCTATGCAACCGATAGTGCTCAAGCTGTTAGTCTCTTCACAAAAGTGGAAAATTATCCTCACTTATTCACAAGTGGATTTGATTATGCAATATAGTTATGTTATGTGCCAAATTTATTCAGGTATTTTATTCTGTGTACGGTTACACTTTTAAAACCACATTTTTCTAATATTGACATACAATATTTGCACTCCAATGTATCTGAGGGATTTTTATTGTAAGAATGGAGGTTTGGAGTGATGCTTTGAAGGACCAGTCCTGGAGGGAGACATGATTTTCTCATCCATGTTGGTGAGAGTCATATTTCCCACTCGGTATAATACATTCTACCACTGACCAAAAGTCCGCTTTGATCTGTACATTTCTGAATTTTTGTTCGTTTTGGGGGTTGTCACTGAAATATTCACTGACTTCCAGGTACGTATACTTTGTATATATTTGTGCATTATCCCTTGCTAAGCAGAAACTGTTTGAAGAAACTGTGTGTATAATTTTGTTCCAAGTTACTAAGATCCATGGAATGAGCTTCTTAAGCACACATGGTCAAATGTTCTTAAATTCCATCCACAGACAGGATATGGAGTTGATTTTTAAAAGAATTGTTACTCATTGTCAGCCATAAGAAGAGACATCTTCTGTGTATTTCGCATCATAATAATCATCATGTGTTTTGTATAATTTGGTTAATCATGGTGCAATCTTCTAAGAAGCGCCGTTTAGTTCCATCAGTTTTGTGTTTAGCTGCGTGTACTCTTAGTCATTATTAATGACTGTTAACTGTATCATTTGTGGATTCACCTTCTATTGAAATCTTTTAGATGTATTGAAGATCAAATGTTGTAGCTCTTTTGCTGTGGAATCAAGGCCGATAAGATGCAATATGCTTGCACTTTAGAGTAGAGTCTGTACTACTATATTCAAGATTGATTGAACCTGACTGAATCTTACTACGAAGAAGGTTCGTCTACATGGTATCCATATCCATTTTAACTGTAACCCTGACAACCTGATATATTCACAGCCTTTTAATAAATTATTAAAGAATCCTACCTTTTGGGTAACAAACCTTTTGAGGATGGAGTTGTTTGAATGCCTGTGATTTTGCAGTCATATTACATATCTTAGAATATATATAATCTGTATATCTGTCTTTATAAATTATGTCAAGTTCAATCAATTGGTTCCATATATTTAAGTATTTCATACCCTAGATGTTGATGTTTGCAGAATAATGCAAAGCCCGAGGGGCTTACCTTAGCTCAAGACTTTTGAGGCTGTAGATTTTGAACTATCATTATTTAACCCTGGTGTTTATGTGTATAATTTTGGTTTGGCTTATAGAGGTAGTTGTTCCTCTCAGTTACGTTGTTTCACTGTATATCTTGTAGCTTTTTGTTTTATTGATCTGGTTGTCTGCACGTGATATAAGGGATGCTGTTAAGGGATGTATTGCCATGGCGATACAGCAATTTATAGGAGTCATCATGAAAAAAATCACTCTGATAATTTGATGTGAATTTGTATATTATTTAAATTTTTATAAAACTAATAATGAATTACTCTTTTTTAAAGGTGCAAAAAGCAAAAAAGTTTCTATTTTACACAATCAAAACAAACATTTATATTTTCAATTTGCAAAGAAATTAGTATTATTTTACAAAATGAAACTTGGTTGCCTTTGTATTAGAGACAAAATATTACTGATGTAAATGGTAGTTGTTAGGGTGTTAGTGTGGTATGTCTGGCACCTATGGCATTGCATCCCTGACAATGTTAGGTCATAGCATGACTGTTATCCCAATGAAAATGGCTCAATTAGCATTACTGAGTCTTGGACTAGAGTATCATTTTTATAAGACATTTCATATCAGTTTACGTTTGTCATTGATAATAAATTTGCTGTTATTTTATGTTCATCCTTTTCTTGAAGGCTGCTTAAGATATCTCTGTTCTTGTATTTTGTAATCGTAATATGCCAATATTTTTAACTGGAGTATTTTTACAAGTTAAAAAATAAATCAAGATAAATTCAAAATACAAGATAGAGTTATCTTGCCTTTCACTTGGTCCTCTGCATTCCTGACATTGATGTAAGCATTAAGTGTTTTATGCTTGTTCTGTGTGTCCTGATTGGACAAAGGTGGATGGATTAAGATATGGGTCATGACATTGTCATAGGAACCAGGCTTTTCTTCAAGTATTCATTAAGAATTGCTCATATTCCTGCCCCACCAGTCTAGAACCAACTGTTCTCTTGATGTTCTAAACATACTATATTAAGCTGAGTAATGAAATAGTAAGACAATATGCCTGAGAACATGTTAATGACATCGGTGTTGTGTGACGTGCCACCATCTTGACTGCTGTATTGTGGGTGATTCGATCCGGTATGAATGACATGAATGTGTTGGAGGTGTGTGCTTTCTATTGGTGCTGTTGATGTGAACTGTGTGATAGGGGCGTGGCTTTCATCCACATGTGCATGAGTTTGTAAACTCTTTCAATAAAATGTGTTTGCTGTGAATTCCTAGTTTTCTGTGTTCTTTAAAGCTGTTTTGAACACAAGGATTCTTATCATAGATGATAGCAGGTGAACATCCAGTGGTATCTTTCTTTGTTGGATCATGGAAATATAGGATATCATGTGAGTGTTTGGGGATGGTTAATATCCTGCATTAGGAATAAACATTGTATTTTGCGAACCTTGGCGAGATAATACATATTGTTTATTCCTAATGCAGAATATTAACCATCCCAAAACACACGAGTTTGATAACCTATTTATCATACAATGTCATTCTTACTTTATTACCTAAAAAAAGATGTGATTTCAATTGCCATAAATCTTGAAACTGGACTTCGTGGAATGTGCAGATATCTATTGACGTCACAAATGCGTAGTTTATTACGTACAAGCTTGGTGACACAATTTTCTACTTGACTGTTAGGTCATCTAGCTCCAAGTAAGTTTATATGTTAAAGCATGTATTGTTGTCAACACATCTTAGTTTACGTTTGAAAAGAACAACAAACTTGTGTGGAACTTCCGAAACAATTAACCATTTGAACAACAAATACATTTTAATGTTCGCGAGACATGTTCTGCTCGCTAACACTGACAGTCGGTCGGGTAACTGGTGTCGATGTCCTATGAATTTCTATCATCACTACGTAATCCACTCTATAGATCATTACCAGACATGAATTTTCTTGGATCAAAGCACTGACAGTGCCGTAACCTTAGCCTTGAATCCTGACACGATCGCTGATAGATGGGCATGACGCCATGTTTGTTTACACTGAAAGTAGTCCCTAAAATTTGCATATGACATTTCTAATTGGGATTGATATCTGTAAATGACCCGAACAGATACCGAAAATATCTGGTGGCTTTATCCTGCGGAGAATGCTATCCATTGTATGAGAATATTTCGCTCATATGACAACGTGCATGCATGTGTGTATGTGCGGCTGCTTGTACTAGCCCAGACTGAAGCTGGTTTTATAGTGCTAGCTCACTGAGATACCATGCCGCAGTGAAGCATGAATACCCCACTCAGACACATTATACTGACTCCGAGCCCACCAGTCCTTGTTGTACCCATTAATGCCGAGGGCCAGGCAGGGACCAACAAGTACCATATTTTAACGTCTTTTGGTATGACGCGGTCAGGGATCGAACCCGCGACGTTCCGCTCTCCGGGCGGACGCTCTAACCACTACACCACCAGGCGGTCCGTTAAATCATGAACACATGGCAGTACATGAATTCCATGCAAGCAACTCAGATTTCAATATACACAATGTACACAACTATAACTTCTAGTGAATTCCAAGCACACATATATAAGTTCTGAAAAGGATACATGTTTTGACTGACTGACTGACTGAGTTTGGTTTTACGCTGTTTTTAGCAATATGCCAGCAACATCACGGCTGGGGACACCAGAAATGGGCTTCACACATTGTACCCATGTGGGGATTCAAACCCGGGTCTTCGGTGTGAAGAGCCACTTTAACCACTAGGCTACCCCACCGGCCCACATGTTTTTGAAGCATCAAGAAAGAAGGTGTTTAAATAAATTAGAATGGATGTTTTACCAAATCAGTACACCATTATGTATATTGTGAAAATATAACTGATCAATAGTTAGGTAAATATGGATGACAAGCCATTAGAACATGGTTGATCAATTCATTCTGCATGGGGGTCTGTAAAACACCAAAATAACCAAGGGGTGATAGTATGAGCAGTGACTATTGTACAGGATACAATGACACATTGTCACCCAGGATGCCATTGTACAAAGTCATCTTAGTGCTAAGGTGATCACAACTCTCATTCCTTAACATAGACTTATGACAGTCTTTGCATTTAGGTTGTTTGAAACAATGGCACCCAGGACCTACTGTAGATATATGGGTGCTGTAGTTGGGCTGGATTGGGATGTATGTAGAAGCTTCCATATGCTGTTCTTTCTGATCTTAAATATCTCTGAAGAACACGTGTATATGGATGTAATGTAAACACTATGATTCTGGAGAAGGCACTGTTATGGTAGATATGAGGGTCGGCTGATAAGCCCAGCATAACTAGGATAAACCGTTTTGATGGAGATATTTTCTAACATAATCCACTCTTACCCATGAAGATCTGGGTTAGAATATTGATCTTCAGTAACCCATGCTTGTGGTAAGAGGCCACTAACTGGATCGGGTGGTCAGACTCGGTTGACATGTCATCGGTTCCCAATTGCGTAGATCGATGCTCATGCTGTTGATCACTGGACTGCCTGGTCCAGACTCGATTATTTACAGACTGCCGCCATATAGCTGGAATACTGCTGAGTGTGGCGTAAAACTAAACTCACTCACTCATAATCCACTCTGAGGTCCTCCTACTGCTGCTAATGATGCTACTGCCTTCATTCCATTGGTAGAGAAGACCATCCCCAACAGCCCAAATTATCAATGATCATCAGCATACATCTACTTTTTAGATCATTCTTTTAGATCTTCTCCTAGAATAAGGAGTTGGAACCTCCTTATGTCCAGTTCATGCCTCAGAATGCCACTTGAATGACACCCTGTAGGACATCTGACGTGTGTTGTGAGTCATTGGTAAATCACATCACATATTTATGAACATTTTAGTGGTGGGAGTTCTTTCTCATCTTCTGTCATCTCTCACCCCCCTTGGAAAACCTAGTAACTGTTGCAAAGGAAGGAGCATCATCCCTTACAGCTACAGTGCTCTTTTAGCAGAGATTTCTGATGGATGTGGAAAGGGTGCAGGTGCTTTTATTTATAAGAAAACCAAGTCTGTTTTGTCCATCCACAGACAATGATAAATAGTAGCTTTGATGCCTGCTGACATGTTTGTGTTTGGATGAAATAAAAGCTTCAATTTATGTATTGTAGATTGTAGATCCTTCTAGTAAGGCCAAGAAATTTTCAGTAACCCAGCGTATGATGAAAGACTATTCTGAGAAGGTACAGTTTGTTTTGGCATGAAATCTGATAACTTATTTTGGTTTTCAGACTGAAATAACCACTAATGCATCAGATGAAAGATGTGAACCCAGGTTTAACCTTAAATAAAATTCTTCTATCCCTCTGCTGAAGAACTTATCATACCCTACTATGCTATTTCTTTTACTTACTGCATATCAATCATGTATGTGTCTTTATGAACTAAAGACGTACACATAAATAGCTTCTCTCAAGTTTCCTTCCCCTTCAAACAAAATCTGAAAATGCTAATGAAAAAGCTTTAAAAAGTCTGAAATGATTGTGCTTATCTCAGATTACTTGAAGGCAGGCTAGCAGTAGGTTTCTCCCCCACTCCCTGCCATTACTGGAGCAGCCATAGCAACATGCAGACGTCAGGATTATCTGACAAAGGCAGCTATGGGTGTGAAGCATATTCCTGGATCCAGCTTCATATAGCTGATGTCAGAAAGAACCACCCAAAAATAAATAAGACAACTGAAATAGACTTTGGATACCCAGCCCGTCAATTGTTAAGCAAATAGATTTGACACACAAATGTGTCAAGAGTCATGAATTCTTTAACAGGCACTAGGCAAAACTGGCAGTTGAAATCAGTTAATACACACAAATATGTACCCACATTGTAATAAACTGATATATTTAAGAATTCATGGTTTACCTGCTAAGTTGCTCATAAGGTATTAAGTATATTTCACGCAATGGTTGGCAATATTCCAGCAATCTTGTAACAGTTTGTAAACAAGCAAACATGATTGTTTGGACCTAGAATTCTGAATAAATAACATAGAATGCCTCATTAGACTCCTAGCTAGGGTTTTTGTTATTTTGTAACAAACTTGAGCAGCCTGAAAAATAACCTAGATCTTACATGTTTACCTTTGCAGATTTTGGATGAGAATTTTAAGCAGATCCATGGATTTCAGTGGATTTGATCTCAATGGGGTCATTCTTGTGAATCGTCTAAACCTGTGGCTCCCAAGACCCCTGGCTCATTTTCCTGTTTTTTCCCTCAAACCCATTCTCATCCCAGGTTATAAATTAGATCCAAACTCTGACTAAATATAGTGATTTCATCTTATTGATATGGACATGTAAGTACATATATAATTACAGACACAGAGAACACAAGAATGATAATTATCAGAACCACCAGATATTTTGTGTGGAAATATGCACAGATATACTGAAGATCTGAACACTGAGGATGGCACCGATGTATGACAAACAGGACAATCATGGACAGGTATCCAATACATAGGCACTGCTTGGAAAATGTCAAGGGTCAAGGTCATGAGATATCAACATCTTGTGTGTTTGTTATTAACATTCAGTAAAGCCTAGAAGTGAGTGTGTAGATCACATATTGGGGAATTTGGACTACTCGGCTTGGGGTGCATTTGAAAGCTGTGGCAGTCTGTTATAAAAGATAGGTGCACACATACATTGTAGTTCCATAGCAATCACACTGTTACACATGCTAAATGCAGTCTAGTAGTTCTGAGGTGAACAAGGAATTCACCATCATTGACAATGAAAACTATGAGCAGCTTCAGGATTGCAAAACTATAGCTTGTGGCTATTACATTGCCTGGCACTTGTGTAAGCATTGTTATATCTGGGTGGGAGATTACTGCCCAAATTATTACACTTCCACCACCAAATCTATCACCCTCTTCCATGCAGCTGATAGTCATGCCTGACATATCGGTTATGTGCTAATATCTTTCATATATATTTGCATGTGTATATAAATATCAAACACATCAATTTCAAACTTTCATTGATGATAATGACCGCCCGGAGAGCGGAAGGTCGTGGGTTCGATCCCCGACTGCATCATGCCAAAAGACGTTAAAATATGGTACTTGTTGGTCCCTGTCTGGCCTCGGCATTAATTGGTACAACAAGGACTGGTGGGCTCGGAGTCAGTATAATGTGTCTGAGTGGGGTATTCATGCTTCACTGCGGCATGGTATCGCAGTGGGCTAGCACTATAAAACCAGCTTCAGTCTGGGCTAGTACAAGCAGCCGCACATACACACATGCATGCACGTCGTCATATGAGCGAAATATTCTCAAGCACGATGTTAACCCCAATTTCACCTCACCTCATTGAGGATAATAGTTCAACAAAAACACAATGATCACTTCAGTATACATCTGAATTGTACACATATGTTCACCTGACATAACATATTCATAATGCCAATTCCATGTATATATTGGGATGTAACTGTGATAATATTCACAGAAGAATTTCTCATCAACTGATATTTGAGTCTGAGTGAGTGAGTGAGTGAATGAGTGAGAAATGTTCCAGCCATATCACTGTGTGTGGAATTGTGGGACTTTACAGTCATTTATATAGATGTACAAATATAATTTGTGTAAATGGGCCTACCACAAACAGCTGTAATTATTCAAATTTCACTGATTCATTAAACAACACATAACAATACAAAGTTGAAAAAACAAAAACATTTATTCTTCAAATTGATCAAATAAATTTCATCAGGAATAGTAAAAAGTCAGCATTAGAACATTCATTCATATGTACAAAAGCAATAATTATATTTGTTCGGTTTCCTATGGTCCTTGAGTAGTTCATTTTGGCACATCAGTATATACAAGGTGTTGACACAATCATCATGGCAAGCTGTTCCGAATCTGAAATAAAACAGAAGGAATTAGAATCTACAGTTGAACCCTGGTCTTGAATGGGACCAGAGAAATCCATGGTTGGACACACCATCTTACCTGGACTAACGCTTAGTCTCTGAACAAATATAATTTTGATAGTAACAAATAAACCCATTTAAAGTGAAAAGGAGCCGATGTGAGATGGGAGATTCCTGATAAAATCTAACTTGCTTCATTAGGGCTTCAGCACTGCAGTGAGGGCAAGGCAGTAGGGAAAATATTGTGGTTCAGGGACTATGAGACTACATCTTATCAAGAAAACAGAACAAACACATGACACATCAAAGATGTGTTGGAAGTAACATATGTATCATAAAATTGATTTATCCATTTATAACCTGTGAAGGCAAGATGTTGATGAAACCTAACTCTGGGATGTTTGTTATTATGGTGATGTCATAATTTGTTCAAATCAATCAAGTCTTTCGTCCTCAGTAATTATAAAGAAGCTATTTGAAGATCAATGTGGATCAAGTTTTGGATGGCTGTCTTTGTTGACATTATTCATGCTGCTGGCTACATGTATGTTTAGCTACAGCACAATTGCACAATGTTTGGTTATGTGTTTTAAACAGTTGATATACTAAACAGGAACTGTAACTGACAAAATATATCAAGAAGGATCTCCAGTCAAAGGTTAATCTTCAGAAACATGAAATTCTGCTAGTGTAGCTCTGCCCATTTTAAAACATGTGTATATATCACCCCAGTTGTGTGTATGCCATGTTTACCATGTGATATGTTTCTAGTGAGGGCAGAGACAGCACTGCTGTGTGGGTGATACTTACTGTTTACACTGGGGAGGACAGTGGAAGGGCTCACACACATAGAGACATATCACATTACATCTTCAGGCAAGGACCTAGCTAGAAACCCAAACACTAAGACAGACAATATTTTGTTCTTGTGTGTCTGAATGACTACAAGAACTGACTACCCATCATGTGAAGAGTGACATATTTGAGGGGTGTAAAATGAACCATTGCATTAAGCAAGTGATCTCAGCATTTCCCTTTATGGCTGGCCCCCAGCTGTTTTACAGCTGTTCGCTTCCTGGAAGCAGGGGCTTGGGTATTGACTTGTTACATATCACCATCCCTGTACTATTCATACTGCAGAACAAAACTAAAAAGAATCTTGCTGTTCTGTTTGAAATTCTTAACTTTGGCAGTAAATTGCTGATTCAGCCTAAAACAGTGTGTTGCCAACAGGCCTTGAAGCAAATATATCCAAGAAATCCCACGCAAGTCTAGAAAATGTGGCAAGTCTAGATTTCCACAGCTTCAGCTTCTTCAGAAAATGAAGAAAGTCTCAGGGCTCCTTTTTATTATATTTTGATTTTTTTCACTATGAGCCTTTTTTCTGTAAGATATGTTCATTTCAGGGGCTATAGTTGTTAGTCTAAGCTTTCATCTAAAACTGAAATATTTATCGGCCAGCCAGTGTTTCAACCCAAGGGCAACATGAAATCCATTTAGTAAAATGATAAATACCTGTTACTGAAAATGCTACTGAACTAGATACTCAAATATCAATGATGAATTCAAAACATTATCCTTAACCACATAACGATTAGATATAGTACAAGAAATTTTTAAGACACAACTAATTTCTTCCTCTTAATTTTCCTATGTTTAAAACGCTGTCAACTTTTGATGGATTCCTATTCTGATCACCTAGGCTGTTATAGAAAATATATACATCCAGATATTCCATTCCTCTTGAAAAATGTTAATTTTATAGCATTAGTGTGTGGTATGACATTGAAATGAGGACAGTTAGTATATTTGGATATAGCATATAGCTGCTCATGTGGTAACATTTCTTTAATGATAAAATGTCTAACACTTGTTTTTGTCCAGCATATGTGAGTAAATCTCCAAGAATGAAGAATCTTTTGTACAAAAATGGCCATATGAGACATTGTAAAAAAACCCAGAACATTTATATGGTCTGAAGATATTTTTAACTTGTACTTATGAGAATAGTTAAATCATTCTGCATTTTCAGGATGAAACTAAAATTTCAGGTATATTTTAAGTCTGTGTGACCATTAAATGACCTTAAATTAGACATAATATATGTCAATATGTGATACAATAACAATAACATTTCTCTTCATGTCACATATTCACAAATATGTCATCTGGCATTTTGTATACACTTTCAGTGCTAAATCTGTCTGCCATGGTAAATGCTAAAAGGGCTAAACTTTCTAGCAATACTTCCAAACCCACTGCACCGCTCACTGAATCCAGCTTATGGAAATGCAGCACACACGCCTACGTTATTACCAGGTTTACACCAAATGCACCATCTGTTCTTCCAGAAACACTGCACACCACTGTTGTGGCGAAACATGTAATGACCAGACAAGAACAAGTTCTTCTCCACATCATTAATGGTCCTCTATCATGTGCCTTGCTGTGGAGGATATAAACAAGCCACAATCTCACCAGTCATACCTCAACAGGTGGCTGACTCGGGCTTTGCTTATCTTGTTGTAGAGCTAAAATAGACACAGGCCACCTAGAACTGCCTTGGTGCACTCATTCAGGTGGAGGCACTCTAACCTCCATCAGATCCCTTCTTCTCTGCTTGGCTTGCCGTGGCACAGAGTGTCAGAGGATACACCTTCAGGAAGCCATGCCTTGAAACACTAACCTGATTAAACATATTCTACATGAATGCTTTCAGGAATTTTGGAGAGTTATGCCAATAGATCTACGTAATTCCTGTAGAAACTGTAGGACACTTTGTTATGCTGATGTGCATCCAACCATAAACCTTTCAAGTTTTTAAAAATATGAGGTGCAAATGTTGAACATGTGGGTTACGTGTTCATAAAACTGATCAAACAATATAGAAAGAAACTAGATGTCTATATAACTGGTTATTCCACCTTACATAACACCAGGGCACCGGAGTAGCCCAGTGGTTAACACTAGATATGCTGAAGACCTGGGTTCAATTCCCCTCAATATGTGAAGCCTATTCATATTACTGGAATATTGCTAAAGATGGTGTAAGATGGTACTCAGTCACTATACACAAGGAGCAAGTGGGTGAGAAAGTTTGAATTAACACTGCTCCAGGACCAATATTGTTTACAACAAGAAGACAAAGTCATCAATATCCCCCGCAATGGCAAAATAATCTTCATGATTATGTCTACAAGTTATGATTATGTCAAATATTTAGGTGTGTATATAGAAAAGTAAGCTCCAGAGAATAAACTCTACCACAAAAACACCAGAAAAATTAGTTTTAATTTATGATCTACCAGAATTCAGCATATCATGTGATTCAGTCTATGTCAAACTTGTTGCCATGGAAACACCAAACCCTATTTTATTCAGAATTCCAAAACTGCCAAAGTGGCAAAAGTACACCAAGGCACCAGACCATCATCTATGTGCCAAGTTTGGTGACAGAAATAGTTAACGGTTTTAGAGTTCTGCTCGGGAAAAGAGCACGGAGAGAAAAGAGTACCACCAATTTCATTCAAAGTTTGCTAAGTCAAACTAACTGCACCATAAGTGATTTATTGAAATGATCAAAAGATTGGCACACCAGTGACCGTGCCAAGTTTGGTGAAGAAAAGATCACAGTTTAGATGCTCAGAACTACCACTAACAAAATTCTGGAACCAAAACTTGTTTTCATTAATTTCAATATTTACCAAAAGGTTTGGTTTTGTCCAGATCTATCTATGTGCCAAGTTTGGTGAAGAAATAGTTAACAGTTTTAGAGTTCTGCTCCAGAAAAGACAAATGTTATCTTATCGGACGACTCCAAAGAGGATCGGAGTCCATTTTAATATGTCAAAAGCTGGCGTATGGGGATAAAACTACTATTCAGTATGTTGGATAAAATAAGTAACAAAATAAACTCACCACAAAAAAAACCCCCAGAAATATTAGTTTTAATTCTGAAGATCTGTGAATTCAGTATTCATGTGATTCAGTTTCCATATGCCATTCCATCATACCTGTGCTCATGAGTTTTGCCAAAGTGGTAAAAGTTACAATCCAGCACTGCTTCTGGATTTCCATCCACATGCAGCTGCCAAGCTGTGACATAGCTAAAATATTGCTTGAACCTGCTATAAAGCAAACTCACTCACCATGCTCACTCACTTTTACATGCAAACAGAGATAAAAGAAAAGAGGAAACACCTAAACAAAACAAAAACAAACTCTTATCTCTCTCTTGTAATAGAGCCTCTCTAAACACCATGTACACCAATACTGTAATAAGCCAGGTTCATCTGGTTTCATTCCCTTTCATATACAATGAGCAAAGAGGCAATAAAGCCATATTGCAGCCCTATCTGCGAGACAAATTGCCTGTCAAAGGGTCTGATGAGCATGATAAAGGAGCCAGGGGCACTGACATGGCCCCTCAGGACCCAGTGCCAGGGGATATGTCCATATGATTTACAATACAAGACTATAAACATTTTGATGACCTTCATCACAAGACAAAGGTGCAGGTTTGACCAGAAACGGGCCTCTCTGCTTACAGTGGATGCTGTGCTTGGTCCAAGATGATGTGCACCATGACTGCGCCATGGAGTCAGCACATGATGAGACTGATAAAGAAGGTCACTGATGATTGACCTTGAAACCTCTTCAAGATGCTGCTTGTTTACACAGCTACAAGAATGACCATATTCAGTGATTGGTATAGTTGTTGACATTTTGCTTATAATGATTATGCCTATGAAACATTTTGGGAAGAGTGTAAATGAGACACAACAACCTTTTTCCTTAATCCAGAACAGAGTTGTTATATTTGTGGATGAGCCTGCTTTGATGTTTGCAAAAGTATTGATCAACAGGTATATCATGATACAATTACATATGAACCATATTTAATACAATTTTGTCCTTATTTTAATCAATCATAAAGGTTTCAAAAAGGAAAATATCCTGTAATCAAACCTGGCAATACTAGGACTTCAT